CCCCAACCCCAACCCCAACCCCAACCCCAACCCCAACCCCAACCCCAACCCCAACCCCAACCCCAACCCCAACCCCAACCCCAACCCCAACCCCAACCCCAACCCCAACCCCAACCCCAACCCCAACCCCAACCCCAACCCCAACCCCAACCCCAACCCCAACCCCAACCCCAACCCCAACCCCAACCCCAACCCCAACCCCAACCCCAACCCCAACCCCAACCCCAACCCCATTAAAATATTTTTATTTCTTTTAATTTTATAATTAAGATTATTATCTATTTAAATTTTTAAGCCTAAAATTCAATTTTTTTGTAAAAAAAATATTTTAGCTTAGTAAATATTTATATTAATTATCTTTTTATATTTGTGTTTTGATTTTTCAATTAATTCAAAATAAAAAATTTTTTTTTTTCAAAAAAGTGATTTTTATTAATTTTTAAATATAAACTTGAGAAAAAATTAGGTAATTTAAAAACTATATTTTAATACTATTATTAATATTGTTTTTAATTTAAATTTTAAATAGTTTTTTAGATTTATATAATATACCATAGAAATTCTAGTTATTATAAATTATAAAGTAATATTTTCAAAAAAACATTTATCTTTTTAAAGCTCCTGAAGTACCTAAGATAATGTAGATCAAAAATATATAGTAATGGTGTTATTATATTTTTATTAGAAGTGTCAAGTTTGAGAAAACTTGAATAAAATCAATATATTTTCTAAAAAAATTGGCTTATAAATTATAAAATTAAAAAATCTTAAATTTTTTTTACTTATTTATGAGATGAAATATTTTAAAATCCATTTATTTTGATGATGGCAATGACAGTAATTTCAAAATTTAAACATTAAAGTATTGATTAATATTTAATATTGAATGAAACTAAATGATATTATTATAAATTTGATTTTTTTTTTCTATTTTGAGCTGTATTCTCTAATATATGTATACCACAATATTTTATTTTAAACTGATTTTCCTAATCTTTTTTTTTATTATTTATTCAATAATCTTTCTTTTAACTATACGTAATTTCATAATATTTTGGAAGTAGATTTTAAATTAATTTTTTCTTTATTTAAAAAAACAATCCAAATTTGAATATTATTTCAACAGCAATATTTTTGATTTGATTTGCCTTTCATTATTCTATAAAAAATAAAATATCTGTTTTCAAAAATAATAAAAATGTAAAAATTAACTTTTTTTGAAAATAAAAACTTTGTTTATTTAATTTTGGAATTAAAAATTTAGAATTTTAAACTATGTGTTTTACAAGTAATGCTAAAAAGATTCTAAAATAAATTTAACTCATCTTGAAGCAAATAAAAATTATTAAATTTATTATTTACATTTTATTATAATGATATTGTATATATTAACTAGTTTTAGTATGTTCTTTTAAATTTAAATTTGAGAGTAAATATATTATTATATTAAACATAAAAAAAAAATAATTTAATATCAATTGAATTTGTTTTTTTACATTTGTTAATTAATTATCTATCAAAGTGAATTTATATTTTTATTTAAATATTTAAAATATTATCAATTATTTTGAAAATATTTCTAAAAATATTAAAGACTTACTTGCTATTACAATTAATCAGTATATATTACTGATTATTTAAGTTCTCAAAGATATTTTATACTTGCATAATAACAACAAAAATAATTACAACTTTAAAGTTTTAATTGTAAATTATATTTATAACATTTATATTATTTTTAAGTCTTTAAATAATAATCTAAGGCTAAAAATAGTTAAAATCATTTCATTTTTAAAAGTATTTGGGATTAATTTTAACGATTAATTTGTTTAATATTTCTATTCGCATTTTTGTTTAAGGAAGTTGAATATTAAAAATTCAAAAAAATTGCTTGTGTAAATTGCTATTTTAAATTTTGTTGATGATGAGGAATGTTTTTGATTTACATATTTTTTTGATTAAAAGTAAGTAAAAAATGTGATTAATTCTAGAATTAATTTAAAATTGCCTCATACAACATTAAAAATTGAAATATTTGACGATCAATAGAAAAACAATTTATCAAATAGTGTTTGATAAAAATATAATAAAAGACTCTCTTAAATGTTAATTAATAAATATTTTCTTTAATATCCTTTAATGTATTGTGAATTTTTCATAATTATTCATTTAAGTGATTAGTTTATTGTTATTTAAGTTCAGAAAATTAAACAGAGGACTTTATTATATATTTTAAATCAATTATTAACAGAGAATTAAAATGATTGTGACAACCAAAAATATTCACTAACATAAAATAATAATTTAAATTTATTTAAATTTTCATTTTCAAATTTAAAATTTAATTAATTTTTCTATTATATTACAAATTAAATGATATATAAATATATATATCTAATATTGTTTAATTTTAAATTTTGAAGATGATGTAGATTAATCTTATAATCAAAATATTTTGACGCAGACAAGCTAATAAATAACAGAAGTAAATATTTTATTTAGAAAAGTATTATGCTGTTCTAAAAATTAACTTGTTAAATTATTTTCTATATTTTATACATTATTTAATTAATTCAAATAATATTTATAATATAAATTAATATAATTTTGTTTCATTCTATTTATAATAAAATAAATTATAAACATTTTCTTATTCCTAGATAAATTTTACTATTTAGTGAGATATTCTGATTTTTTTAGTAAAATTGTAAATACTATGAGAGAATGCAGAATTAAATTTATTTCCTAAGCCATTTTTATTGAATCTGGTATCGAAAATTATCTAAGCAATTACTATAAACATAGTAAAAACAAAGTAGACAATTTAAATTATCCATATAATAGATTTGTTAAGATTTGTTGATTTTATAATTATTCAGTCAGTCAGACAATCATTAATTTTTTCAAAAGATATCTTTTTAATAGAATTTTTTAGATTTTGAAATAATTTTTGATGAAAATAATGTATTTACATATTTTTTCTGTTAGATTAAATGAAATTTAATATAAGAAAAAAATAATTTTTATGTTGAAGTTATTTTTTATGTTAAATTAATTCATATATTATAAAATTTAAATTATAATCAATTCTGATTCAAGCTGACACTCCATATAATTAATACGATTCTTATTTTATTATAACTGTAATCAATCATATGAGTTTCTTAAACATTTTAGTTCTAACTTATAATCTTTGCAGTTTAAAAAAAAATCTTTAAAATTAAAAGTTAGAAATTAAGAACATTTTTATAAGGTTTTATAAACAGATATTTTATATATTTATTAGACAATGATTCTTTTGAAGGTAAACAGATTTTTAAATAGTTATAGATTTATTATAAAAATAATAAAATTTTTTTGTTGTTAGAATTCATCGTATTTTCTGCTTTTATAATGTTTCTAGGGAATGCATTAAAACTCTACATCACAATATACATTCTAAACTAAAATAGCAATATTTGAAATTTTTATTAAAATTTGAAGTAGTATTTACTAGATTAATCCTCCTAGATGAATAAGGCTTACACTTTATTTTTAGAATTTGTTTGTTTATTCCCAAATAGTTTTTTACAAAAGCTATCAATTACTTTTTAATTATATTTACAATAAGAATGCCAATTACTATAGAATCTGTCAACATATAATCTTTATCGAATCAACTGGATTTTATATGTCTATTTATATTCATTGAGGTTTATATAAATTAATTAAATTAAAAACTTTGGATAAAACCTTACTTCAAATCAAATCAAAACTTATGAAATTTAAAATAAGCGCTCTCTATTTAATTTAGACTTTTGCCATCGTTGCTATTTCTGCAAGTCCTGGCAATCCAGTCCAATGCTTATAGCCATCTAATCCATGTGATGATTCAAACTGTGGAAGTTTACCAAGTGGAGCTGGTTGCTAATGGGCAGCATATTCAGATAACAATTCTACAGCTGGTGCTGGTAATTCTACGTCTTCTTGCATTATATCTGACTGCAGTTGCTATAATTCTACATTATAAGGTTTAACTGATTTATTCTGTTAATCATGTGGATAAATAAATAACTAATTTGCTAATTTAGCAGGTAATTAATGCGTTTCTTCTTCGGCTTCTTGTGGAAGCAATAGAATGCCTAACACTTGGACAGATGCTGATTGTGCTCTTTGTAATCCTTTAGCTCCTTTTGCTTCTAGTGATAAATCTTCTTGCTAAGCAAACTCCTCATCAAATAATTGCAATGCTACCTCTGGATTAACAGATGCTATATGTGCCTCCTGTGCCTAATAAAATAATAATAACAGCACAAATAGCACAAATCCAAGTGGAGGTAATAGTACTAATTCAAATTAGCTTTTATTTGCCAATAATAATGGAACTGCATGTGTTGCATCATCTGACTCATGCGGAAGTAGCAGAGCTCCTAATACATGGACTGACGCAGATTGTGCTCTTTGCAATCCTTTGGCTCCTGTTGCTTCCAGCGATAAATCTTCTTGTGTTTTAAGCTCTTAACAGAATAATTGTAATGCAACTTCAGGATTAACAGATGATATTTGTGCCTCATGCTCATAACAAAATAACAATAATAGCACTAATTCTAATAACAACAGTACGAATGCTAATAATAACAATAGCACCAATTCTACTTAAATTTTGTTTGCTAATTATAACGGAACAGTATGTGTTGCATCTTCAGCTTCATGTGGAAGTAGCAGAGCTCCTAATACATGGAATGATGCAGATTGTGCCCTTTGCAATCCTTCAACTCCAGTCGCTTCCATTGATAATTCTACGTGTATTGTAATCACCTAATAGAACAATTGTAATGCAACTTCAGGATTAACAGATGCTATTTGTGCCTCTTGTTACTAATAGTTTAATAGCACCAATTCTAATAACAACAGTACGAATGCTAATAATAGCACAAATTCTAACGAACCTGTGTTTGCTAATTAAAATGGAACTGCATGTGTTGCATCTTCAGCTTCGTGTGGAAGTAACAGAGCTAATAATACATGGACTGATGCAGATTGTGTTCTATGTAATCCATTAACTCCTTTTGCTTCTGGTGACAAATCTTCATGTATAATTGGTCAGTAGAACCTTTGTAATGCAACTTCTGGTTTAACAGATTCTATTTGCTCACTATGCGCTTAACAAAACAACAACAATAGTACTAACAATAACAATAGCACTAATTCTAACAATAGTACTGATAATGGAAATAGCACAAATTCTAATAATAACAATAGTACAAGTATGAACTTGAATCTGTATGCTAATCTAAATGGTACAGCTTGTGTAGCTTCTTCTGCAACATGTGGCAGTGGCAGAGCCCTAAATTCTTGGACTGATGCAGATTGTGCCCTTTGTAATCCTTTAACTCCTTTAGCTTCTGGTGACAAATCTTCATGTATAATTGGTCAGTAGAACCTTTGTAATGCAACTTCTGGTTTAACAGATTCTATTTGCTCACTATGCGCTTAACAAAACAACAACAATAGTACTAACAATAACAATAGCACTAATTCTAACAATAGTACTGATAATGGAAATAGCACAAATTCTAATAATAACAATAGTACAAGTATGAACTTGAATCTGTATGCTAATCTAAATGGTACAGCTTGTGTAGCTTCTTCTGCAACATGTGGCAGTGGCAGAGCTCTAAATTCTTGGACTGATGCAGATTGTGCCCTTTGTAATCCTTTAACTCCTTTAGCTTCTGGTGACAAATCTTCATGTATAATTGGTCAGTAGAACCTTTGTAATGCAACTTCTGGTTTAACAGATTCTATTTGCTCACTATGTGCTTAACAGAACAACAACAATAGTACTAACAATAACAATAGCACTAATTCTAACAATAGTACTGATAATGGAAATAGCACAAATTCTAATAATAACAATAGTACAAGTATGAACTTGAAGCTGTATGCCAATCTAAATGGTACTGCTTGTGTTGCTTCTTCTGCTACATGTGGTAGTGACAGAGCTCTAAATTCTTGGACAGACTCAGATTGCGCACTATGCAATCCTTTGACTCCCATTTCTTCAAGTGCAGGAGTCTCTTGTATTGGTGTTTAGAATAAAAATTGTAATTCTACTTAAGGATTAACTGATTCAATTTGCTATGCATGTGCTTAATACATTCAAATTAGCAACAGTACAGACAACAGTACTAATGCTAATAATGGCAATTAAACCAATAATGCCAACAGTACTAATAATACAAGTGTAAACCTAAAAATATTTGCGAATGCAAATGGAACAGCTTGCGTTGCCTCTAATGCAACATGTGGTAGTAATAGAATTATTAATTGGAATGACGGAGATTGCTCCCTTTGCTCTCCTGACAAGCCTCTAGCATCAAGTGGAGGTGACTATTGCTTCTCTTTTTCACCAAGTAATTGTACAGCGAATTTCAATTTAACGGATTCTATATGCTTTGAATGCGCTTAGTTGAGTAATTAAAATGCTACGGTATCTAATAACACGAATAGTAACTCTAATAATACCGACAGTAACAACAACAGTACTATTCCATAAAATAATAATAGCACAAACTCAACTAGCAACTAGAATGTCACTATTGTTAATAACAGAGTGTATGTAAATATTCTTGGTAACTCATGTGTTGCTTCTTCAGCAACATGTGGCATAAATAGAGTACCTAATTCTTGGAGTGATTCAGACTGTGCACTATGCTCTCCATACGCTCCATTTGCAAGCCTTGATGGTTCAAAATGTGTTTCAAGTAGATCAATTAATTGCTAAGTATCATTCAATTTTACCGATTTTATTTGTGCTGCTTGTGCAATTCAATACAATAACAATAATTTTTGGGCAAATAATAACGGTACTTCATGTGTACCAACATAAGCTACTTGTGGTAGTGCTAGAACTATTAAATGGACTAATCTTGACTGTTCTCTTTGCAACACCTAAACTCCTTTGGCTTCAGCAGATGGATTGTATTGTGTTTCAAGTACATTTGGTTCATGGCTTGCATTTACCTTTAGCCTGATTGTTTTATGTGTTTTCTATTATTGAAAATACTAATCAAAAAAAGCAATAATTTATATAAGCTTAACTTTTTATATATATTTTTATGTTTTCTAAGTATTATAAATTTAAAATTTTAATATTTTATCATCAATTCATATGAAAACATTTAAAAAAGTAAAATTCACATTATTTTAAATTCCTGAAAGTTTAATTAAAATTTATGAATTTATTTATTCTAAAGTTATTGAACTATAATTTCTGTCATAAAATCTAAAATCAAATCAAATTCAAAATTCTAATAAACTATTAAGTTAAATATTTGATTAATTAATTTGGCTTATAATATGAAGAAATAATAACAAATTAATTAATAAGTTTATTTCTTTTCAAGATATTAAGGTTAATTATTTAATTAAATTATAAAAGATTGTTAATTTGTTAATAAATTTTCTTGAGAAACTGATTGATTAAGATTAAACAGAAATATTAACAAATATGGATGGATGGATGTATGTATGTATGTTTAAAGATATAATTAGATTTGATAGGAAAATATTTTATTTATTTATTGTTTATTTACTTAATTTATTTTAGCTTAATTCTTATACTAATAATGCTTGTTTATTTATTTTTTTAGTTATTTCATTCATTTTTAAATATATTTCATCAAAAAAAGTTATTATTATTTTATATTCATAGTTGATTGATCGATTGATTAGATTTAACTAAATATAATTTAAAAATTAAAGTCAGCAAGAACACATATTTTAATTTTATTCTTATAAGTCTGGCTTTCTAGTGTGTTCTCCTAAACCTGCAGTAATTCTTGGCTTTAAATCAGACATACTAATTTAACCTTTTTGTAAAAAAAATTATCAATTTTTATGATTTATTCAAATTAAGTTAATTTTTTACCTTTTTCAACCATTTCAGTGATAACTTTAGTGACTTCTAAAAAGGCATTCTCAACATTTTCACCAGTTAAGGCAGATATTTCAAAAAACATCACATTATTTTCTTTACAGAAGTTTTCAGCATCTTGTTAAGAAACTTGTCTTTCTTCTTTCAAATCGCATTTATTTCCACAAACTGCTATACAAATGTCACTTCTAGCTAATTCTCTTGCATCTGCTATCCATTATTTTACAGAGTGAAATGATTCTACACTAAAATTAATTTTAGTTTAAACAAAAATATCTAAAAATAAAATATCTACTCTGTAATGTCATAAACGATTATAGCACCTAATCCTCCTCTATAATAAGTTCTTGCTACTGATTTAAATCTCTCTTAACCAGCTGTATCCCAAATTTATAATTTAATGTTTTTATTTTTTGCAGTCACTACTTTTGAGCCAAACTCAACGCCAATTGTGTAAGAAGAGTTTTTTTTAACTATTTTAATATAAGAATAATTTAGTTATCATTGATTTAAAATAAATTTTGTATTTTTAATCTCACAAAGCATGATATTTGTAAGAATTAAACTGTCATACTTTATGCAATATATTAAAAAAATATAATATTACATTTTCCCTCAAGAAAATTGTGTAAAGTGCATGTTTTGCCAGTGCTTGTATTGCCAATAATTATAAATTTATATAATAGATCATATGACTTTTCCTTATCCATTTTATATACTAGATTTTTTTAACTTTCAAACCTATTTCTTTTAAATTAGATGTGCTATAAATTTTTTTTTCTTTCAACAAATTTGGTAATTTTTCTAATTTTTTAATTAATTTCTTTAGATTATGCTCTATATAAATTCTATTCATAGAGGTCTGCGTTATTCATTTCAATTTTTTAATTAAAAAATGAATTCGAAAAACGTAAAAAGGAAAAATTTGACTCTTAGTAAAATACATAGTGAAAGTTCAAAGAATTAAATATCTCATGAAAAGATATTATTAAATTTGGTATGGATCAAATTTTATCAGTAAATTTTTAAAATGGAAGATTTAAACATATATTTTTTTATACTCAGTTCGATTAAACTAACTAAAATAAATAGATAAAAAATATTAAAAAATAAATGTCTGAAGAACAAATATGCTTTATTATTAAAATTTTTATTTTTATCATAGTTTTAAAATAGAGTATTTATTATGAGTAAATGAAACATACAAAGATACAAAATCATAAAAAATATAGTTTTTTTACAGAATCAATTAATTTTATTTGATATTATGAAATCTGAAATACTAATTGATCAGTTTTACTTTTTACTTCCAGTTAAACTGTTAAGTGCTAAGTTACCAATTATTAAGAATGGGATGATTCCTGCACAAATATAAGTAACTGTTTCCATGAGGTTAATCTATACCCAGAAAAGTAGAAGTAAGGAGAAAGCTATTAATATTGAAAGTATAAAGATTTGAACATAGATTTTTTATAATCCAGATAAATTGTTGTATTTATCCCAATTCAAGTCTATCTTATTTAGCATAACAAAGAAGAAAATGAAACAGCAAGCCATCATAAAGACAACAGCATAAATGAAAAGGATAGGAGGAGTCTTGATTTCGTCATTAATTACATATGAAATTGGCTTAGGGAGTATGTAATCTGCATCATTAGGTGGGTTTTTGTCATTACGGTTAGTTTTGAAAGTGGTTTCAAGGGTTACAAAATTATGAACAATTTATTAAGTAAGTCTTTGGTCAGCAATGATTAATTCAGCTTCATAAGTGGCTGAGTAAGGTAAAATAATTAAAGGATCGCCAAAGTCTACGATTGCAAGATAAGAATTGGAAATTTCATCATATTCTGCATTAACAAGATGGGTAACACCTTTAAAAGTAGGGTGTCTCAAACGAATAGCGACTTGAGAGGGAGAGAATTAATATTTTTCATTTGCAAAAGAAAAAGCGAATTGAACATAAACAAAAGAGTTTTGGTTTGCCTGAACTTTTTCAACCTTTTTAGTCTTAAGATTGTAAGAGTGGGTGTATTTCTTAGGTATTTTTCCCTTTCCTTAAGCAACTTCAAATTCTATGTTTTTAACTGTTAAAGTGGTAGTAAAGAGCACCTTTTCTGATAGTATTTCTTCTTAGTTATTATAAATTTTCAAATAATGGAAACCAGGTTCAGTAATTAATGAATTGTTAATCTTAAATTCAAGTGGCCATTATTCATTTGTGCTATTTGTAGATAAAATATCAGCTTGGACTAATTTTTCACGTCTGTAAAGAGCAGCCTTGAGAGGTTGAGTTTTTTGGGTTTTTTCACCAAGAATATTTTCGTAATGAACTAAAATAGAGGATTATTTTGTCTTTAAATCATAAAGGGCTTTTTTAACAGTGACAACATCTGAATCTTTAGCATTCTTTTTAAAGAAAAAATGTTTAGTTCATTATAAATTAGCTTTAAAAAATTAAATTTACCAAATAAATATTGACGAGCTCAAACTTTTCACTAGGGTTGAGAATTTGAGAATTAGCATTTTCCTTTAAGAAGCTGAGAATTCCATTTTTGAATTTGCTTTGGAATGTTTTATAAGATTAAAGATTCTAAATAGCTGTAACAGTTGTGAAAAATTTATAAATTTTTGCTGTAACTTCCAAAGTTAAAGTGCTCTCCAAAATACATATTTATCTATTCTCTACCTAAACTGAATTAACTAAGATACTTTCTAAAGGAATATCAATAAACTTGAGAACCTCAGTTTCGTTAAAGGATTTTTTGATTTGATTTTAATTACCTTACTATTATTACAACAAGCAAAGTTGCAAGGTATCCAAAATATATCCAGTTGCAATATTATTTCTATTTTCCTTTTATTAAATATTATTAATTTTTACTAACTCAAAAAGCTAAAATATTTATTTCTTTTAAACTCATGAAAGAATAAATTCAATTACTTAATCCTATGATCTGACTCTAGAAGTACCATCTTATTGGAGGTATATCATATATAAACCGCATGTTTAAGAGTAGATCTTTTCCATATTTAATTCAAATGCCAAAGCTGTTGTGTAGTAAACTTATTCTGGAGTATCAACACTGCTGCTTTCATTTTGTAAGACTTCCTTGATAGCAGCCTATTAAAATATGTAAAAAAATATTGCTGAGCATCAGAATTATTGTGAATCAAAATAAAATTTAGAAATAAATCTGATTAAACTTATCATTTTAAGTAATGAATTACTGTTGAGTATTCTATGTTGCATTTAGGAATCATTTACTTAAGCTTCAAGAAGTAATATATAGATTTAGAATCAGTGAGAAGCTTTTGGATATCTCCTTACTTTTGCAAAAACGAGCAAGCATTTGCGCTTTAAATTACGTTTAAGTCAGCTAGTGCTTTATAATTAAATCCTTCTTTGTATAAGTTTTCAAAGTTCAAAAGACCATTCTCAATAGAATTTCTTACAAAAACCTCGCTTTATTTGATATATTCCTAAGAAATTTATGCCTATGTGAATGTGAGGAAGCAAATTAGAAGGAATAAATATGAATATGCCTTAATTGTATTCATCGCTGCTTAAGTTGCTGATGAGTAATTAATTAATTTGTTTGTTTGTTTGTGTTTGTTTCCTATTTTATTTTATGCTTGGAAATTAATATTTAATTTTTCTTTATTCAAACAATTAAGATATCAGATATGCTATTTTAATATATTGATTTGTTAATTAATAAATATCAATCTCTATTTTATTGAAGCAAAAAAGATACATTCATAAATACTAACAAAAAAGCAAGCAAGTATATATTCTTTCTATCTTTATTTCAGTCAATCATTCATTCATTCTTTTTCTTCAATGAATTTATCAAGCAAAAAACAAAATAAACATTTCATTGTAGCTATTTACCAATTCAAATCAATATTATCAAATACGTGTTTTCTTTCCATTTTTCCGCTAATTAAATAAGGTAGATATCCTTTTTTTTAATTATTTAATATCCTCCAAATCTTTATTTTTTATTTCTCTTATTCATTCATTAACTAATTTATTACTTTTCAATCAATTAAAATTTTTTATTACATTCTAATAAATCTTTTTATTTTACATGAAAATATTTATTTATCTTAATTCATTCATTTTTTGTTATTTCTACCACATTACTCTTTCTTTTCATTTTGATAGATAATAAATAAATCAGATTTTGTTTTTAAGAAAAAATACAAAACTAAGCAAATATTTAATTAATTTACCGGATAAAAAAATTCTTAATCTTGCAGTACTTCATATATGAAGAAAAAAATTTTTAAATTATTAATAATATTTTGACTAAAACAATACCTGTATAATGGAATATTCAAACTATTTAGTAAAATAAAAATATTTTTAAAATATCTAAATTAAAATAATAACACAAAAAAGTAAATCAGAAATAATTAAGAATAAACCTAAAAAGAACCTAAAATAATAATTCATATATCCTAAAATTAAAAAAAAATTCATAAAACTTACTATATTGATTAAAATTATTTATATAATATTAAAAAGAGATAGTTTTAAATAAATCCCAATAAAAATTTAATTAGATTTTTGAGATGGCAAATATCCCTCCATATAATGAAAAGAAATATATAAATTATTATTTATATTTAACAATTTTAGAAGAAAAGGCATTGAATTTCTATTTAATACAAATTAAAAATTGAATATTTTTTACTATCAAACTGATTATAAAATCTTAGAAAACAAACAGTAAGTAAATAATATTTTACTTTTATAAATATTTAAAGATTAAACAAATAAATTTAAACATTTTTCACATTGATAACTTTATAATTTAAAAATAAATAATAAATATTATTAATGAACTTATTTTATTAGTAAAAAATCCATAAATCAATTAGATAAAAAAGTAGAAATTATTAAAAATATTTTAAAATATTTAAAAAAATGAATAACTGGACTTAATAAATATTTATTTGTTTTATCATTAAATAAATGTTTCAAAAACTAAAATAGAAAATATTATTTAAAATATTTCTTTTTAAAATTTTAAATTAAAATGATAAATAATCATTTTAGATATTAAATAAATTCATTTATTTTTTTAATCTAAAATAAGTAGAAATTAACTTGAATCAATTATTTATAAATCTGTATTTTTAAGCTCATTCAAAGCTGTGTTATGTCTTTCTTAAGTTGATGCAGCTAAGCAATCTGAAAGCATAGTTACATCGAAACCTAAATGAAAAGCGTCAACACTTGTAGCTCTACAACAATAATTGGTTGCTATTCCACAGACAACAACTTGTTAGATATTTTTTTCTTTTAAATAATCTAGTAGAGCTGTTTTTCTAAAAGCTGAATAATACTATTTTTAAATAATCCTATCATACTCTTAATCCTACATTTTAACAACTTCTTTGTAAAATTATATGCCAGTTGTATCTCTTTTACAGCAAGTAGGTTAACCTTAGTTATGACTTCCGCTTAAGAGATGGTTATTTAATGGTACTCTTTAAATCCTGTCTTCTGTGGGATTGAAGAAAAGAGGTGATAATTTTAACTCTTCTACTTCACCATAAATAGAATGTATCCATATAATTGGAAATTAATTTTTTCTAAATACTTAGCACATTTAATCTATTCTTGGAAGAATTGACCTGTTGAATTTCAAATCTCCACCCCTTAAATCAGAGAAATGGTTATCCTCTAAAAAATCATTCTAAAGATCAATTATTATCAAAGCATACTTTCTATCGTGATTCATTAGTAATTTACTTAAATCAAACAATATATTTTTTAAGACTAAATAGAATGAAAATATTTAGATAAATTAAATTAAAATATAGATATCAAGAAAGAAAGCAAAACTTGATAATAATTTTTCATAAAATAAATAAGGTTATCAAAAAATTAACAAATAAAAGCAATATAATTAATTACCAATATATTAATACTATTATTCTATGACAATTTTTATAATTATAAATTAAATTATAATAAGAGAATACTTTTTAAATTTTCTAAACTTAGTTAAATTACTTATAATAAATATGATATTTTATCTTTATATTCTCATTAATTCAGATTTTTGAAAATATTCTTATCCTTGTTTACAAATCTTAATTAAAATAATTTTATAAAATGAGTTTTTAGATCTTAATTAAGTAGATAATAATTAATGAGAATGTATAGTATATAAATATTATAAATTATCATTTTCAAGGTAAGATTCATAATATTTTATTATTGAAAAGCTAAAAAATGAAAAAAAGGCGATAATATTTTTAAAGAAAATTTTAATAAATTAGTAAGGGCTCTTATGTAATCGTGGTAAAGTATTTCAATTGAATATTATTCACTCATTAATTTACTTTTGTTTAAATTCATTTTAATGTAAATTTATATTTGTTATTTTTATAAAATTTTTTATTGATATTGTTTTGATTTAATAATTGATTCAAATATTGAAAACAATTAATAAATTATGAAATAATATCTTTTAGAAAATACTATTTTGATTTGAGAAAAATATTTTAAAGCAAACAAAAGTGAATAATTTAAATATTATTTAAATAAAATTAATAATTTTTTTTCTCAGACGTTAATCAAATTAATTCTTTCTAATATTTGGATCTCTTCTTTCTTCAATAATTTGAAATGAAGACTTAAAACTTCGACTTATTCTGCACTAAGCATAAGATTTAACTTTTTTTTATCCATAGTGGCACACTTTTCTATTTCAGTCAATCTAAAAAAGAATATAAATTATAAAAATATAAATGGGATTAATTTACTTTTCTTTGGGTTTCTCAAAGTCTACATTTGGTAGATTCTCAATGGAAGTTTAAACTGTGTCAAGTATGACGAAAAATATACTGTCTATTAAAAATTCCATACCAAATATAGAGAATTTATTATAGCTTTTGAAGATTTAATTAAAGACAAAATCTTCGAAGTCTTTCAATAATTTATTAATTATGTACTTAAAAGATTTTATGCTAACTTTTTTCTATAATTACTTTAGTGGATTAACTAGGGAATCAAATATTTATGTTTTTAACTCATTTACATCTACATCTGTTTCTTCTACAATTTTGGGGTGAGTAAAATATTTAAAGTAAGTTGAATTAATTAACTTTTTAGCATCTCTTAAGCTGCTTTTTATAATAGGATCACTAAACTTAAATACTACTTACTCTATACATTCTTATTTAAATTTTTTTAATACCTTCAAGTCATTTTCCTTACCACCTAAAGGATTATTCTCTTAGTACTAACGCAAAATATTATAAACTTTTCTGAAGTATTCATCTATATTTATTTAATTAGAACAAATCATAAAAATAAATAAATATCAATTTTCTTACTTAACTGGAGAGTAATATCATCACTGTTGTCTAAGATTTATTCAAAAATGGTATGCAAATTTTCCATAAATTTGTTAAAGAATTATTCTTAAAGTATTTATTTGACTTTGTCTTTTAAAGTGGCATCTTTAATAAATCCATATTTTTTAACTGTTTTGGCAAATAGTAAAGTGTAATCTTCAACTATAGGAAAAATCTCAAAATTCTAATTAATGAATAAAATTCATTTTAAATTCTATATTAAATAATTTTAGTTTACTTTTTCTGTTGCATATCTTGGCTGAAGCTCTCTCATGTCTACCTTCAGGATTGGCTAATAAATTATTGAAATAAATATTATTTATTATTTTTAGATGCTTTTATTTTACCTAAAGAATTTTCTCATCAAATATTTTAAATTCTTTATTAATTATTAAATTTAAAATATTTTCTTCATTCGTCAATAAAACTTTTTCTAATATGTAAGGAAGGAATCTTTATTCAGCTAATTGAGCGTTTTCTTATTAAATTATAAAGTTCTAGCAATACTTTTCAAGATAACTTTCAAGAGTTTCAAGCTTGGTGATAAAATGACTCAAAAGGTCATCATCCATCAAGAATGTTTCTTTGTCCTACTTGAAACGAATTATAATTGGATTCAAACATATTTTTTAAAACAAATTTTGCATAAAAAGCAAAACAGATTCTTCTCTTTTTCCTTTTTTGAAAATGCTTGCATATCTCTAAACATTATTTTGAAAAGTGTCTTAGAGGTAATCAAAGAACCACTCTGGCTTTGAAGGTTCATTGGTTTCTTTTTCTCCTAAAAAGTGAAAATTAATTGCAACAATAATTGATTCACTTAATACACGAGTAAAAAACATTTTCTCTGGTATGATACCATTCATAACATGATCTATTTGAACTAGTTTCCTTATATAATAAGGGACTATTTACTAGTATTCTTTATCAATTAAAATTTCCTCTTAATCTTCCTATCCCTTTTTATTTGAACTATAAAAAAAATTTACAATCTTTACTTGACTGCTAAAAATATTCTTATTCAAACAAATAAAGAATTTAGTACCTTTTGTAAGGCAGATTAATCATTTTTAAAACAGAATTCAAAACATTGTTGTTTGGAGTTTCAAAATTTTTAAAAAGGGTTTCAAGCTAATTGTACATAAATGCCTAAAATGTACTCTTGCCAGTTTCTAAAAACTATAAATCTAATGCTTTAACTTGGTCCCAAAGATTTTTAGTAGTATTGATTAAGTTATAAGTGTCTTCGTTGAATTCATATAACTTTTTGATTCTCTTTATCTCAATGTAAGTATTGAAAAATTCTTTATATTTTTTATTATAATTGGTTATTTCTTTTTAAATTTCACTGCAATTAGCTGCCAAAATGAGTAAAGATTTATAGTCATCCGCTTCTCTTAAAATCTTGTCATAAGGAATAAGCAAATCAGGTGAAGCATTCTTTTCATATCTTTATTTTATTTCAGATAGCTCTTTTAGAGTTTTTTCATCTTCTTTTATTTCATTGTCATAGCTTTCCATTAGCTTTGTCAATAAATCGCTTGATGCCTTAAAATTAAATAACTAAACTAAATCTAAATTCATTCTTTAGAAAAAATTATTTTAAAATCCTATTGGTTTTTTTGGTGTTTATTATAAACCAAGCCTAGTTTGTTTGTTTGCTAATATCAAAAAATCGATTAAATTTTAATTAATTTAAATAAGTTTTTAATATTGTCAGTTTTTAATAGAAAATTTTATAATATAAAATTTAAACGCGTATCAAAAGAATAAATTTCAAATAGACATTTAACTCTGTTAAATACAAATGTATCAGTTAATATTGAATTAGAAATTTCTATAATTTTTAATAATTTTAAATTTTATTTGAATATTTAATGAAGCACTATTATAAAAGTGCTTTCATAAATTTAATTTATTAAATATCTTTATTTAAAAAAATTGTGTTACATTGCATAATAAATGTGTTACAAAGTTTAAATTTCAATATTGTAAAAGAAATATCGTGTTTATATTAAATATTAATTTATGAAATAGAAAACATTATAACTTCAATTTGTGAAAAATATTTAAGATTCTAATATAAAAATTTGACTTCTTATTTATTTATTTAGCTATTATACCATTAGAAATATTTTAGATCATTTCTTCGATATATTTATTAGCTTGAATTTAAGCTAAAAATAAGAAATTAAAATGCCTTTCTTGAAATCAATCTCTTATTTCTAAAATATTTAAAAATTTAAGTAAGTTAATAGAGTTTAACTTACAATGACTATTTATATTTCTTTAATAAAAATACTATTTTTGTTTTGAATGTTTGTAAATCTTACTGAACTATTAAAAATAAAATACAAAAAATGATTTATTTCTGAAATTAGCAGCACTCTGTATGTATTGTTTATTATTTAAAATAATTCTAATTTAATTTTATTTGTGATACTTTAAAATTTAAACAACATTTGCTTATTGAAAAAAATGTAAGCAAAGTTGAAAATTGTTTCGATTTGAAATATTTAGATTTAGCTTGATTTGAATATAGAAAAAGTTTATTTTTAAGTTATAAACTGAATAAATTTTTAAAAAACTAGCTTTTTAAAATAAGAAATGTTTAATTTATAAGAGAGATTATTCATTTACTCTTATAAATTATATTTAAAAATATAGTTTTGATTTGGATTTTGCATCGACTTTTTTAAATAAAATTATTTAATGTTTGCAATTAATCCATTATCAATCAAGGAAAATATAAATAATGAGATATTAGATGAATTTTTCACTTATTTTTCTTTGAAAATTTTTCTTACTCTTCTATAAAAATATTATTAAAAAAAATTTGATTTGAGATACATAATAAATATATCAAAAATAAAAAGTAACAAACCAAATCAATTTGAATTCTATCATCTCTACTATACTAAATACATTGATTAAACTTTAATTTCTCTGATAATTTTGAAAGGCAGAATTAGTAAAAATGAGTGCAAATTACAGCTTAGAGTAGCTTTCAAAGTTTAAGTCTGACAAATTAAGGCAAATTATTATTTAAATGCAAGAGGAGAGAGCAGACTAAGATTATTTATACTAGCAATCAATTAAGCATTTGGGATAATCATACAAAGATTAAGTAGAGACATAAAAGGAAATGATAAATGAGCTTTTATAATCAGAGGAATCCTTAAAGAAATAAGTGGACATACTCACTTAGAAGTATAACTTTCTAAAATAGGAGTTCGAGAAAGTTAAATAAAAAGAAACTAAACCCATTCTGAAAAATTATTCAAATAACTCTTAGAACTAGAATCAAGTGAACTTCAATATTAATTAATAATTATTTATAGATGAAAAAGAGCTTATAAATAGCTGTATCATAGAGGAAGAAGAGGTAAAAGCTGATGTTGAAGAATAATATTAGATTAAAATAAATTCAGTAAATACCACACCAAGTATTGAGGTCACTCCTTAGAATAATGATCAGGACTTAAAATCAGGATAATTCTTAACTTTTTCTACTTAGTAGCAAACGATCACAAAAACAGGCAAATCAGCAAATAACAGAAGCAATAATGACTTTTTATATAAATCTATTTAATCAAGCAATTACTTGATTATTCCGCAAGATGAAAACCAAGAAAATAGCTATGAAGATTAAAATATTCATCATGAACCAGCTGAAAAAATAACTTATATAAAATCAAATTTTAATAAGTAAAATTAAAGTGCATAAAAGTCTCAAAAGAATGATAGTGCTTTAAAACGTGATAATTTACTTAAAAAACCCAGGTAAGCACCTCTAATAGAAAGAAAAAATAATATAAAAGAAAGTTTTGTCATGCAGTAAATTTAAGACGAAAATCATAATTCTCAATATTACGCACCAAGTATTATTCAAAACTAGTTCCTGCTGATTAGCAACTAATTTAACAATTAGCTTGTTGAAAACTCTCCTGTTTGTGAATCTTAGAATTCTACCTAAGTTGGGGATTTATTTTTTGAAGATTTTTTTATAATTGGGCCTTCTTTATCAGAACTTGAAACTATTGCATAAAATCATCCTTCAATAACTGAAGATACTGTAAATCCAGAAATTTATGTTTGCTTTCCAGGAAAAACAAGCAGTGGCTAAAATCAAAGACAATCATTGAAAAATTTTTGCTATCCTTTTAATGTGAATTTCCAAAAGCATGAGGTGAAAAGTATCCATGAAGGAAAAGTTGATGACATCCTCAATTTGCAAATTTTTAAAAATAATTTCTCAAAGAATAGTCCGAATTCATTTGTATTTTCAATGTTAGGAGATACCTCTTAAGTTACTGATACATCTCAGTTAAACCCAGTACTTTTGAATGCAAATCCAAATCTATCACTTTACTTCATTTGTCATACCACTGAGAACTTTGTAACAGTTCCAGCAACACCAGGAGCAGGCAAGGATGAATAAAATGCTGTTTATTTAGTTCCAATTACCTATTGCTTTATGACATATTATCCATTTATCAGTCATTTTTTAGACATTATCACTGAAATAGCTAATAATATCAAAATAAAAAGAGCAAATTAATATGCTAATTATTATTAACAGTAAGATTAAAATAAATGTTCTTATTGTTAAAATCCTCACAGCCAAAGAAACAGTGGAAAGAAAGATTCGAAAACAGATCTTTCACCTGTTAGAGAAAGAATTTCAGAAAATTCTTTCAGAGATAGCAATTCCACTTAAAACTCAGACAACAATCGAAAGTTAAGCAACGAATAAAAATAACAATGCACTTGCAGAAGAAATAAAAATATTTTAACTAAAATACTTGAGCTTGATATTGAAAATGAGATTCAAACTTTCCAATCAGAGAGCTTTGCAAATATAAGAAAGGCATTGCTAAATTCTTAAAAGCAAATTGTAGAATATTAAGGAGATTTGAGGTTTAAATTTAGAAATAACAATGAATACACATTGAAAAACTACATGGTACCTGCTTAGAATAGAATTGTTTAAATAGAAACAGAGTGGGGAGCTTGTTTGGCGATGTCATGTCTACCACTTGAAGATTTCCTCTTCATATTCACTGCTATTGCACTTGAAAAAAAAATGATATTCTTTTCTTCAAACAAATCACTCCTTACAAGCGTAATTCTCACGTTCTATTCTATATACAAACCATTTACATATGTATTTCCTGTTATATTTAATTTGCCAGTTGAAATGCTTGGAATGCTTGACGCTCCTGTGCCTTTTATTATTGGTATAAATAAAGATAGTTCCTTCAAAGATGAATTAGAGTAGAGCGGAAATGATTTATCAGATAAATTAATAGTAGATCTTGATCGTCAAGTTATCATATGCACAGACGAAAGCAGTAATTAAGTAGAAAAGAATATTCCATAGTTTATAAGTCGCTAAAAAGAGATTATTGAAAACTACTATTTAATTAATCCTCGTAGTTCTAACAGATTTAAATTTTTAAGCTCTTCACTCAAAAGAAAAAACTCTATCTACAATCAAAAAAGTTAAACTTAAAATCAAGAAGATGAGCTTTTGTATTAAGTTACAGATGAATAATATAATTCCATGAGCTTGTTTTTAGAAATAATAAGATCTTGCTTAGAGAAATACTTTATCCAGACACTTCCATCAAATTAGAAATACTAAAGAGATGTTAGATAAATCTAAAACATAGTCTATAGCAAATCTAAAGATGATTGTGATTTTATTTAAGAATTTTTAAAAACTCAATCTTTTACAGCTTATGTAGAAAATATTTATTTAAATACTCCTAGTAATTGAGCCTAATTTGAATGAAAGCTTAAATAAAAAGCTAAAAATTCCATATGTATTATATTAAATCACTTATATTAAAGGTATAAAAATCATAATAAAAAAAAAGTTTGATTAAATTAAAATATTTAAAAAATTTAATTTACTAAATAAATATCAAGATTATCAAAATTTAAAGCCACATAATAATTTAATATTAGAATATTTATGCATAAATAAACATAATTTATCTCGATATTATATATTGTAAGCTTCAGTTTTATTTATATTTTGCATTTTTTAATAAATACTTTACATAATTTAATAAATTAAAAATCATAATTTATTTATATTGAATCAAGAAATGTATTATTTTTAAAATAAAAAACTAAATAATTTATGAATTTTTAAAAGAGCAAAATCAATTTGATTTATTTTTAATATTTCTTTTATCAAAAAATATTTTTATCTCAAAATAAAATTTAAATCTCAATATTTTTGAAAAGTAAATGCTATTTGTAAATATTATGAATGGATTTTTAATTATTGCTTTTATATGGAATGTTTAAATAAATCTCAATAATTATGAATTATATCTGCTTTTTATAGATATTATGAGTATATTAATTACTTATTGTTTTTATAAGGAATAGAAACTACTATATAAATTTAAACTTAATCAATAATTTTATAAGAATTGAACATTATTAATATCAATAATTTTAATAGGTACCTACTATTTATAAATATTTTGACTGAAATATTATCTTAATAATTATTGATTTTTTAAGAGTAATAATAATAACGATATCTAGACATAAAGGATTATTTAATAAAGAATAAACTGTACTATTCTCACTCAATAATTCTGAAGTTTATCATCTACTAATATATATATATATTCTAACTTAATGAATATCTTAATAATGACTATTGTTTTTGTAAGGAATACTAAATATCACATCTAAAATAAAGAATAATTAAAAAAAAATAAATCATAATAATCTGAAAAATTCTGAAATTAATCCGCCATTTATAAATATTTACTAAATTATTATTTTAATAATAATAAGCTCTGTTTTTTTAAAAAAACAATTAACTTTATAACTAATTTTCGTTAAAATATGAGTTTTTTTTTATCTAAAAAATATTAAAAATAAAATTCTTTTTATTTTCTTTTTTAAAGAATTTTTGTTGTAAATATCTTTGTTTGAATTTATCTTTTTGATTAATTGAAGAGAAAATATTATATTTGATAGGTAATTTGATAATTAAAAGAAAGTATTATATTTGATATTCTTTTTATTTCTAATAATTAGCATAGAAATCTGAAAGTAGAAGAACATTTATTATTAATTTAAGAAAAAAAAGAGTTATGAACCTATTAAATTAAAGCTACCAATAACTTGCTATTGAAAATTATAGCTAGCTTATTAAAAGCATAGATTTTAATGAATTAAAAAGTTTAAAATCCCCAGATGATTTCCATTCAAAAATTTATTAGCTTTCTTAGTAGTGGTTACAAAATTTCCCCTAATTTAGTGATTGGATTATTTCAGGAAATCCAAAAGAAATTCCTTAAGTGAATAAATGGTACTTTGTCTCTGAGCAGGATTATTCTCAAAGAAAATTTTTGCAAGCCAAATTAAATTTAAAGATGGCATCAGACAGCAATTAATTGCCTAGTTGGACTCTATTTGATATTAAAAGTTACACTAAAAATTAATTTATGGTAAGAATCATCAAACTTAAGAATAGATATGCAGAGTAGAGATATAACATATAATAGCTCAAAAAGCATTATTTAATTTATACAGTTAACTTAGAATTAGCTATAAATAGTTAAACTATTTCTGAAAATAGTTAACATATATAATATTCTTCATAGACTGATTATTCAGCATATGAAAAGTCATGGGAGTCGTAAAAAAATTTTGAAGATAATTAGTTAGGCGTACAAAATCAATAGAATAAAAGTTTATAAAGGAATCCATAAAATTAATTTATCAATTAATCCACAATATAAGAAATGAATTTGTAAAGAGCTGGTTTTAAAGATATTGTAGATGAAAAATAATTTTTTAAAAATTATTAAGATTATTAGTAAGGCAATCCAAATCAATAGAACTCAAATTTATATAGAACACCATAAAATTAGCCTATAAAGAATTAGTAAGGAAAAAGTTTTATTGACATTGAAGATGAAAGCATTGGGATATAATTAGATGATCCAATAAAGCAATAATTTAACTAAAGATAAAATTTAAATTAAATTCTGATAAACAATGAACCTATTATTCAAAATACTAACAAAAAACAAAGTATTTCTGTCAATTAGACTGATATGCATGATGAAAGTGAAATACCAACTTTTACAAATAAAAATATATAGCAATAACCAAATCCAAATATGTCTAAGGATAACGTGGCTTAAAATACAATAAATCACAAATAAAATTAAAATAATTAACAAAATAATAATTAAATGCATTAAACTTTAAATTCTAACAGTAACAAAGCTGGTGTGTTGATTGATAATAATTAAATAGATCCTTCAAATGTTAGTTCTTCAGAAGAATCCTAAGATTAGATAAAAACTGAGTAAGAAAATGATAACGTAGAAGAATATTTAAAGAAAGAAATAATTATTTTGGATTTGCTAAATGGTAAAGATGAAAAGATAGTACATTAAAAAAATAAGCTAAAAATAAAAAACTAATTAATAGATTAAAAAGATAATATAATTAAATAATTAAATTAGTCTATGGCTGAAAAGGATAAAAGAATTTTAATTTTAGAAGATTAAGTTATGCTTCTTTAGATCCAATAAACATCTAAAAACTAGCCTGGACAAGGTTTTGAAGAATAGGTTGAAATTCTTTTTCAAAATAATTAAAAGTATTTCAATGTAGCTAAAAAGTAAAAGGAGATCATAGACGAATAAGATGAAAAAATAAAAATGTTAGTTGAGCAAAATGAGATATTACAGCAAGAAAAAGAAATTTTTGAATAAGAAAACTCAAAATTTAAATAAGAAATAATTAATCTTGAATAGTCTCATACTTAAAATACTTAAAAACTTTAATAATCCATATAATAATTAAAAAAAAAACTTAAAATACTTGAGAGTAAAAATCAGTAAAATATTATAAAGTTAAAAAATAAATATTAAAACCAAAGCAAAAGATACAAATTGTAAAAAAAAACATAATGGCTCATCAAACATTAGGTAATTAATTTATAAAAATCATTCTAAATTGTATAAAGTGATTATGAAAAATCTAAAAAAAAGGAAAAAACATTAAGCAAAGCTGATCAAGAAATCTAAACAGAGCCTTATAATTAGCAATAAGAGCCTTAATAAAATTAACCTAATATTTAAGAAGTGATCATAAAAGATGAACCACTAATTAAAATTAATAATACTGATTCTGATTAAAGTGAAGTAGAATCTTTATAAAATCAAGATATTGATGAGAAAATGGAAGAATAAGAATATTCTGCTCAAGAGGAAAAAAACCAGAATGAAGAATTGCAATAAGTTGATGGAGAGTTTTAAGTAAATGATGAAATGCATTAAATAAATGATATTCAATAGAATAATGAAAAATTACCAATTAGTAGTTAAAAAGATATATTAAATTTAAATACAATACTTGATCAATAAATTCCTTAATAAATTGATTAAGTAAAATAATAATAAATATCTTAGTAAATTAATTAAACCTAAACGCATATGGTTATCGAAGAAGAGCCTATTAATTAAAATTTACTTACTGACTAATAAATTTTATAAGAATACAGTTAGTTTCTTATTGAAGGAATGAGTAAGGAAGACTTTATTTAAAATATTAGATAAATTCTATTCTTAGAATACATAAAAAAGTAAACCTAAGTGGATGAATAAATTGCTTAAAAATTATAGAGATCTAAAGAAAATCTTTGAAAAATTAGTAAAAATATTTCAAATTCATAATTATTTTAAATGTAAAAGATTTTAATATATAAATCTTAACACCTATATTTTGATATGTGTATTATATTAAAATATGATTTGTGTAAAATTTATTAAATTTTGAGTTTATTTATTTTAAATTATTTCCATATATTCAAAAGAAGCTAAAACAAAATATGAATTTTTTAAAAATTAACCTAATTTGTTAATTATCCATTAAACTTTTTTCAAAACTAGATTCCTAATCAAATTAAAAGAATTTTTTGTTGAAATTATTTTCTTCTGAATTTGCAAGTAAAAATTTAATTTTTTTAGTTTAGATTACTGCAGAAGTAAATGAAATATTTTTGCTGCAAATTTAAATTATTTAGCTATAAATTTTCATTTATTTAATTTGAAATGTTCAATAAATAAAAATTTAGATAGATAGAATTTTTGATTGATTTTTTGTGAAAATTAATTTATTATTTCAAATAAAAGCAAAACATTTATTTTAATTAAATTCTTATTTTTGTTATTTTTCAAAATCAATATTAACTTTGATTTTTTCTTAATTAAGATATTTGTATTTTATTATTTAAATGAAAAATTAATTTGTATTTTTTCTTAATTAATTTTCCTGTTTGTTTGTAAGTTGGATATTTCTTTTATTTTTTCATAATTAATTTTTCAAAATTAAAATCAAAAGCAAGAAAAAAAAAAGCTTTAAATAATTTGATACAGCAATTGTATCGTGGTATACGACAATCTGATGAGTTTTCCAAAGGAGAGGTGTTTTTAACATGGGCGGCCGGTATTAACTAGATTCCACATAATGTCTAGTTAATTTAGCAAGCTTTGTATCCAAACCAACCAAAATCCTAGGCAAATAAGTTTTTAAAAGTCGAATTACGAACCCTTAAAAAAATGGAAAATTCATCAAAATCTATACCACAACATTTTCAAAATTAAAATAAAAAAATAAAAAATTCTAAAGCAGATTAGACTAGTTCTTTTTCCAAATATATATAAAAAGTATTTTTTAAGCATTAGGCATAAAACATTGCAGAGAGACTCAATCAAATAAAAATAAATAATATGATAAATAAAAAAGAATAAATAATCTACAAATATAAATAAAATAAAAATAAAACATTTAATAAAAAAACATATAATAATTGAATCACATAAAACTAACATATTTACTAATCAGATAAGATATCTATAAAATAAAATATCCTCAACATTAATTAAATAAATCCAAAGAAAAAATGCAAAAAAGAAAGAAATATAAATAAATATATCAAAAAATAAACAAAATAAAATTAAACTTTAAAATATATAATACATCATATAATTTTTCTTTTATTAATAAATATCGGAATAATTTATTTTTCTGCTATTTTTAATTAAATTTTAGTGGGTTGATAGCTAATTAATAAAATGCTAATAAGATCTGAAGATTATTTATTTATAAATTATGTAATTAACTTAATAAATCTTCTAGAATTCATAATTTTTTAACTATAAAATGAATTCTTAAACAAAAATTAGCAAATCCAAAGCGAATTTAAAAATAAATTGTTTAAATAAAAGAAATTAATTTTATGAGTTTTCTCATAAGATTTATTATAAGTTTAGAACTCTCTTTCAAGAATTAGTAAAAAACTATTAAAATTCACTTTATTAAAAGATGATTACAAATAAAATGATTTTATTATTAATTATTAAGAAATCATAATTACTAGCAATAAGCTCATAGGTAAGAATGAAACTGCTGTATACCTAGAAGTTTTAATGAAATTAGATGGAAACTTTTTAGAGTTGTTTAAAAGTTAACTATGTTAAATTTTTGAAAATTGTATCAAATTTTTTAGCATATTTTTTTAGGCTTTAATTTTTGTAAATCCTTCAAAATATTAATATTTTTTATCTGTATATATTATACTTTTGTCTTAATTATTACTTATAACTAACATAAGATCTATGTTATGTATTTTTTTATGTATTAAAAAGAAGATTTCTAGAGTGTTTTATTTAAAATTCCAAGATATTGGTAAGATAGCTTTCTTTACCTTTTTGCAAAAGAATAAAATTAAAATTTTCATATTTATTTGTTTTAAATCAATGTAGAATGTCCATTAAAAAATTATAAACTTAAAAAAAATACATAAAAAAACATATATAAACATGAATCACAAATTAATATTTCTTATGACATCTTATAGCTTTAAAAATTAAAACAATCTCTAAATTAGTGAATTTTTTGGATACTTGTTTGAGATCATATGATTAACTAAAGCTAATTAGAACATAGCTTGTATACCTGATACTAAAATTAAGTCAAAGATAAGCATTATAAAAAACCAGCCAATTATATCATTGGTATATGAACTCTCTTTACTTGCTAAAATTGAAGAAATTATATACATATAATAGGTTAATAAACCAAGAGATATTCCTGTCTAAATGTATTGACCAACTATTTTAATACTGTAAATTAGGTTTGTGATTGGTATGCAAATAGCTACAATTATTGAGCTCACAAAGCAAGTTAATACCATATCTCCAGAGCTGTAATATTAACCAAAATGACTTGAAATTGATAAAGCGTGAATAACTCTTAAGTAGAATATTGATGATCTTTACATGCGTGGTATTTTTGAGTCAAAAACAAAGAAAATACTTATAAAATTATGAAAGCAAAAAAGTTTATAAAGACTATTCTGCTTCATAAATTTATTCTACTACTCTTTGTAATTATCATTGTCAGAATTAGATGTAGCTTAGTCAATCTTTGATTATTAGCCTTATTGCTCATTTTACTATTCTTCTTGGATATATTATAGCCTATTGTTTCCACCTAAAACATCAATATTTATTTTACTATCCTTATTTTAGAGGACTAAATTGCTTTGATTATCAATATTGAGTTTAGTTACTTATTCTTGGATGTTAGTTTGTTAATACTACTTTTCCAAATCGATTTTAGTTTAAATTTAATCAAAGTAATTTTCAGTTGCAACTTACTCAGTCTACAGGTTTACTTGAAATTAAGTTTACAAGTTTTCTTGCTAAATAGTTTATTATTATTATTATTCTATTTATAAAGATGTACTTTTCTGTTTGGTTTTTAAAGATCTTTCATCTACAGCTTGATTTAAAGGTATTTAAGATAACTATCTAACATTTAACTTTCCATTTTTTGTGTCTCTGTTTGTTTAGTATTTTAGTTATTATTTGTTGGAAATACTTTGCTATTTATCAAGATGAAATCCATAAATTTAAAAAAAGATTTAAAAAATGGTTTGATAAATAAAAATCCAAAATAAGGAAAATTCATAAAATTATGTTTATTCTTTGTTTTAAATAGTAGAAACTTAATTACTAGAATTTATTTATTGCATTTAACCGTTTTATACACATTATCCATTTTCAATTAAGTACCCTTTTGAGCAAGTCAGGCAAGTATTTAAATCATAGCACTAATCACAATTTACCAAATTACATTAGATACATTGTCTAGCAGATTAATCAAAGAAAAATCCTTATTTACATTATTCGCAATCTATATAGCTCATACATTTTAAACAATTTTCCATACAGTCCAAGCAGCCAACTTAACTAGGATAACCTAACATAAATTTGAGAAATTAATTTTATTAGCAAATACAGCCAACACCATCATCACAAGATAAACAACTAGAATCGCATTTATAACAACCAATACCGTAAAAAGTTGTTTCTCCCTTTTAACATGATTTTGTATAACATATTTTTTATCCATTTTAAGATTTTAATTCTAAACCTTAATAACAACTTTAAAGACCATTATAATCACAAAATCCATAAGCAATATCATTTTTACACTAATATAAAAAAATGATTTAAATTAAAAAAAATAAAATTATATTTATAAATCTTGATTAATTAAGGATAAGCTAAGCTTAAGATATTTAGTAAAAAATTTTTTATGTGAGAAATTAATTGGGTTTTTACTATTAGACTAAGAGTTAAATCATAAATCATATTTTTATCATTTCTCTTTTAACCATGCAAAAGATAATAGGTTTAATTATCTTTTTAAATGTAAAAAATGGTTACTGACAATTTAAAATTGCTAAAATTAGAATGAATGATAAAAATTTCAATATATTATTTTTTTTATAAAAGTTTAATTTGTTAATTTTTACAATATATTTGATCTAAAAAATAAGTCTTTAAAAAAACTAAAGAGAATAAAATTAGAAAATTTTTATTAATGAAAATAATAAATACTTAAATTATTATTAAAAACTTTATAAATCGAATTTAAAATATTCAACTTAAAAATTTTAGGGGGATGAATTTTATTTAGTAGATAAGGAAAAATTAATATTTGTAAAGCATTTTATTATTATTTTATTTTTTAATTTATTTTAAATAGATGAATAAAATATAATTTTTAAAGAAATAATTAATTACTTGGGCATAGGTAATAGCTGTATAGTTCACTAAGTAAAGATTATATTATTCGAAATTATTTACTTTAAAGGTAGAATTGTATTAAGTTTAATCAATAAACTATATTTCATCAATATTGCAGTAAAGTTAATACATTTATTCGCTACATTTTAAAGGTTCAACATCACATAAAATACCAGAATTATTTATATCTACATTAATTTTGCTTGAATCATAACTATTTGTGCCAATCAATTATAATACTAAATTTAATTAAAAATTTAGCGCATTAAATCCTTTTTTTTTACTAAAAATTATGTCACAAAATTAGAATTAAAAAGTAAAATGTTACAAACTAGATTAAATTTATATTTTAGAATTGGTTTAAGTATCACCAAGACCAAAATATTCTATTCCACAATTAGTATTTTTTATTAAATCTCCTTTTACATACTCTTTTCCATTAAAAAAAGCTAAGTTAGAGCTTTTTTCAATATACTCTTTTGTAGAGGTAGTATTAAACTCATACTAACACTAATATCCTTTAAATGATAAATATTTAAAATTTGAAAGATATTTTATGTTTTATACCATAAAAGGGGTGACCGCTTTTTTAACTTAAAGAGTTTATGTAATCTTAAGATGTACAATCTGCAAAGGAATATCTTACAAATAGTAAAATAACAGCTTTATTAAGAGGTAATTTTTAAATAACTTAGTATCGGATAAATATTTTTACCTATGAATTTCCTAAGTAGCATGTTTTTTATTTTCCTTCCCTTCTTTGAATGTATTTATTGAATTTTATCATAAATTATTTATTATAATTATTTTTTTAATTTATGAGAGTATTTAAAATATTTCTTGATACATAAAAATATTAGTTGGGTAAGATATTTGTAAATTATATAAAATGTATATTATTATAAATAACGGGTAAGATATTCGTCCAAAATTTAAATTACCAAACAAAAAGTATGGGCATTTTAGTATATCTTCTTTAATTTATTAGAAAACCATATATTTAATGGATGATTTTTATTAAGAATAAAATTAATTAGTTTTTGAACAAATTTAAGTTAAATGTTTTTAATTTAGAATAATACGAATATTTAATGATAAGTAATGATAATAATTGGTAATAAATTATAAAAAGCCTTTTTTTTTTGAGTAATGTTAAATAATAGAAAATATATTAAACAAAAAATAATAACTTAAACTAATACTTTTACTATGAAATCCAATATTAAAAAACAAGATTTAATTAAAAGTAAAATTTAAATCATGGTTGACTATATTGTCCATAAAAATTTAATAATTTTATAAACCTACTTTAAGTTGAATAGATACTTAATAATATTTATTCATTTATTGGATATTTTAGTTTTATTATTGTTAAATTCCTTTTATATAATAAAAAAAAAATAGAGTATTTTTTAATATTAATTTACAGTCAAACATTAAAAATTGATCAGCTATAATATGACCATATATTTAGGTTTAATTTAAATATTTTGATTTTGAAAACTTTCAGTAAAGATATGCGTTAATTATAAATTTAAAAGCTTTCAGTAAAAATTATTTGATAAATGATTCTAAGCTAAGAGTTGAGTGATAAATTAACAAAAAGATATGATGATAAAAATGTAAGTGTGTAAAAATAAAATAGCTCAAACATATTGATTTAATCAAACAAAAACCATAGATTTTAAAATAAGAAATTGATAAAATTAAGTATTTCTAATTAGTTTTTGATATCTATCATCTATTTCCACATATTTTTATTTATTTAAAAACTTTTATATTTTTTTTTAAACAATAAGTTATGACCATCTTTTTTTATAAGAAAAAATTAAAATATTTTTTAAAAATAAATATTATTTTTAAATATGGCCTAAATTAAAAACTTTCCAAAAATTTTATAAAATTGCCTTAATTAATGAGGAATTACGGTATATATAACTATTCATTTAGGTTTTAATGATCATTTTTTTAAAGAATCTCACATTAATAATTATTTAATAGCAATACATAACAAAAAAAATTAATATAATTATTTTATTTGGAACATATAAATATTAATTGAACATTTATTTAGCTTTTTAAAATACTTTTTAAAAAATAACAAATAAAAAAAAATCAAATTTTGTTTAATTTTGAAGTAATTACTATAATAAATGATCAGAAAAACTCTTACTTAACTCTAAATTATAAAAATACTTTTTAATTTAACTTTTCACAACTAAAAAGGTACAAAAATAAAAATTTAAACTGTTTATAAATTAGAATGAATAATTTTGTATTTTTATTTTTAGTTAGATTATATAGAGTTTTTATATTATCTTTTATATGCTTAGTTATTTACGTTTAAAATAAATATTATCGTTGATTTTACTAGGAAAAACTGCTGAATTTTATCATAAATTATTTTAATTTATGACAGTATTTAAAATATTTGTTGATACATAAAAATATTTGATGGGTAAGATTTTTGTAAATTATATAAAATGTATCATATAATAGACAATGGGTAAGATATATTTGCCCAAAATTTAAATTATCAAACAAAAATTATCGGTAGTTTAGTATATCTTCTTTAATTTATTAGAAAACCATATATTTTATGGATGATTTTTATTAAGAATAGAATTAATTAGTTTTTTTACAAATTTTAAATTAAGTGTTATAATATTTTGATTAATACAAATATTTAATGATAAGTAATGATAATAATTGGTAATAAATTATAAAAAGGCACTTTTTTTTGAGTAATGTTAAATAATAGAAATATATTAAACAAAAAATAGTAACTTAAACTAATACTTTTACTATGAAATCCAATATTAAAAAACAAGATTTAATTAAAAGTAAAATTTAAATCATGTTTGACTATATTGTCCATAATAATTTAATAATTTTATAAACCTACTTTAAGTTGAATAGATACTTAATGATATTTATTCATTTATTGGATATTTTAGTTTTATTATTGTTAAATTCCTTTTATATAATAAAAAAAAATAAAGTATTTTTTAATATCAATTTACAGTCAAATATTAAAAATTGATCAGCTTTAACTTTAAAATTTATTTAGATTTAATTTTAATCTTTTGATTTTGAAAACTTTCAGTAAAGATATGCGTTAATTATAAATTTAAAAGCTTTCAGTAAAAATTATTTGATAAATGAATCTAAGCTAAAAGTTAAGTGATAAATTAACAAAATGAGATTATTATAAAAATACAAACGTATAAAAATAAAATAGCTCAAGCATATTGATTTAATCAAATAAAAACCATGTATTTTTAAATAAGAAATTGATAAAATTAAATAATTATAATTAGCTTTTGATGTTTATCATCTATTTCCACATATTTTTATTTATTTAAAAACTATTATATTTTTTTTTAACTAATTTTTTTATTAGAAAAAATTAAAATATTTTTAAAAAATAAATATTATTTTTAAATGAAAAAACAACTAATATTTAATGAGGAAATAGGATTTTTTACAACTTAAATAATAAATCTTAATTTTAATAAAGGAAAAGAAAATAATATTCAAAATGTAAAAGATGTATACTTTGATAATTATCGCATGCAAAATATTTTTAAATAATTCTGGTTGATAAAATTATCTTTATTAATTTTTATTTTTAATATAAAAAATAGATATAAATTATATATAATAAAATATTATTTTTTGAACTTTAAAAAACCTAACAGGGCAAACAAACTCTTTTAAGTAAAATAAAATGATTTTGATTTATTTATCAAATATGAATTTTATCTAATTGCTCTGGTATTATAAAGAAATGAAAGACTTACTCATAAATATTGTCTATTAAAAGAATGGATGATAATGAATTAATTAATATTTTTTTATTTAATTTTTATCAGTGTAATATATCTGATATAATACAATAGATTATTTTTATTAAATATATTGTAAAGCTAATTATTTATTTCAAAATATGTGTTAAAAATTTATGGAATTTAATTAATAAAAATACGTACTTATTTCATAATATATCAAAATACATTAAAAATTATTTACACTTTTCCTTTTTATAAGATACCATAATTCCTCATTAGTTAAGGTCACTTCCCCCCCAAAAATTTTTCAAAAAAATGGCCATGATTTCCAAAAATTTACTAAAATGGCTTTAATTAAAGGTTTCCTTAATTTATGAGGAATTACAGTGTATAATATTCATTTAGGTTGTAATCATCATTTTTTTAAAGAATCTCATTCTAATAATTCTTTAATTGCAATACATAACGAAAAAATTAATATGATTATTTTATTTGGAACATCTAAATATTAATGAAACAATTATTTAGCTTTTTAAAATACTTTAAACAAAAATATCTAAAATAAAAATCAAATTTTGTTTAATTTTGAAGTAATTACTGTAATAAACGATCAGATAAACTCTTATTAACGCTAAATTATAAAAATACTTTTTAATTTAATTTTTTCACAACTAAAAAGGTACAAAAATAAAAATTTAAACTTTTATACATTAGAATAAATAATTTTGTATTTTTATTTTTAGTTGATTATACACAGTATGTTTTTCTATCATTTTTATGTGCTTAGTTATTTATGTTTAAAATAAATATTATCGTTGATTTTACTAGGAAAAACTGCTATGAAGCAAAACATTTAATTGAGGGTTTATAATTTGGGTTCACCATTTAGTATTAAATAAAAAAACAAGTCTTATTTACTAAGTATTTAAATGTTTTAGGGTAATAAATTAAGTTTGATTACAAAATATTAAATTTTATAATGATAAGAATGAGTACTCATTTACTCTTACTTAAATATTTAGGATACATATTTATTTTTCTTTTATAAAAACAATTTCTTCTTAATTTATAAATACTTCGAAATAGGAAATATGAATACTGATTAAATTTACTTAATTCATATTTCTGCAAAGAATCATTTTTATTTAATTATAAAGAAAGAAAATTAAATAAGTTTATCATAGAATTTGTAAGATAAAATGTTAGTAAATAAACAATAAATTAATATTTATGCTATCAAAAATATTTTATATTCAGAGAAAAATTAATAGGTACCTATAAATTAAAATCATAAGAATTAACTTTTGACTCATATTAATTTTTTCATTTATTTTGCCATTAATTCCAAACGACGGAATTTTTGAATGGAATCTTGCTATATAATTACCCTCCTTTTTTAAATCTTAAAATATTCAATTGTGCCCTTATTTTACAAATTAAATTTGATTTTCTTTACTTTTAAAACCTAATGGCTATGTGCTGTTTAGCAGCAATAGCCATTTTTTTAAATAGCAAAGTGCTATAATCTCTAAATTAAAATAAAATGAAAAAGCTTATGTTTCATTAATCAATTCAATATTTTAATAATATTAGCTAAGAATCATAGATAATATGAAAATAAAAATTGTAGATAAATATTTTGATTTATCTCAATTAGATCAAAAGCACAATTTTAGAAGAATTATTTATAAAACTTTTTTAATTTAATCAAAAATTTATTTCAACTATTTTTCTGAATTTTTAGGGTTATAAATCCTAATGCGTTAAAGCTTTCTATTAAACATAATAATAATTTATTAATACCTAAAATCATATAGTATGCAATTCCATAATACTTATAACATATAATAAAATGGTTAGAATTACATCAAATACAAATATATTTTCATATATTATTTATTATGATTTATTTTTACTTCTAATTAACAAGAAATGGTTTTTTAAATGCTATTATTATTCTGCTAATAAATCTTAAATTCATAGAATTAATAAAATTCTTCAATATTTGCATAAATATTTTGATAAAGATTATAACTGATAAAATAAATATGGCAAGAAATAAATTAACTTAAAATAAATAAATATATTTTTATAAATTACTTTATTTTTCATTTTCATTTTCAAACCAGATTTTTCCTTCTACTCTTAATTGCTTCATTAAATCTTAAAAAGATAAAAAATTCTATGTGTGTTATTTTTTATCCTAATTTAATATATAAGCAAAGCCAAAATAAAATAAATTGAACTATTACTAATTTAAAATATTTTCATATATTTGTAAGTAAAATATTTTTTATAATTACAAATTATTAAAACTAGACTACAAATATGATCCCTCATACCATTCTCAGGTTTTAAATTATTGTGAAAGCAGAAATTTAAGAATTTATTTTTTACATGAAATAAAGAAGATTAATTAAATTAAAATAAAAATCCTTTTTTTATGATTTTTAATTTGAATATGTAATTTCAAATATTTAATTTTATTTATTTAAATATATATGTTAATTAGTTTAAAATAATTTCTAATTTCTTAAAAAAATTATTGAAAATTTTAATTTATATTTTTTGTGTTTTATTAATTGAATTTAGTTAAAAAATTCTTTAAAAAAATTCTTTTTTATATAATATTTTTAAAAATTAAATATTGATTTCATAAAAAATACAAATAAAATCATTAATATTTATCTACAAACACAAATAATAAATATTAAAAATTTAATTTATTCTTATATTTTTTTGATTTTTACATAAATAATTTTACTTTTTTATTCATGACAAATTATGTTTAAAATAAAGATAAAAATTATAAAAAAGAATAAACGCTTGTTTTATTTTCATAAAAATAATTGTAAAATTTAATATTTAACTTTACTAAAAATATGTTCTGATTTTAATTTAGTTTTAATCTAATTTACAAAAAATTCTTTTACATCAAAAAAAAAATGGAATTTCTGATCAGCTATTAAGCTTATATTAAAGATCTAATATTGATAAAATTTCTGATAAGCTATTTTATTAATATTAAACATTAAATAAAAATAAAAGAAATACAAGTATTTTTTCTCATGAGTTAAATTTATTTCTTCGTAGTTTTTTGTATATTACTATCAATACCTTTAGCAATTCAAATAAAAATTTTTTTTTCTTAATTAATTTTTGATTATAATATTAAATAAGAAAGAATACAAAAGATTAGATATGATAAAAATTATTTTGCTTGCTTTGTTAGTTAGCATAACAAGTTGTAAACTTACCTTTCTAAATGCTTCTTATAGTGATGATCCTTCTAAACAGGTAGAAATTATATTGGATGATCAACTTAAAAGTGAAGCAATCATTGATGGATATGGTAGTCTTAATATCTAGTTTAATTTATGGGATTTCAATACATATTTTACATCTTAAGAGTGCAGGTTGTGCTAATATTATGGTAAAGAGAAAATAGTAAATTTTGTCTGTGAAGAAGAAAACAACTGTGTAAAAACAGGAAAATTTCAAAAGGAACCTATAGGTTAATTTATTGCAAGTGGTGATATAATTAACTTCCCATTCATGATAAATTAGAAATAGTTTTATTTTAATAATGTAATGTATGTCAAAGATATTGTGGCTAACATACATGATAAAGATCTTGTTTATATTTCTTAAGGTATAGGTTTGGCTTTAAAAGGATATAATCGTGATGTTAGACGTGCTTCAATATACGAATCTTTATATTAACAAAATAAAATAGACCATAGAGATTCCTCATTTTACTATGGTTCTGACAATAAATACCATTTTGTGATAACTGGTTATGAAAAAATGATGATTCCATTACTATTTAAATAATTAATCGTAAATGAAAGTTATTATATAAACTCAATAGAAACATACTTTGAATTTAACATCAAATTTTGTGACAGATTTATTCATAAAAACCTAATAACTTATGTAGATCCTACTATGGATGATGAAGAATGGATTCTTAGTGACGTTTACTTTTAAGATTTCTATAAAATTATTGATGAGAAGCGACTTTTACCTGACCATTCTATTTACACTGCAAACCATCCTGGTTAGTGGTCAAGTATTATTAACGAATTCACATTAGAATTGCAATTAAAACTAGAAAATAATGAAGTAATTAATTTCTAATATACAGCAGAAGAAGTTATGAAAAAAATAGATAACTACTACACATTAAAACTCTAATTTGCCAGCATAAACCATATTTATCATTTAAAAATAGGTAAGTCGCTTTATAAAAAATTCCTTTTCTTAAAGTATCAGAATGAAAATAAAGATTATGTTATTGGAATAAAACCAATTGAACAAAAATTAGCTTACTCTTTTTGAAGTACATTTTATGTAGTTAGTAATATTTATAAAAAACATCTTTTTAGTTTTATAATTGTTTAATTTAAAAATTAAATTTCATATAAAATTAAATATTATATGATTTAAATTAAATTAATTTTATTCATTAAGTATATATATTTTTAGCAAATAATTCTTTTTTTATATGCTAATTTTAAATTAGATAGATTTTCTTACTATGTAAATAAAATATATTTCTTATTATATACTATGCTTCCGTTGTTCTTTTACTCTTATGCAAATTATAATTAAAAACCTCCAAGTAAACCAAACAATAAAATTAGATTTAAAAAATAAATTAATAAATGAAAATATAAAAGGATAATTGAAGGTATGTATAATAAAAAATAATTTAAAAAATATTAATATAAAAATGAGTCAAATATGCTGATTTTGTGCTCTTGAAAAGATCTGACTGATGTTATATTCTCTTTTACTATTTATCTTAATTACTTGTAGCTAGCTAACATAAGCTCTAATTGTATACTAATAATAATTAAAAAGAAGATTTTTGGAGTGTTTTATTCAAGATATCCTTAAGATAGCTTTGCCTTTTGATTAAGAATAAAATTAAAATTTTCAAATTTATTTTTTTAAAGTAATATTATAATGTTAATTTAAAAATAATAAACTTAAAAAAAGACACAAGCAAACATATATAAACATAAGTCATAAATTAATATTTCCTAGGACATCTTATAGTTTTAAAAAGTAAAACAATATCTAAATCAGTGAATTTTTTGGATATTTGTTTGAGATCATATGATTAACTAGAGCCAATTAGAACATTGCTTGTATACTTGATACTAAAATTAAGTCAAAAATAAGCATTATAAAAAACCAGCCAATTATATAATTGGTATATGAACTCTCTTTACCAGTCAAAATGAAAGAAATAATATAAATGTAATAGGTTAATAAACCAAGAAACACTCCTATATAAATGTATTAACCAACTCTTTTAATACTGTACATTAGCTTGGCGATTGGTATAAATATAGCTACAATTATTGAGCTCACAAAGCAAGTTAATACCATTTCTCTAGAGCTGTAATATTAACCAAAAATACTAGATATTGATAAAGCGTGAATAACTCTTAAGTAGAATATTGATGATCTTTACATGCGTGGTATTTTTGAGTCAAAAACTAAGAAAATACTTATAAAGTTATGGAAGCAAAGAAACTTTAAAAGGTTATTCTGCATCATAAATTTATTCTCCTACTCTTTTTAATTATTTTTATCAGCATAAGATTTAGTTTAGTCAAGATTTGATTAACCTTGTTGCTCATTTAATTATTCTTCTTGAATATTTTATGGCCTATTGTTTCCACCTAAAACATCAATATTTATTTTACTATCCTTGCTTTAGAGGACTAAATTGCTTTGATTATCAATATTGAGTTTAGTTACTTATTCTTGGATGTTAGTTTGTTAATACTACTTTTCCAAATCGATTTTAGTTTAAATTTAATCAAAATAATTTTCAGTTGCAACTTAATTAGTTTACAAGTTTTCTTGTTAATGAGATTGTTATTATTATTCTATTTATAAAGATGTACTTTTTTGTTTGGTTTTTAAAAATCTTTCATCTCCAACTTCGACTTGATTTAATGGTAATTAAGAAAGCTATCTAACATTTAATTTTCCATCATTTGTGTTTCTGTTTTTTTAGTTTTTTAGTTATTATTTGTTGAAAATGGTTTGTTATTTATCAAGATGGAATCCATAAATTTAAAAAAAGATTTAAAAAATGGTTTGATATATTAAAATCCAAAATAAGGAAAATTCATAAAATTATGTTTATTCTTTGTTTTAAATAGTAGAAACTTAATTACCAGAATTTATTTATTGCATTTAACTGTTTTATACACATTATCCATTTTCAATTAAGTACCCTTTTGAGCATGTCAGACAGGTATTTAAATCATAGCACTAATCACAATTTACCGAACTACATTAGATACATTTACTAAATGAATAATCATAGAAAAATCCTTTTTTACATTATCCGCAATTATATAAGCTTGTACATTTTAAACAATTTTCGATACAGTCTAAGCAGCCAACAATCTAATCTGAGTTATATCTAAAATATTTGAGAAATTAATTTTATTTGCAAATACAGCCAACGCCACCATCACAAGATAAACAACTAGAATGGCATTTAAGACAACCAAAAATATTTTTAAAAGCTGTTTCTCCCTAATTACATAATGATTAATCAAATTAGCAAATATTTATTCCATTTTAAGATTACAATTCAAAACCTACCACACAACTTTTAAGACCATTATAATCACAATATCCCATATCATCTAAATTTTAACACTAATATAAAAAAATTATTAAAATAAATTAAAAAAAATAAAAATTATATTTATAAATCTTGATTAATTAAGGATAAGCTAAGAGTAAGATAATTAGTAAATATATTTTTAAGAGAGAAATTAATTAGGTTTTTACTATGAGACTATAAGTTAAATCATAAATCATATTTTTATCATTTCTCTTTTAACCATGCAAAAGATAATAGGTTTAATTAATTTTTTAAATGTAAAAAATGGTTATTGAAATTTAAAATTGCTAAAATTAGAATGAATGAATGATCAAACTTTCAATATATTATTTTTTTTATAAAAGTTTAATTTGTTAATTTTTACAATAAATTTGATCTAAAAAATTGGTCTTTTAAAAAAACTAAAGAGAATAAAATTATAAAATTTTTATTAATGAAGATAATAAATACTTAAATTATTAAAAACTTTAAAAATCGAATTTAATGTATTCAACTTAACAATTTTAGGGGGATGACCTTTATTTAGTAGATTAAGGATAAATTAATATTTGTAAAGGATTTTATTATCATTTTATTTTTTAATTTATTTAAAATAGATGAATAAAATATAATTTTTTAAGAAATAATTAATTACAGTGGCATACGCTATGGCTGTATAGTCCACTAAGTAAAGATTTAATTATGGAAATTAATTCAATTCTAAGGTATAATTGATTTAAGCTTAATCAATAAACTATTATGCATCTAATTTGCATTAAATTAAATACATTTATTCGCTGCATTTTAAAGGTCTAACATTACAGGATTATTAATCGTTATCAGTTAAATTTACAAAAATGTCATTTCCAGAAAATTTATTTGTGCCAAACAATTATAGTACTAAATTTATGTATATTAGTAGCTCGTTAAATCCTTTTTTTTTACTAAAAATTATGTCACAAAATTAAAATTAAAAGTAAAATTTTACTAACTAGATTAAATTTATATTTTAGAACTCATTTTAGTATCACCAAGACCAAAATATTCTATTCCACAACCAGTATTTTTTATTATATCTCCTTTTTCATACTCATTTCCATTAAAAAAAGCTAAGTTAGAGTTTTTTTCAATATACTCTTTTGTAGAGGTACTATTTAACTCATACAGACACTAATATTCTTTAAATGATAAATTTTTTAAATTTGAAAGACACATTATGTTTTATACCATAATAGGCGCGAAAGTTTTGTTAACTTAAAGAATTTATGTAATCTTAAGATGTACAATCGGCAAAGGCATATCTTACAAATAGTAAAATAGCAGCTTTATATAGAGGTAATATTTAAATAACTTAGTATCGGATAAATATTTTTACCTAAGAATTTCCTAAGTAGCATGTTTGTTTTTTTTCCTTCCCTTCTTCAATGTATTAATTGAATTTATCATAAATTATTTATTATAATTATTTGTTAATTTATGAGAGTATTTAAAATATTTCTTGATACATAAAAATATTAGTTGGGTAAGATATTTGTAAATTATATAAAACATATCTTATTATAGATAACGGGTAAGATATATTTGTCCAAAATTTAAATTACCAAATAAAAAATATGGACAATAGTACATCTTCTTTAAATTATTAAAAAACCATACATTTTTTGGTTGGTTTATATTAAGAATATAATTAATTAGTTTTTGTACCTTGAAATTAAAAGTTTTAATATTTTGATTAATACAAGAATTTAATGATAAATAATGATAATAATTAGTAATAAATTATAAAAAGCCTGTTTTTTTTTGTAATCTTAAATAAAAGAAGAAAAATAAATTAAACAAAAAATAGTAACTTAAACTAATAATTTTACTATGGAATTCAATATTATCTAGCAATATTTAAATTAAAGTAAAATTAAAATAATGCTTGACTATATTACCCATAATAATTTATACTCATTTTATTATAAATTTTTTATTGCAACTTCTTAAACTTAATATTTTAAAAAAATGGTTTTACTTGATTAATTAATTTTAAAGTTATAATATAATTTTAGTGAATAATTTTATAAACCTATTTTAAGTTGAATAGATATTTAATGGTATAAATTCATTTATTGGATATTTTAGTTTTATTATTGCTAAATACCTTTTATTTAATAATAAAAAATAAAGTAGTTTTTAATATTAATTTACAGTCAAATATTAAAAATTGATCAGCTTTAGCATTACCGTATATTTAGATTTAATTTAAATCTTTTGATTTAGAAAACTTTCAGTAAAGATATGTGTTAATTATAAATTTCAAAGTTTTCAGTAAAAATTATTTGATAAATCAGTCTAAGCTAAATGTTAAGTGATAAATTAACAAAAGAGATTATTATAAAATATAAATGTGTAAAAATAAAATAGCTCAAACATATTGATTTAATCAAATAAAAACCATGTATTCTAAAGTAAGAAATTGATAAAATTAAATAATTCTAATTAATTGTTGATATTTATCATCTTTTCCACACATTTTTATCGATTTAAAAACTATTGTATATATATAAACAATAAATTATAACCATGTTTTTAATAAGGAAAAATCAAAATATTTTTAAAAATAAATATTATTTTTAAATGAAATAACTTTAATTAATTAAATTTAATAAGTTGATTCATTTTTTGAGGAGTTATTTCAGAGTAAAAAGTAGTTTTTAACTTTAAAAAATCTAAAAGGACAAACAAACTCTCTTAAGCAAAATGAAATGATTTTGATTTATTTATCAAATATGTATGGTTTTTATTTAATTAATTTGGTATTATAAAGAAATGAAAGACTTAGTCTTAAATATTGTATATTAAAGGAATGGATTGGAATTAATTAATATTAATAATTTAATTTTTATCTGTGTAATATTTCTGATTTATTTAACATGATAGATTATTTTTATTAAACATATCGTGAAGATTTCATAATATATCAAAATACTTTAAAATTATTTACACTTTTCCTTTTTATAAGATACCGTAATTCCTTATTAAATAAGGCTGCTTTCCCCCCCAAAGTTTTTTGAAAAAAAAATGGCCCTTTCCAAAAATTTTTTAAAATAACCTTAAATAAAGGTTGCTTTAATTAATGAGGAATTACTGAATAATAATATTCATTTAGGTTGTAATGATCATTTTTTTAAAGAATCTCACTCTAATAATTATTTAATTGCAATACATAACAAAAAAAATTAATATGATTATTTTATTTGGAACATCTAAATATTAATGAAGAAACATTTAGCTTTTTATAATACTTTTAAAAAAATATCTAAAATAAAAATCCAATTTTCTTTAATTTTGAAGTTATTACTGTAATAAATGATAAAATAAATTCTTACTAAACACTAAATTATAAAAATACTATTTAATTTATTTTCTTTACAGCTAAAAAGGTATAAGAAATACAAATTTAAACTGTTTATAAATTAATGCTTAGTTTTTATGTTTAAAATAAATAATATTATTGATTTTACTAGGAAAAACTGCTATGAAGCAAAAACACTTAATAGAGGGCTTATAATTTTGGTTCACCATTTTGTATAAGATAAAAAAACAAGTCTTATTTACTAAATATTTAAATGTTTTAGGGTAATAAATTAAGCTTGATTACAAAATATTAAATTTTATATAAGAATGAGTACTGACTTACTCTTATTTAAATATTTAGGATACAAGTTTATTATTATTTTATATAAGCAATTTCTTCTTAATTTAAAAGTAACTTCAAAATAGGGAATATGAATACTGATTAAATTTATTTAGTTCATATTGGTGCAAAGAATCATTTTTATTTAATATAAAATAAAGAAAATTAAATAAGTTTATTGTAGAATTTGTAAGATAAAATGTTAGTAAATAAACAATAAATTAATATTTATTCTAACAAAAATATTTTTATATTTTAAAAGTAGATTTTTTTATCATTATTTTTTCAAAAATATCATGCAATGTAAGTTTTTCTCCTTAATTGCTATTAATTTATAAATATATCTAAAAATTTTAGAGAGAATCATAAATATTAAATTTAAAAAATAAATTAATAAATGAAAATATAAAAGGATAATTGAAGGTATGTATAATAAAAAATAATTTAAAAAATACTAATATAAAAATGAGTCAAATATGCTGATTTTGTACTCTTGAAAAGATCTGACTGATGTTATATTCTCTTTTACTATTTATCTTAATTACTTGTAGCTAGCTAACATAAGCTCTAATTGTATACTAATAATAATTAAAAAGAAGATTTTTGGAGTGTTTTATTCAAGATATCCTTAAGATAGCTTTGCCTTTTGATTAAGAATAAAATTAAAATTTTCAAACTTATTTTTTTAAAGTAATATTATAATGTTAATTTAAAAATAATAAACTTAAAAAAAGACACAAGCAAACATATATAAACATAAGTCATAAATTAATATTTCCTAGGACATCTTATAGTTTTAAAAAGTAAAACAATATCTAAATCAGTGATTTTTTTGGATAATTATTTGAGATCATATGATTAACTAGAGCCAATTAGAACATTGCTTGTATACTTGATACTAAAATTAAGTCAAAAATAAGCATTATAAAAAACCAGCCAATTATATAATTGGTATATGAACTCTCTTTACCAGTCAAAATGAAAGAAATAATATAAATGTAATAGGTTAATAAACCAAGAAACACTCCTATATAAATGTATTAACCAACTCTTTTAATACTGTACATTAGCTTGGCGATTGGTATAAATATAGCTACAATTATTGAGCTCACAAAGCAAGTTAATACCATTTCTCTAGAGCTGTAATATTAACCAAAAATACTAGAAATTGATAAAGCGTGAATAACTCTTAAGTAGAATATTGATGATCTTTACATGCGTGGTATTTTTGAGTCAAAAACTAAGAAAATACTTATAAAGTTATGGAAGCAAAGAAACTTTAAAAGGTTATTCTGCATCATAAATTTATTCTCCTACTCTTTTTAATTATTTTTATCAGCATAAGATTTAGTTTAGCCAAGATTTGATTAACCTTGTTGCTCATTTAATTATTCTTCTTGAATATTCTATGGCCTATTGTTTCCACCTAAAACATCAATATTTATTTTACTATCCTTGCTTTAGAGGACTAAATTGCTTTGATTATCAATATTGAGTTTAGTTACTTATTCTTGGATGTTAGTTTGTTAATACTACTTTTCCAAATCGATTTTAGTTTAAATTTAATCACAATAATTTTCAGTTGCAACTTAATTAGTTTACAAGTTTTCTTGTTAATGAGATTGTTATTATTATTCTATTTATAAAGATGTACTTTTTTGTTTGGTTTTTAAAAATATTTCATCTCCGACTTCGACTTGATTTAATGGTAATTAAGATAGCTATCTAACATTTAATTTTCCATCATTTGTATTTCTGTTTTTTTAGTTTTTTAGTTATTATTTGTTGAAAATGGTTTGTTATTTATCAAGATGGAATCCATAAATTTAAAAAAAGATTTAAAAAATGGTTTGATATATTAAAATCCAAAATAAGGAAAATTCATAAAATTATGTTTATTCTTTGTTTTAAATAGTAGAAACTTAATTACCAGAATTTATTTATTGCATTTAACTCTTTTATACACATTATCCATTTTCAATTAAGTACCCTTTTGAGCATGTCAGACAGGTATTTAAATCATAGCACTAATCACAATTGACCGAATTACATTAGATACATTTACTAAATGAATAATCATAGAAAAATCCTTTTTTACATTATCCGCAATTATATTAGCTTGTACATTTTAAACAATTTTCCATACAGTCTAAGCAGCCAACATAACTATCTTCATTCTATTTATAATTTATGAGAAATTAATTTTATTAGCAAATACAGCCAACGCCATCATCACAAGATAAACAACTAGAATGGCAATTAAGACAACCAATAATATTTTAAAAAGTTGTTTCTCCCTTATTACATTATGATTAATTAAATAAGCAAATATTTAATCCATTTTATTAAGATTACAATTCAAAACCATCCACACAACTTTTAAGACCATTATAATCACAATATCCCATATCATCTTAATTTTAACACTAAATAAAAAAATTATTAAAAATAAAAAAAATTAAAATTATATTTATAAATCTTGATTAATTAAGGATAAGCTAGAGTAAGATAATTAGTAAATAATTTTTTAAGAGAGAAATTAATTAGATTTTAACTATTAGATTAAGAGTTAAATCATAAATCATATTTTTATCATTTCTCTTTTAACCATGCAAAAGATAATAGGTTTAATTATCTTTTTAAATGTAAAAATCAAATTTATTGTAAAAATTAACAAATTAAACTTTTATAAAAAAAATAATATATTGAAAAAAATTGGTCTTTTAAAAAAACTAAAGAGAATAAAATTATAAAATTTCTATTAATGATAAATACTTAAATTATTAAAAACTTTAAAAATCGAATTTAATGTATTCAACTTAACAATTTTAGGGGGATGACCTTTATTTAGTAGATTAAGGATAAATTATTATTTGTAAAGGATTTTATTATTATTTTATTTTTTAATTTATTTAAAATAGATGAATAAAATATAATTTTTTAAGAAATAGTTAATTACAACGGCATAGGTAATGGCTGTATAGTCCACTAAGTAAAGATTTGATTATTGAACTTAATCCCATTCTAAGGTATAATTAATTTAAGCTTAATCAATAAACTTTTATCCATTTAATTTGCATTAAATTAAATACATTTATTCGCTGCATTTTAAAGGTACAACATTACAGAACTAATATGCGTCATTTAATTTTACAATAGTAAGTTTTCCAGAAAATTTATTTGTGCCAAACAATTATACTAGTAAATTTATTTATATTAGTAGCTCGTTAAATCCTTTTTTTTTACTAAAAATTATGTCATAATATTAAAATTAAAAGTAAAATGTTACAAGCTAGATTAAATTTAAATTTTAGAACGGATTTTAGTATCACCAAGACCAAAATATTCTATTCCACAACTAGTATTTTTTATTACATCTCCTTTTACATACTCTTTTCCATTAAAAAAAGCTAAGTTAGAGTTTTTTTCAATATACTCTTTTGTAGAGGTACTATTTAACTCATACAGACACTAATATTCTTTAAATGATAAATTTTTTAAATTTTAAAGACACATTATGTTTTATACCATAATAGGGGCGAGAGTTTTGTTAACTTAAATAATTTATGTAATCTTAAGATGTACAATCGGCAAAGACATATCTTACAAATAGTAAAATAGCAGCTTTATATAGAGGTAATATTTAAATAACTTAGTATCGGATAAATATTTTTACCTAAGAATTTCCTAAGTAGCATGTTTGTTTTTTTTTCTTCCCTTCTTCAATGTATTAATTGAATTTATCATAAATTATTTATTATAATTATTTGTTAATTTATGAGAGTATTTAAAATATTTCTTGATACATAAAAATATTAGTTGGGTAAGATATTTGTAAATTATATAAAATATATCTTATTTTTGATAACGGGTAAGATATATTTGTCCAAAATTTAAATTACCAAATAAAAAATATGGGCAATCGTACATCTTCTTTAAATTATTAAAAAACCATACATTTTATGGTTGGTTTATATTAAGAATAGAATTAATTAGTTTTTGTATCTTCAAATTAAAAGTTTTAATATTTTGATTAATACGATTATTGAATGATAAATAATGATAATAATTAGCAATAAATTATAAAAAGCCTGTTTTTTTTTGTAATCTTAAATAAAAGAAGAAAAATAAATTAAACAAAAATAGTAACTTAAACTAATAATTTTATATGGAATTCAATATTATCTAGCAATATTTAAATTAAAGTAAATTAAAATCATGCTTGACTATATTACCCATAATAATTTATACTCATTTTATTATAAATTTTTTATTGCAACTTCTTAAACTTAATAATAAATCAACTTACTTGATTAATTAATTTTAAAGTTATAATATAATTTTAGTGAATAATTTTATAAACCTACTTTAAGTTGAATAGATATTTAATGGTATAAATTCATTTATTGGATATTTTAGTTTTATATTGTTAAATACCTTTTATTTAATAAAAAAAAGTAGTTTTTAATATTAATTTACAGTCAAATATTAAAAATTGATCAGCTTTAGCATTACCATATATTTAGATTTAATTTAAATCTTTTGATTTAGAAAAATTTCAGTAAAGATATGTGTTAATTATAAATTTCAAGCTTTCAGTAAAAATTATTTGGAAAATCAATCTAAGCTAAAAGTTAAGTGATAAATTAACAAAAGAGATTATTATAAAATATAAATGTGTAAAAATAAAATAGCTCAAACATATTGATTTAATCAAATAAAAACCATGTTTTCTAAAGTAAGAAATTGATAAAATTAAATAATTCTATTTAATATTTGATATTTATCATCTATTTCCACATATTTTTATCTATTTAAAAACTATTGTATATATATAAACAATAAATTATAACCATGTTTTTAATAAGGAAAAATCAAAATATTTTTAAAAATAAATATTATTTTTAAATGAAATAACTATTAATTAGGTAAATTTAATTAGTTGATTCATTTTTTGAGGAGTTATTCAGAGTAAAAAGTTGTTTTTGAACTTTAAAAAATCTAAAAGGACAAACAAAATCTCTTAAGCAAAATGAAATGATTTTGATTTATTTATCAAATTTGTATGGTTTTTATTTAATTAATTTGGTATTATAAAGAAATGAAAGACTTAGTCTTAAATATTGTATATTAAAGGAATGGATTGGAATTAATTAATATTAATGATTTAATTTTTATCTGTGTAATATTTCTGATTTATTTAACATGGTAGATTATTTTTATTAAACATATTGTGAGGCTATTAAAATTTTTCAAAATATATTTGTGTTAAAATTTTAAGGAATTTAATTAATAAAAATACGTATTTATTTCAAAATATATCAAAATACTTTAAAAATTATTTACACTTTTCCTTTTTATAAGATACCGTAATTCCTTATTAAATAAGGCTGCTTTCCCCCCAAAGTTTTTTGAAAAAAAAATGGCCCTTTCCAAAAATTTTCTAAAATAACCTTAAATAAAGGTTGCTTTAATTAATGAGGAATTACTGTATATAATATTCATTTAGGTTGTAATGATCATTTTTTTAAAGAATCTCTCTCTAATAATTATTTAATTGCAATACATAACAAAAAAAATTAATATGATTATTTTATTTGGAACATCTAAATATTAATGAAGAAACATTTAGCTTTTTATAATACTTTTAAAAAAATATCTAAAATAAAAATCCAATTTTCTTTAATTTTGAAGTAATTACTGTAATAAATGATCAAATAAACTCTTACTCAACACTAAATTATAAAAATACTATTTAATTTATTTTCTTTACAGCTAAAAAAGTATAAAAAATACAAATTTAAACTGTTTATAAATTAATGCTTAGTTTTTTATGTTTAAAATAAATATTATTATTGATTTTACTAGGAAAAACTGCTATGAAGCAAAAACACTTAATAGAGGGCTTATAATTTTGGTTCACCATTTTGTATCAGATAAAAAAACAAGTGTTATTTACTAAGTATTTAAATGTTTTAGGGTAATAAATTAAGCTTGATTACAAAATATTAAATTTTATTAAGATAAGAATGAGTACTCACTTACTCTTACTTAAATATTTAGAATACAAGTTTATTATTCTTTTATATAAGCAATTTCTTCTTATTTTAAAAGAAACTTCAAAATAGGGAATATGAATACTGATTAAATTTACTTAGTTCATATTGGTGCAAAGAATCATTTTTATTTAATTTAAAATAAAGAAAATTAAATAAGTTTATTGTAGAATTTGTAAGATAAAATGTTAGTAAATAAACAATAAATTAATATTTATACTAAAAAAAATATTTTTGTATTATAAAAGTAGATTTTTTTATCATTATTTTTTCAAAAATATAATGCACTGTAAGTTTTTTCTCCTTAATTGCTATTAATTTATATATATATCTAAAAATTTTAGAGTTAAAAAAAAATTAAAAATGTAATATTATAAATCAAAAAACTATTATAAAAAATAAATCAGGTAATTTAAAATTATAAATTTTATTTTAAAAAAAATAAAAAAAGGCTTGAATGGCTAAATTTAATAATTTTTTGTTTATTAAATTAATCTACTTTATAGCTTATCCATGAATTAAATTCTTGCATCTCCGCGTTCACAAGAATTTAATTCATGGAAGTGCTATATTTGCATAATTTTCATAAAAGTAATTGTTAATTTAATATTTTATTTTACTGAAAATACTTTCTGATTTTAACTTAGCTTTAATCTAATACACAAAAAATTCTTTTATATCAGAAATAAATGGAATTTCTGATCAGCTATTTAATTAACATTAAAAATCTATTAAATATAAAATTTCTGATAAGCTAATTTATTAATATTAAATCTTAAATAAAAATAAAAAAATTAAAAGCTTAAAAGTAAAAGAAATATAAATATTTTTTCTCAGAAGATTAAATTTATTTCTTTGAGGTTTTTTGTATTTTACAATACCTTTAGCAATTCAAATAAAAATTTTTTTTTCTTAATTAATTAATGATAATAATATTTAATAAGAAAGAATCTAAAGATTAGATATGATAAAAATTATTTTGCTTGCTTTGTTAATAAGCATAACAAGCTGTAATCTTACCTTTCTAAATGCTTCTTATAGTGATGATCCTACTAAACAGGTAGAAATAATATTGGATGATCAATTTAAAAGTGAAGCAATCATTGAAGGTATTGGTAGTCTTAATATCTAGTTTAATATACAGGATTTTAATACCTATTTTACATCTTAAGAGTGCAGGTTGTGCTAATATTTTAGTAAATAGAAATTAATAAATTTTGTCTGTAAAGAAGAAAACAACTGTGTAAAAACAGGAACATTTCAAAAGGAAGCTATAGGTTAATTTATTGCAAATGGTGATATAATAAACTTCCCATTCAAGATAAATTAGAAATAGTTTTATTTTAATAATGTAATGTATGTCAAAGATATTGAGGCTGACATAAATGAAAAAGATCTTGTTTACATTTCTTAAGGTATAGGTTTGGCTTAATACGGAAAGTACCGTAATGTTAAACGTGCTTCAATATACGAATCTTTATATCAGCAAAATAAAATAGAAAACAGAGATTCTTCATTTTACTATGGCTCTGACAATAAATACCATTTTGTGATTTCCGGTTATGAAAAAATAATGATTCCATTTCTATTTAAATAATTAATGGTAGATGAAACTTATCGTATTAACTCAATAGAAACTTACTTTTAATTTAACATCGAATTTTGTGGTAAAATTATTCATTAAAACATAAGAACATATGTAGATCCTACTATGGATGATGAAGATTTGATTCTCAGTAGCACATACTTTTAATGTTTCTATGATGTTATTAACGAGAAGCGACTTTTACCTGACCTTTCTGTGTATACTGTAAACCATCCTGGTTAGTGGTCAAGTATTATTAACGAATTCACATTAGGATTGCAACTAAAACTAGAAAAAGAAAGAGTAATTAATTTCTAATATACAGCAGAATAGTTTATGAAAAAAATAGATAACTACTACACACTAAGACTCTAATTTACCAACGTATTGCAAAGTTATGATTTAAAAATAGGCAAGTCACTTTATAAAAAATTAGTTTTCTTAAGGTATCAGAATGATAATTAAGATTATGTTTTTGGAGTTAAACCAATAGAAGAAAATATAGCTTATTCTTTTTGAAGCACTTTTTATGAAGTTAGTTGTATTTATAAAAAACGTTTTTTTAGTTTTATAATTGTTGTTTAATTTAAAAATAAAATTTTCATTTAAATACAAATTTTATATGATTTAATTATATTTTATTCATGAAATATATTTTTAGCAAAAAATTATTTTTTTTAATAAGTTAATTTAAAAATAGATATATTTTCTTCCTATCTCTCTTATTTTGCTTGTTTGTAAAAAATTTACAAAAAATTTTTTAAATATTTGGTATAAAAATATAATAAACTTATATTAAGAATTAAGATCGTAGATTTATGAAGTAGAAGAAAAAAAGAAACACTTCTAGGCGAAAACTTTTTTTATTAATTTTTCTACTTGATAGAAAGTTTTACAAATGTTAATAAATGCAAAAAATATTAATTTACAATTTTTATAATCATCAAAAAATATTTTACCTTATTCCATCTATGAATAAATTAATTTATTAATTGATTAAATTTCTTAAGTTATGAATAGATTTACAATAAAACTAGAAAAAAATTTTATGAATACTTTTAATGTATTGTTTTTGAACAATTAAATTATTTTTCTTTATCTTATGTTTTGCACACAAATTATTAAATATTTTAATATCATAATATAATTAATATTCATGAATATTAAATCTAAATTATTTTTTTAGTAATATTTATTTATTTTAAATTTTGTAAATTTCAATTAAAAAAGGTAAAAGAATATTTAGGAATCTCAAATATTAATTATGTGCCTCATATATATAATTTTCCATAGCTAATAACAATTTAAAAATGATAATTGCTAGTCGTATTTTTGTGTTGAATTTACCAAAGTAATTAAATGTATTTTTGATTAAATTTTTAAAGTGTTTTATATGAATTAAAATATCTATTTCAAATTGCATTTAATGTGTATTTTCATTCTATTTTAAGACTCAACCCAACTTTAATTTTTTTTATTAATTATTATTTGATTATAAAATAGCCTTTTATTTAGTTTACAAAATTTATACCAATATATAATTAAAGAATCTAAAAAGTAAATAATTTCTATAAAATAAAATGTAAAAAATGCAGATATAAATATTAAACTGATAAAAATGGTTGTCTTGCAAAAATTACTTTTATTATATTTTGATTAAAGACTTATTCTTTAAGAGTTATAATTGCAGTTTAAAAATGTTTAGAAAATTTATATTAATTTATAATTAAAGTATCTGAAAAGTAAATAATTTCTATAAAATAAAATATACATACATCATTCTTAACTTAATTTTAAAACTACAAAAAAAGGTTGAACAAGTAAAAATAACTGTTAATATATTGTGATTAAATTGATTGATTTTAATAAATTTCAATTTATAAAATATAGAAAATTAAAATTACTTTCTTTTCAAAATATCCAAAAAAAGTAAATACTTTCTATAAAAATAAGATAAAATATAAATGATTCTGACATAATTGTAAAGGTGATACTACTTTTATTTACAAAAATTGCTTTTGTTATTCTATGATTAAAAATTTACAGAATATAAAATCATTATTATAAATATAAAAAACATATATTCGAAATGTAGAAAAATTAAAGTAAATTACTCATTTTAAACTATCAATTTATTATTATTTTTTAAATTAAAGATAGATAGATACCAGTAAAAATATATTATTTTGGATGAAGTGAATTAGATTTTCAAATTTAATAGTTGAATAGTATTTTAAAAATATTTGTCAAAATAAGTGATAATATAAAAATTAAAAATTTATATGAAAACAAACTCATTTCAATTAAAAAATAGAAAAAATAACTTAAATTTTATATTAGAGTTTGTTAGTATTTTATTATTTTTCTTTGTATCTACAAAATATAGAAAATTAAAGCTCCATATTTAGAAAATTTCTATGTTTCTTACCAAAAGCGAATGAGAAAAATTAAAAATAATTATCAATATTAATATTTTAAATAAAGAAGTTTGATCTTTCAGCAACATTTTTACTTTTAAACAATTTATTTATTTTATTTAACTGAAAAAAAAAAAAATTGAATTTTTTTTATTTTTATTTTTTTTAAAAAATTTGATTATTGAAATAATTTATTTATATTATTTAAAATTTTAATTTTAATAAATAATTTAGTATTAGAGATATTGATATGGATGGTTTATTTTTATTTTAAAAATAAAGTCAAAAATGGTTTTTAATTTTTTGATTTACTTATGATGATCCTTTTTAAATTTAATATAGTTGATTCATTTAATTTAATATTTTAACATAGTGCTAAATTTTATATAGGAAAATAAAAATATTAATTTAAAGCTGATTTAGATAATAATCTATGCTTAATATTCTAATTTAATTTTTTCAACTTTATTTCCGAATTTATTTAGCAGAATAATGAATATTAAGTAGATATAGGTGGAAGACTAAATTGATTTTGATGATAGAATAACCAGAGAAATACTAAAAACGAGCAACACAAATCATAATCACAAAATTTTAGATAAACTATTCTAAGATCAGTGTTAGATATATATAAATCTTTGCCTTTATCTAGTTATTTAGTGCTTATTTAATGGCTGATTGCTTGAAATTTATTTTTAAATTATGAGCCTAAATTTGCTTTAAAATTAATCAAACAGTTTGATCATTAAGTGGTAGCCTTAGTAAAAAGTCTAACAGTGCTCTTTCTGGACTTAGCAGCGTATTTACCAGCCAAAGTATCAAGATCTTAGATGTTACCCTTTTCGAATTGATCAGCTCTAACTTCCTTTCTATCGAATAAATCCATAACATTGATTTCACAAGTATTATCGCTAATTTAATTTAAAATTTAAGTTAAAAATTTGGTTAATATTATAAAAAAATAAATAATTTTAATCATATAAATCTTTTCTCGAAGCAATTGTTATTGCTATTGTAATAAAAGTGATATCTTTTTTATTTCCACATAAATCAGTCGATCGATTGATATTTTTATTAGTAATTTTCAATCTATCTTTTCCAAAGTTTTAATTTTTGAAAATTTAAATGTAAATTCATCAGATCTTTTTCTAGATAACATCAAATATTTTTATTTGTTCATTTATTTACTCATTCTATTAGCTCCTTTCTCAAAAAAAAAATTATCTGTACATTTCGAGTGTTTTTAAAAGATCGAAATTGCATTAATTCTTTTTAAATTATTTTTTTAGGATATAAGATGAAAATAATTTCGCATACATTTGTGTAGACTTTATAATATTTATATTCATCATTTTAATTTATTAACTATTAAATTTTTAGACTTTTGCTTCACAATTTTCCTTTTTTTAATTGCAAATTTGTTTTTCCTATTATTGAATATCTTTCTGCAAATCGGCTATCAGATTGGAAATAAATTTTTATATGTTTGTATGAATGTTTTTGTGTTATCTCTTATTAAATTATTACGCATGGACAATGACCCAACCACCAGTGTGGAGGAAATCACCTGAAACATTCTTGACTTCAGAAGTAAATCTAATCTTAAGAGGACCAGGAGGTAAAACATACAAGGAAGCAGGGGTTTTATTTTGAATAACTAAAGAAGCTTCGTTGGTCTTAGCAGTGATTCTGCTGAAGCCGTCAAAGTTGGCTAAATATTCCTTGTAGGGAGTTCTCAAAGTAACTTCCATTTTTTGCTTCTTGGTCAAAGCAGAGAACAAAGCTCTTTGGGTTTGGGTGAGTAAAGTTGGCTAAGTAACGAATCTGGTGAACATTTCTTCCTTATTTATTTTCTTCCTAAAATTTGTTGCTTTTATTTTATTAATTTATTTTTTGTTTTTTTAATCTCAGCTGAGTCTTTCCTTTCCTTCTTTTATTTTTGATTTTTCTTTTTCTTTTCCTCTGTTGCTTGTTTGTTTGCTTGCTTGTTTGCTTTCAATATATTGTTTATTGCATTCTCCTGCATTATATCATTTTGATATTAATTATAAAGGCGAATATTTACTCATTTATTTTATAATATCAAAACATATTTTTATGATAATGAGAAGATACACAAATTACAAACAAGAAATTCGCATTTATTTTACATATAATATGAAGCTATTTCTTAGTTATTTTCTTTTAATTCATTAAAAAATAAATAATTATTATTATTAGATAGATAGATATATTAATTAATATAAACGGATCCAATCAAATATATCTAATTTTTAAATGAATATCGAATATCTTCAATCTAAATACATTTCAAAGAAAATTCTTTTAATATATTAATTCTATTCCTCATTACTTCATTTTTTTTTAATAAATTATTTTAATCTAAAAATTTATCAACTTTCAACTTAAAATTAGACTTTAGATTAAGTTGTTTTATTAAGTTCATTGAGAAATAAATAAAAAATTTAATTTATGGCAATTTAATTAATGTTTATATTTGAATTAAAGTACGATAAGATACAAATCTTAAATAAAGTAAATAAAAATTTTTATCAAAATATCTGATCAAGAAGATTTTAATTGAAATTTCCAAAATAAAGATTTTATTTTTACTATTAATATACTTCAAACAGCATTTAATGATAAATATTTTATTTAATTAATCACTTTTATAATTAATTTAAACTTGATTAATCCAAAATTTGCTTCTTTTATATATCCAATCTGAATCATCTCACAGTTTATCTTTAAATATTTATAATTAAATTTATTTACTTTAGTTAATTTAAAATTGATAGATTTTTTATTTTGAAAATATTTACTAATTTTTATTGTATAATTTTAGAGGAATTATAAAATTAATACCATAATTTGTTTTTTTATAACATTTCGAGTTAAAATTAAGAATATTATCATACATATATCAAGTAATACTTAAATTTAAGCTAATTTTTGGAAAATTAAAATTTTAAAAAATCTTTAATAACTCTTTATTTTTTTGATTAAGATTTGTCTGAAATTATTTTGAAATTTACTGAGAAGCATTCAATACTAAAAAGATTTAATAATCATAAGGTAATTTTTAATAAATAATTCATTGAAATATGAATAAATTTAAATTTTATAAATTAAGAAATAGAATAAATGGTTTTAGTGATTTTAATATCTCATGATGAAAGGAAAAATATTTGTGGATAATAATACAGAGTTACATAAATTAATACAAAAAGTAATAGAGTAAGTAAATTTTGTATCATACTAAGAGATTTAATTGATATTAATTATCTATGCTCATTTCCTTTTCAGCTTAATGAATTATTTTTAATAATTTATATATAATTAATGGATTATCCTGACATACTCATTAACTAAAACCAGAATATAAAAATTTTGGAGCTTAAAAAGTTTTAAGTGCTTCCTTGGCTTCAAATAATTTAATAACATTTTTCAATAACGCTTTTGAGATCCCTTTGATGCTCCAGATACTTAAGAGTGTTATTGAGAGTGTGAGCTTTTATTATCACCTTGATTCTAAGTATTATTATGCTTTTCCTTTGAAATGGTTGGTAATTCGTTATCAGCTCTGGCATGGACAACTTCTTCGGGCATCTTCCAAATAAAAATAGCACCTTCAGCACCAACTGAAACTACAGTTCTTTGATCAGGGCTGATTTGAAGCTTTATTTTAAAATATATAAGTTAAATTAATATTTTTAATATGAATTTTTACTCTAGTGATAGCGCCTGAGTGACCAGTACCTGAATAATACTTAATACCTTCATCATATCCCCACAACTTAACTAATTTGTCTTCACCACCTGAAACGAAATGTTCACCTTCCCTTTAAAAATTTAAAATAAAATAAATTAATCAAAATTTGATGTAAATTAAAAGAAATTCTTACTTTGTAATGGAAAGAGCATTAACTTCTCCTTCTTCAGATCCATCAAGCATTCTAATAGCTTGGCCATCATAAATTTCCCAATAAGTAATCTTTCTATCAGAACCTGTAGTGAGCAATTGAGACTCTTCAGGGTGATAGAGAACTTGCTTGAAAAGAGTAGATTCAAAGAGACACATTAAACGAGTGAAAGTTTTCAAATCCCAAATAATGCAAGAACCATCAGCACTTGCACTAACAGCCTAGTCGTTATTCTTCTTTACTTGGATAGACCAGACACGGCCTCTGTGTTCTTTCATGGATGCCTTCATTACTTGAGTTTGTTTATTGATTACCCAAACTCTGACTTCTCCTTCACTACCACCAGAAACAATTCTTTTTTAAAATTAAATAATTTTTAAATATAAGTTTGCATGTTAAAAGTATGTAGATAAGTAAATTAATAAAAAATAATACCTCTAGCAATCACTTGTAGTGGAAAGAGCAGTTACACCGTGAATATGAGCATCAGAAATAACATACAATAATTTACCAGATTAGGGTAAGAAAGCTCTTATTTTACCATCATTCCAACTTTTTAAAAAAGAATAATTTTAGTTTAAAAGTTTTATTTAATGAAAGAAAATAAAAATTACCCTGAAATGATTGATTTTCCATCATTCATAAAGGTTACACAATAACATTCGAGGTTAGGAACTTGAATACGGAGGAGTTCCTAACGATTACGGGCATTCCAAACACGAATATCAGTGGTGGAGCAAGTGGCAAAAACATCAGAATAATTATAAGGGAAAGCAATGTCATTAATACGTTCATAGTGACAAGTATTTCTCAATTCAGGATTCAACTTTTCAGTATCGATCCAATATATGTTAGACTTTATATTTTATTAATTAATTTATGTTTAATTCTAATAAATGTAATTCATTTTACTTAAGATGTACCACAGAAGAAGTGAGTATAGTCTCCTGTAAATGAAATTGAAGTAACTGCACCCAAAACTTCAGATTGAGATAAGACTTACATATTTTGAATACTTAATTTAGCAACAGTACCATCTCCTGCACCAACAATAATATCACCGTTAGGAAGGAGACCAAGAGTACCTATTCCGAGAGAGAAGAGTTTTTTAACAGGACCAAGTCTTTTGAAGATGGCTCTTTCAATATTAATCTATTATTAAAAAAAATAATTTCAAAAACTGCAAAACTTAGTTTGAAAAGTATTACTTCAAAAACATCACCAGTCTTAGTACCGCAATAACAATAAGTATCGCTAGGATCAATAGCAACGCAGGTATATTGTCTCTTAATATTACCAAAGTTAACATCTAAAGATTTGACCTAATAATCAAAAATATTTTAATTACATTCAAGAACACTTTATTTTTTAATAGTTGCATTTAATAAAAGCTTTTTATGCTAGGCTATTGCAAATATCCAAATTTAAGTTTGAATTTAATTACCTTCTTGTTTGCCTTATCGATTGTTAAAATTTGTACACCATTGTTAAGAACTGCAATAATTTTATCATCTGAATTGTTAAAGAATTTGATTTGATTTACTACATCTCTGTTGGGAGCTCCATAGAGGGCTTTTCCTTATTCTACATCCCAAACAATCATCATATTCTTATCGTCTTATCCACCGAGAGAAGCTAAATATTGTTCATTGCAGCAGAATGACAAACTTTGAATGAGAACTATTTAAAATAATAAAACAATTATTCTTAGAAAAAATAACTTAGAAATTATAAAATGCAAGCTAATAAAAGGAAGCGAATAATAAGCAAATAAATAAATTCATTTTTGGATATTTTGCTAAATGTAATAAATCAGTTGAACTGTTAGATCCATTTTAGCTATCTATGAAAAAATATTTGTATTTGTTATTTTTACCTTTGTGGAGCTTGAGACGATGCATAAGACTGCGGGTTTCAAAATCCCAAATAATAATGTCAGCTTAAAATCCCATATAAGTCTTTTAGCCAGATGCGATATATTTACCAGTCTTAGAGACAGTGATAATTGAGATTTGGTTGTCATGACCTCTCAAAAATGTTTGGCTACGCGAAATAATATGACGGACAACAATAGTTGAACCTAAGGGATAAATCAAATGTTCATTATCAGGGTGCAAAATCAAACCTTCGTTGACTTTACCTATAAATTATAAACGCAAAATACATTAAATGGTTGCAATTAATAGATTGTTCTTAATTATTTTGATAAGTTTCCTTGAAACACTCATTTAATCGATAAAATTTTATCATCATATTTGACATTTATTTGATTAAAATTTTAATAATTCAAATTTAATGGCTTAGTTATTCCTCAATGAAGGCCTATGCATGAGACAAAATAAGACTAAGAGTTAAGTATTTAGTATTAAAAAGAGAAAAAATGATTTTGTACCAGTGAAACCAATAACTGCTTGAATATCGAGTTCTTTCTCCATTATACCTTAATCTATTACAAATTATATAACTGCACTCTTTACTAAATTTTTGTTTGTTTGTTTGTTTGTTTTTAATGTGATGTCTTCTTTTGAATTATAATAAAGAATCTCTTTTTATTTTTATTTTTATTTACAAATATTTTTTTAGTTGTTTCGAAAACAGTTTCTCTTTAAAACTGATTGATTGATTGATTTTTTTACAGCTAAACAAATTTCAAAAAAAAAAATACAAAAATCAAATACATAAATATAGATCATTCTAATCATTCGTTCATTATAATCAATCAATTGATCAATTAATTAATAAACAAATCAATCATTTCATTTTACTTTAAATAATCTAAATGATATTTATTTTCTTAGTATACAAACAAACAAACAATCAGTCACATTATAAACAACTGAATTATTTTATCTATCAATTCGTAGTTATATTTTTCTTTTTTTACTTATAGGCAAATGAATGTAAATCTCTTAAGATTTTAATTGCCAATCATCTACATCGTTAACCTTTCATTCTAAAAAAGCAATCCATATCAATTTTAAAAAAGATATCTCAACTTTTAAAATTTCGATCAAATTTTATTTTCTAATTATTTTTAAATCCAAAAAAACCTACCAAAGAGTTTTAATTTAAATAAATTAAAATATATTAGAAGAATTAACTTTAATTATATAAAAAATATATAAATCTAAATATTCTTATTTATTTAAAATTTTTTATTTTACAGTTAAAAATGATTTACAAATAATTATATTTTTAAAAAAGGAGATAATTAAAAATAGTCTTTATTAGATAGTTAATGCTGTATTGTATTTCATTTTATAATAAGAAATAGTAACAAGATCAATTTGTTCAAAAAATATTATTACTTAAAAATGAATGCCAGTTTTTTTAATTTAAAGTTTGAAAAAAAGAAATAATAGATATTTTTTAATGCTTAATAAAAAAAGAAATCAAAAAATTACAATAATATATTTTATTTATATTATAACCATTAAATTATATTTTTATGCAACTATTTTTATCTAAATATAAAACTAAAATGAAATTTTTAGATTTTTATTTTTGAATAATGAGTTTTTAATTATTAAATTCATTAAAATATTATTTTTTTTAAACAAATTTAAATCACTGAAATAAATAATTAACTATACCTTTCAATATGCTACAATAAAATTGTTCAAATTTTTGTTTTGTTTAAATTAATTTTTATCTAAATTAAATTTATTTATTAGGAAAATAATAGAATTAAAGGTGCTAGAAATTAAATATTTTTTACTCTAATATCTTAAAGTTTTAATATTTCTATGAAAAATAAATATAAAATAGGTTTATATTTTAGAATTATTAATATTAAGATTAATTATAGTATCTCCACGAAATTATTTATTTTTTACTTATAAAATATTAGATTCGATCAATCAATTATTTGTTTTGATCAAATTACAAATAAAAAAAGATATTTTGCAAAGTAGTAAGTTAATACAAATTAGCAAGTTTTTATTGTTTTTAAAGGTTTTAAAGTATAGTATAAATGGCAGCTATTAGGGAAATAGGAACAGAAGATCTTACTAATATAGATCTGGATGATTCCGATTTTGAATAGTTTTTGATTAACATAAATTAAAGTGATATAGATGTTTCTTAGAAACTGTCTAAAGAAACTGTTAATGATAATTTGTAATAAATTTTCATTTATAGCTGTGAGTAGTTTTTAAGCAATTACAAGCCTCTATATGACACAATATAGCAAATAAGCGATTATTCTGCAGAATTAAATCACAGTCTCAATAAAATTGATGATTTAAGCTCTGTCCTTAAATATTAAAATAGATCTCATCTCTTTAAAATTGAAAAACTTTAATTGAGAGAAGATGAACTTTAAGAAAAGAAAAAAATTTTAGATAAATTATTTGACGATTCTCACATAGACAGCGATTTAATTAGGCATTTACTACATAGTGAAGTTATTGATGAGAAGTTTTTTAAGGCTTTCCAATCAATAGAAGCTCTTAAATAGCTGTATGATGAACTTGGCAAAGGTATTATAATTTTATTTTATTATTTGAATTCTTTTGTTAATTTCTACTTTAAAAAAATAGTTGATTCGCCTGAATAAGGATTAAGGAATAGTTTAATGAAGAATTTTAATGAAATTAGAAGTGTTGGTTTGAGTAGAATGATCAAAGCATTGCATACAAGCATATAAAAATCATAGCCATAATCTTTGAAGCTATTTAGATAATCTTTAGAAGAAAATGAAGAGGGATATTTGAAATTTTTAGAAGTGCTTTATAAACACAGAAAATAAATAATTAAAGAGAAGCTAACACCTTTAAAAAATAAAATCAATTATTCAATGACAACAAAGATGAACATATTTTTGAATGAGTTATTTTTATCATTTTTTGAAATTATTAGGAATGAAAAGGCCTTTATGAGAGGTAAATATATATTGATTTTTAGCTATTTAAATTTTAACAAAATATAAATATTTTTTAGATGTATTTGATGAAAACTAAGCTATTATGAAAGCCTTGGATGTAGCTGATGAGCTTTTTGTTGAGATACTTTTAAGAGTAGAAAGATCATTAATTGTTGAAAAAGATTTTTATGAAAGTAATAATAAAATTCATTGAAAATCTAATTTAGTTTTACTTAAACATTTTTACAATTTATTTAGTGTTTAAAATTAGAGAATGCTTGGAAAGAAATAAAATTAATTTTATGAATAGCATGAATATTACTGAGGAAGACTTGAAAGATAGTGAATTAATTTAGTAAGAATTAAGAGAAAGAACCACATCTTTGGGTTAAGTACCTTAACTTTAGTAGTAATCATCATCTTCTAATAGTAACTAAAACTCTTAGCAAAAAATATCTGATGAAAAGATAAGTTTTTCTAATGATAGGAAAATGCTAAGTATTTTACTTGTCTAAAAATTAATAAACCAAACTAATTCGCTCATTAGGCACAACTTGAGCAACGAAGCTGATATTCTATTAAATACTAAATTTGATATCCAAAGAATTGCAGCTTATTAATGTATTGTTGATCTTGTCGAAAAGGTTAATAATGTCTTTAAAATCATTTTCTAAGAACCATAAAGATATCAAGATTTATCAATTTTGTAGTTTTTACATCCATTAGAAAATTTAATTGAATAAAAAGTGAGCAAAAAATCAATTCCTACTTGTATTTTTAGTGCTAACGTTTATATGTATTTAGTTTAAGAACTTAATTAATATGCAGCTAATTCAAGAGAGCTAGAAGTAAGACTAAACGAGTATGAAACTCAAGTAGACGACTATCTTACATTCATAAGTTTGTGCAACTTGCATGAGCTTCTCAAGCTAGGAAAAATTGAAAATTTCGAAAACAATGTTTAAGAAAGAGTTAACAAGAAAGACCAAGAAGAAAGTTTCAAATTACTTATTGTGAATGCAAAACGTGCTTTTGTATTCTTACTAAATCTACAAACACCTGTTTCTAAGAGTAAATTTTTAATTTATTTAAAAAATATTAAAATTAATCTTATTTTAATCAAAGAAATCTTATTTAGAGATCGTTATCTGATTTAAGATGAGCAACAAAGATATAAATTAAAATAAAAAATATTAGAAGAGCTATTAAAAAGATATGCTGTTTTTTATAATGAATTAAATGAATATACAAAGAAAATTTTTAATGGAAATGAGCTTTCTGATATCCCTTAAAACGCTAAATAATTAGCAGATAAATTCAATTTAGATATTAATGATTATATAGATTTGTCTAGTACAAACGCTGAATAAGCAATTATTTACACTCCAGAATAAATCAAATAAAAATTAAACTAAGAAGAAGAGTGAAACATAAATCAATTATTTATTATTATTATTATTTAGTTTAGAAATAAAAAACTGTAATTTATTATAAAAAATATCTCATAACAATTTAAAATCAAAATAAATTAAAATTTATTATAAAAATTAAATATTTATTTCTTGATTCAACTAATACTCTTTTAAATTAATTATATGAAATAAATGTTCAATTATTTTTAATTGTATAAATGAGTTTTTATATTCTAAAAATAAAAAACAACTTTTTTTTTATAATATTTTAAGGGTTTTTAGTTTTAAGTTATGATTTAAATGTATATGTGTATGTATGTATATACCAGAGAATACCCTAAATTCGCAAAAAAAAGATTTATTCACTTTTTATTTTTAATTTTTTAAAAAAAATACACCTTAATTTAGAAAAGCACCTTAACTTAGAACTGATACGGTTTTTATCATTAATTGAAAGAATATAGAATATTTTAGAAAATTATTCTTGGAACATATTTGATATTCTCAAAAATTTTAGAGATAAGGTTATCCTAACTTAATATTGTTAATAAAAAAATATTTTAGTATATTTTCAACAAGCTATTAAAGTGAGTAGATATTCTAAATAGGTTGGATATTCCTTGTTAAGAGAAGAAGTGTTTGAAGATGAAATAATTGAATCTATGTTTTTACTTAAATTGAATTTATAAAATTAAATTACAATTATTCATAATTTATAGAATTTTTTTGTTAAAAATATAAAAAAAATTAAATTAATACAAAATTAGTTAGTTATTTTTTTAAGAATATTATATTTTATTATATAATGATTGTATGTAAATGTTGACAAATTTTATTGTTTGACAAATATTAATTTGTCTATTTTAAAACATATCTGTTATTAAATTTTAAATTTTAATTTGGTTTTATTGGAATTAAATATGAAACAAAAATTTAAAACATACAAAAATTATCAAAATATCAAATCTACTTTTATTGATAGTTATTAATTAATTAATTTGGCATTAATTAATTTATGTAAATTTTAAATGGCAGATATAAAATATTAAATGAATGGGTAGATAGGCAAAATAAGTTTCTAAATTTTAATATTATACAGTGCATGTGTGTATGTTTATATATAACTATTTATTTATTCAATAGAAGTAAATTGAATTGAGAGAGACATGAATGTAGTTTTATGAGTTCAGCAAGCAAGCCAGCCAAGATTTAGAATTGGCTGTGAAAATGCAATCAGTCCAATAAATGAATGAATAAATAAATAAATATAAAGCTATTGTATTTTATTGTTTGACAATCGGATAAAAAGAAAACTAAATAAAGATTAGTGATTTGAATAAAGTAATTGAAGATAAGAAATATTATTTACTAAAAAATTTGTAAATTACGATAAATCATAAGCATAAATAAATAAACAACGAATAAAGCAAGTTCTAAGTATAAGTAGCAGAAAACCATTAAAAATGGATCAATAAGAAGACAATTTGAAAGCTCAGCAAAGAAAGTATATAAATTGCATTTATTCAAATTTACCTAACAAAAATTAAACCAATTTCCCTTAGTTTTGACCTATTCTAAACTATATGTATTAATGGATTTGTTTTCATCATTTAGGTTCATGGTTAACAAACAACTAAGAAAATCCATAAAAATTTAACATCGATTTTTAAGCAAAATCTAAAGTTTTTTAAAAACAGAAAATAACTTTTGAATTATATAATAAAGTGATGCAATTAATTCAGTTTATCCTAAGATGGATTTAAAGACTGTAGGCGGTATGACAAAAAGCTAAAATAAAATCAGCAGAAATTCTAGCTTTAGCGATACAGTGCAAGAAGAAATAGATAAAGATGAATCTGAAAAAGATGAAATGGCAGTAAATAAATTAAGATATTAAAAACTAATTAAAGACAATAATTCCATAAACGAGTTTTTCACCCAAAAAGCTCTATTTCAAGATGAAATCAAAGTCTTTGCTCATTTTGAAAGACAATTTTAACGAAATTTGCCAATAAATAAGACGAATCCTAATAATAAATATTTTAATAAATATAAAGTAAAGTATGACAAAATCAAAATTTAAGCACGTAAACATCATAACTGATAGTGATGAGTTTAATTAGCACAAGGTTAGCGAATAAACAAATACCATGATGTCTTCTTAACAAATTCAGCGAATTAGATCAACTAGTTCTGATCAAGCTTTTGGAGAAAGCATTTAGGAAGATAAAATAGAAGAAGAATCTGAGGTGAATAACTCTCCAAGTAAGCTAAGCACTTCCAAATTAGGTATTATGAACCACCCTATTGAAGAGGCAATTCTTCTTGATAAAGGCGAGTTTGATTGCAGCACACCAACTCGCCCTAAGCCCTCTTCGCTATTGAAGAAAGTTAGCTCATAAACTTAGTATTCCTAATTTAATCAAAAAGAAGAAACTATCACCGAAGATCCTGAAAAGGAGACTGATGGTATTTATGTTGCTAGAATTAGTTCCCATAAAGAAATAAAGATAAAAGTCGATGAAATCGATACAGATAAAAGCAAATAATTCACCCCTAGAATTAATTATATGGAAAATTCTGTCCCAATTATAGAGGAAACCAAAGAAGAAGATCTTGTCGAAGGAAATAAGCAGTTTTAGACAGGTAAATCTTATAAAAAGAATTAATTTTCTACTATTATAAATTTTTGGTTATAATTGTAAAAACTATTTAATTAATTCGTCTAAATATTAACCTTTTTCTATATTTAAAATATTCTAAAGCCAAACAAGAAAGAGAGTAAGAGATGGGATACATAAAAAAAATAGTCAAGTAATATTATTTATTTATTTATTTATTAATAATTTTTAGAAACAGTAGTTTCGATAATGATATTGGTTTTCAAAGCTTTTAATAATTTTCTTGCTTTAACAAATTAGAGGTGATACTATCCATGAAGGAGAGAAGCTTGTTCATATGGCAGAAACAAGTGGTATGACTTCACATATGGCTAGTAATCAAATTAATGAGAATTAGTAAGACGAAGATATAGAAGACAATGATGAGGAAGATATTGTGGAAGTTTTATAAAAGCGTAGAAGAAGCTCATTGAATATTGATAGTTTGCCTCCATAAGAGGAAGAATAAAACGAGTGATGAATAATAAGAAAATGAAAATAAAATAAAAATATTAAAATATTTTATTAAAGTTATATCAATTAATAACATAACAAAACATTTAAATACATACGAGATATAGCTATTAAAACAAATCAAATTAATTTTTAATCCTAATCAATTATTAACTATTAAAACATACCACTATTATCAATCAATAAATCAAGAAGAAGCATGTGCATTTCTAGTAATTATTAGACGAAAGTGACAAAATATTATTTAATGTCTTAGTAAAGAAAGTACATTTAGTCAAAAAGAATGAAAGAAATAGGAGAAATACATTTTTAATTCAAATAATAGATAGCATTAAATCTCAGTCTATCCATCCATCCAGCATTGAATTAAAACACATTATCAATTTTAATGTATAATAAATAATATTCATTTTATTTCTTCTATATTTGTAAATTCTCGTTTTTAGCTATGTAAATAAACCTTCCTTCTAAGCAAAATATCTTGTCCGTTTAAAAGCATTAAATTTAAATAATTTTAAATTTTACAATACATATTTTATATTTATTTACTTATTTGCTTTCTACTTTTTAGAAAATAAGCTACCCATATAACAAGCTAACATGGTAAATAAATTAATAATTAAAAATAGTGACTTTAAAATAGAAAATCACTGTTTTTTTATTTCTGAATGCAAAGATATAGGCCTTCTCATGTTAAATTAATTGCGATCCTATTATTACTATCAAATAAATTACTTCAAATTTCAATTTAACTTTTATTTAATCTTAAAATAAATTGATAATTTATGTCAAATTCTTAAATCAAATTACCTATTTTTATAACTTTGGTAAATGATCTTTCATCACGTCTGATTTGTTATTTATATTATTTTTTTCTTCATGTTTATATTAATTCATCTCATTCACTTAAGAATTCAGATATTAAGAGGTGTTCAAACTTGTATTTACATTTTTTGGAAGTCTGGCTGAATCTAAAGATTATTCTACCATTTCTATTACAAAATAAATTTAATAAACTTGTTTATATTTTAAAACAAAAGACTATTTTTTTTAATAAAACTAAATTAAAGCTAATTATTTTAAGTAAAAATAATTATTATTGCAGATTCAAATCATCATTATTACCTGTTTGCTGTGAAAATACATTTCGATGAGTTTAAGGTGCTTTTGATAAAATTCTATAGTTATTGACACTTTATGCTGTAGGATGATATCTATCTCTAGGTGATGAATTGCAAGAACCTGAAATTGAATGAACTTTATAGTTATTTGGAGTAAAATTAAGCTTTTTTATGTTTTTTTCTAAGTTTTTTATTTCTTTAAAGGAATTTCTGATATGATTTGTTTGTATATTTCTAGGGATAAATGGTCTATCTAAAAATTCTGAATAAATTTATATGGAGGGGTTGTAACCATTTTATGAGTCATTTGAACTTTTTCTGTTTGTTTCATCAACTTTCTCATGAAATACCTACATGTCTTTTAGCTTTTCTAAAGCATCATAACTCTTAATAAGGATTAAAACCAATTATAAAACACTTGCAAGATATTTATTTTCATCTTTAAGCTTTTTGACTGAAAGAACATCGTCTTTTATCATCAATTCTTTGATTTACATTATTTTATGCTAGTTAAGTCTTTCAACTGTTAAATTAAATAATTTTTTTTCAAGGTCTCCTTGCTAATGCCCAAGTTCTTTTTCATTCTTTAAATCAAATATAATTTTAAGCACTGAAAGCAACCTGTTTATCTGCAAATAAATTAAATTAAATTTATTTATTTAAGCTTTTATTTAAACTATAATTACAGCTGGTGTGTCATCATATAAAATAGAAAATCTCATATTCATGTAGCTCTATTAAGTGAAACTAGATATTATTTCTTACATCTCTAAAGCATAATTTGTTAGCTGACTTTCTGTTTTGTTTTAGATTTTTAAAAATTATAATTTTAAAAAGCTTTTAATTTTGAAACAATTTATTACAAAATTACTTTTCAAGGAAAGAAGGCTTGAAAGATTTTAAATTAGGTTCTTTTTCTCCCTTAATTTTTTTAGCCAAAAATGCAGGCTTTCCATTTTAAAATACATAATTAATTCGACCTTTAACAAAGCTATCTCTAAAACATTATTGAATACTGTCTGTTGAAGGAGAAAATTAATTTCTCTAAGAGTTCTAATTGGTTTACAATGCTTAATTTTCAACCAAAGGCAATTTAAATTCTTTAGTTCTAATAGGAGAATTGTTAGATTTTTTAGCTATTAAACTTTAGTTCTTCTTACAACTAGCATCAGAAGCTTCGAATATTTATGATAATAACTCCTATATATTAAAATATTTAATTATTAGTTAAACCTAAATGAAAAAACTACCTCTGCCTTATCAACCATAAAACTTAAATTTTGCTAATTCAAATCTAACAAAATATCTCTTTTATCAACTGCTGAAATAATTAATATATTTTCTAGGCCTTTTTTTAAAAAAAGAAATAGATTATTTATAATTTTTAAAAGTCTTAAAGAATTAGCCTACTATTTTTATGAAGCAGATTCAGTAGTTATTCTCCAACTGTTTATAATCCTTACTCATCTACAAAGCATTCTTTTACACTTTTTTGTATTTACTGAATTTAAGATGACTATTAAATTAGATATCAAAAAAATATTTTACTGCTTATTGCTAGCTATTGACTTCTTCCTTTTTAATTGAATAATAAATATAAAATTAAATATGCCTTGATAAATAATTTAATTTTTTATTACTTCAATTTAATCTTTCGTTTTATCCTTAACTTAGTAGCGATATGCGTAGGAGTATTTATAAAAATTGTCAAACTTCTCCAGCTTTTTCAATCTTTCTATTATTTTTTTTACCTAAGCTAGATTGTAAATAATATAAAATATATTATCTATTAATAAAAATAACTAAATAAGCTAACCTTCGTTTTTTATGTAAGATACGAATGAGCGGTAAGTTGCTTCTACTCGAGTATATGTCTTCCCACATATTATACTTGTTTTTTGCTTTTAATCAATTTGTAATGTATTATTTGATTGCATCTATTTTTGCACATCCATAGAGCTTAATATTTACTTTATTATATTTATTTAGATCGATTTCAATAGATATTTCGATGCAAATAATAATTCAAATGTAAATTACCAAAATCAAATTAACAAGAAAAATATTGTAATAAATATCTTCGCAAATTATTAGAAGCTATAAATACCATCAAAAATATTATAAATAATTAAATACATTAATACTTTGTTTCTTCTAAAATAATAAAAATTAGAATTATATTAATGTAATTTGTTATTAATTTATGCTGGCTTTCTTCAAGTCAAATTTAGAAAGGTATTTTTTTTGTGTAAGCCTTATTTTTAACTAGTTTTTTACTTTTAAAATTTGGAATATTTCGAGTAACTTAAATTCTTTTTAACAAAAAAAACCTTAAAATAATATTTAAATCTAATGATAAATAAAATAAATATTTATTAAATATCATTTCAGTTTTTAAATAATTAATAAATTATATTTAAAAAATAGACGGATAAATTTAAAAGATTAAAAATTAGCTATTATGAAGATTAAATTCTAAGATAACAATTAAAAGTATTAAATTTAAAAGGATAAATTGATAACTTTAATAATAATATAATAATTTTTATGTTTTAAATTAATGTGAATATTTTTAATAAAAAAACGTTTAGATAAAATTAGCTTTTGTAAAAATTAAAACTTAAAATAGTAATTAAAAAGAATTAAATTAAATTATTTAGTTTATAATTAAAAATATATACAATTAACAATAGCCAAATAAGTTAAAATATTCATGAAAATAATATTAAAAATAAACTATCTTAAGTTAAACGAAAAAAAATTGAATTTTTTTTGTTAATGAATTCATAAAAACATATTAAATATTTGTTAGTTTCTCTAAAATATTAATAATTTGAATATAAAATAAATTGTGACTTATTTAATAATTTTAACTAAAACTATTAATAATAAATACTAACTAGTAAAAAATAACCATAATCTTAAATAATCAAATTTCCTAATTTATCAAATATTTTTAAAATTTACCACAACTATTTATTTATACAATCTCAAACATTTTAGATCTAGCTAGTTTCTTAAAATTTAATTTCGAAATAATAATTATTTACTTCCATCTATTTTTGAGGGTTTAAATTCTTACTTGACCATTAATATAAATTTATTTTAATATACAAAATATTTTAAATTATCACAATAGTTTTTATTAATTTTTAAATTTTACTTTACCTTTATGTGAAATTTACTTGCTTACTTTTATGTTATTTTTATTATGTATGTTATTATCTTTGATATAAATTTACTGATGTTTGTTACAGTTCTAACAATGTATTTTGTGGTTTAAAATTAACTCCAACTCATTTTATTTTACCAATTAATTTAGAGTTAAAAAATATATTTCTTAACATTCGGAAGTTGGAATGACTGAATACATGGTTTTGGCTTCAATTTAGTTATTATATTTGGAATAAACATTAATACATTGGTTAAAATTCTCTAAAATAGAATCTTACGAAAATATAAAAATAAATTTTAGCCACTTACTTAACTTTTTATAAACCAATTAGAAAATAAATAAAAAAAACACAAAATTTTTGTATTAATTTAATCTCATAAATTAATTAAAAATTGTTAAGAGACAGTAAAAATCAATTTCTTTATCTTTTTTTAATAAGTTAGCTAGTTAGTTAGTTTGTTTGTTTGTTTGTAGTTTAGCTATAAGTGTTAAAGTAGGAAGATTGGCTCATAATTAATAAATAAATATCTACATTAAAATATTTATTTTTTAAAGTAATTATAATAAAAATTTTATCACTTCACTTTATAGTATGTCTTTTAAAGATCTCTCACCTGTTAAGGGAAAATTCTACCCACAGAGCTTTAATGCAGGATTATTTTCTGCAAACACTTTTATTGAGTAAGTAGAATCTAATGATAATAGTAGGCAAGTATAAAAGCAAAACTAAATAAATAGTATAAATATAAGCTAACTCCCTCAAATTGATAGCTCTCGATAAAAGAAATTAGCTTAAAAGTAAACTATTCCAAGTTCAATCCTTGAAGAGTTATATTAAAAAAGGTAGCATGTAAATCCTAACAAATAATTAGTAGAACGTCGTCGAAATTCGATAGAAAAAGTTAATTACACCACTCATTATTACAGTACTAAGTCATTTATGCATTAGACTCCAGCTTAAAAGCAAAGTTCACTAAATACAATAAATCAAAGTCCTTAGGTTAATGCAAATAAGAATCTATAGCATTCTATTTTGATTGGATAAAATAACAACAATAATACTTTTAACAATTTGCATAATTCACAAATCGGATTCTAATCAAATATAAGAAACGAAAATGATCATATGAGCAATAGTCTTCTTGATTATAATAAAAGGGGATTTTCGTAAAAACCTAGTAACATATCCTAAATTTCAGAGGCAGAATTTAAGAATAATAGTGATGGTAAATCATTTACAAATGTCTCTTAGATGATTAATAATTAGAAAGCCCCAATTTTGTAAAGAAACACTGATGATATTATTGGTCTAAAAAAAGTTGAATTTAAAGACAGTATCTCTGAAAAGCTTTTCAAAAAAGATAAATAAATTAACATTGAGACTGATTTGTAGAAGATTAGAAGCAATATTTAATTATCTAATGAAGGAAAGCATAATTCCTCAGCAAGAGAGCTTAAGGTAAGTATTTCAGTAAATCATACGCCTTTAAGCAATAATATAAATAAAGTGGTGATAATGAGTAATAAGAATAATATACAGTCTGCTTCAAGAGATTAAAATAAAGATAATGGCTTATTAAAATAATAAAGATCATTTAAGAGAAATTTTACTGATTTTTTGGATTAAAGCAGCGAATTTGTTAAATCTCCTTTGCAAGTGAGAGGTAATTCAGAATTTAGATCGCCATCTATTATTTCACCAGTAAATGTTACAAAAAATGAGTAGCTATCTAAAAGAAATTCTTATATTACTCAATGCATCAAAGACGATATAAAGAAGGAGATTCTCTCAAAAAGTGAATTGAGAGATATCTTAAATCACATTTAGAAAGACTTTAGTTATATTAAAAATTCATAAAACGGAATGAAAAAAGGAGGTGAAAGAAAAGATGTTATTGAGCTATCTTAATTATTCGATTAAATGACTCTTTAATTGCTTGAAAAAGAAAATTTTACTTTAGAATCCTTTTTTGAAGAATTTGAAATTATCTACAATGGATGCTTAGGAGAAATTTCAAGGCAAGTAAGCAACGATTGTTTTGAAAGAGGTCAATTGCTAGAAAAGCTGTGGAAGATTATTTTATTTATTACTAAGGATTTCATCAAAAAGGCAACCTAGAAATACAAAGCTACTGAACTGCTTAACTTACAAGAATATGGAAGAATCCATCAATCTTATTAAAGTTAAATTTAGTCTTATCAGAAAGCCAGCTAAGATCAATAAATTGTTATTGAACAAAAGGATGTTTTAATAAGAAAACTATATCAACAAAAAGAGTCTATCAAAAAGAAATACAAAAAATATGAATTAATGCACGCAGTGTTGTATGAAGATTTTGAGTTTCTTGAGAGATATTTAGATAAATTTAACTTCCAAACTTTACAGATGAAGTAAAGAATTTCAGCTTTAGAAGCACAAGAGAGATTGTATATAAAAGACTCAGATCCTAAATTGAAAATAAAAGAAGAAATAAACAAAATTGCACAAAATCTAAGTGATTAATTTATTTTACAACTAGAAGATTAGAAAAATACACTTATTGAGCTTTATGAAATCAGAAAATCTGCAAGAGAAAAACTTTAAGTTGTAGAAAAAAACCTTGATTTTGAAGTAATTTTAATTTTAAAAATAATTAATTTATTTATTTATTTATCAACGTATTTTTTTTTTGATAGTTTAAAAATGGGAAATTAGAAAAAAAAGGTCATTTGGATATCCATGTTGCAGATGCTGAAGATATTTAGTTAGATGACAATTATGGATAAATACAAATGAATGATCAAGAGACCTCAACTGAAGATTTGATTACCATGGTAGAAACATGTACAGATTCTTCAGATTTATTCAAAAAAGAATCTAAAAGTACAAACACTTGGATTTAAACATCAGAAACAGAAGTTTAAGCTACATCTACTACAAAAGAAATAAGCACTTAAGCTGACATAAAGAAAATAATTGGAGAAAATGGCAAATAGTCAGGAAAAAAAGTTAGTGAATCAATACAAGATATAATGAGTGAATTTGATGAAATTAAACTTCCTATTGATTAATTAAAGAATAAGAACTATAAATTAAATTAATTGTTAGAATTCGAGTTCTAAAAATGGACATCTTAAAATAAAGATATTGTTTTAGCCTTTTAATCTAAAGATGAATACACGCCTAACGATTATTAATATTTACTTAATTACTTAGAGCAAAATGCAGTGAAATCTAAGCAGTTTATTACAGAATCTATGAATGCTCTCCAGCATGAACAACAAGCAAGTCTATAGTATAAAATTGAAACATTTGAAACGCGATTAGATAACTAAATTGTTTAAGAAAAAATGAATTTTTAAACTTAAACTTTAAAGAAGATCATACCCAAGTACAACGAACTTAAGAAAGAAAATAACACTCTGAGCTAGTTTTAGGTTTAAACCTTATTGCAAACAAGTTAGAATTAAAACAAAAATTTAAGTGGAAGAAGAGTTTCACATACTCCATATTAATAGTTTGGCAAACAATCAAGTAGTATAACTTACTTAGAGCCATATACTGACTCTCCTGATCGTAAACCTTCAAAGAAGTAAATTGAATCAATGACTTCTCTAAATGTCGGTTTTGTAAGAAACACAAAACGTCACAGCACTCTAAAATAAAATGAGTAATCATCACCTTTAAAATAAAGTGGATCAATGCTATTTAAGCAAAAAAGTTAAACAAATATAAGTAGTTCCTCAATTCAAAGTTAGAATGCTACAAATAAGAAAATAGAAGTAGTAAATTAACAAGCTATAAACAAGATGAAAAATGCAATTTAAAAAATAAACGAAGAATATCAGATTAATCAAAACCATCAAAATGAAATAGTTAGTATTGCTTCCATAACTGATCAAGTAATTGCTTAAAAGTCTGTTCCAAGTCAGATAATATCTGATAATGAGTAAAATAATATGTTAGACAAATCTAATAATGAAGATTTAAATGGGTCAATCAATTAAGATGGATTCTATCAAAATGATAAATATACTAAATAAATAAATTCCCTAGAAAATAAATAAAACAAATCTTCATCCCTTCACTAATCTGTTTAATCCAACTCTGAAGAAAGAACTCAAATAGAAAAACCTATTGACATATCTATTGATGCTAACTTAGCAGCAGCATCTAAAAATTCTTCTTTAAATGAGTTTTAAATCGATGAACAATTAAATTCAATTGATAACACTAAAAATAATTAAATAAAATTATTTTTAATTCCGCCAAATAACTTAAATAGTAATTTACCTAACATACAAGAACAACCAGAACCAGACGAAGCTATTACTACTCCTATCAATAAACTTAACCCAAACACTCAATCAAGTAACTAACACTTTTGCTATTAATTTTCATTTCATAAAATTATAATTTTTTTAATTTTCTAATTAAAATTTGAAGCAAATTATAATAAAAATTTCAAATCCTCAATATTTCCTATTGTAAAAACTTCATTTAAAAGTTTTTGAGAAGAGATTTAAATATATAAAAATTACCTTAAGATAATTGTTTAAATTTTTATTTATAAAGATAAATATTTTTAATGGAAAATAAGATTAAATAAATTAAAAATTATATTTTTTAAAAAACAGAAAAATAGTTATTTACCAGCGAAAGCTCAAAAAAATTAGTAGATCAACAAGAAGATAAATCTAAAACTGTAATCTAGGATTAAAATACCTTATAAAATATGGAAGAAGATGAGAAGTTGAATTAAAATTAATAGGCGAACAATAAGCAGAAATAAAAATTACCTAATTAAAATTCTTTACAATATAAAAAGTAGCTAACAATATCAAACCAATAAAATAATGAAGCAAATATTGGTAGTGATTTATCAAGTGATAGTGATGATGGAAGAGATAAACCATATGTTACTAATAAAGAATAAATTTAAGATTAAATGTATGATAAAAAATATTTAGATGAAGCTTCAGTTGAAGAGGTCCTTCGTGAACATGCCGAAAATGATGAATTCGAAATAGCTTTAAAAAATTTAGATTCTAGTGTCAACACAGTTTAACCAAATCCAAACATTCACTCAAGAATGAGAATTCATGTCTCAAATAGTAAATTTACAGATATGGCAACTGAATACTTGATAAAATCTTTTAAGGAAATAAAAAAAAAGAAAAATTCAAATCTTTTCTTTAAATTAACTCAAATATTAAAAATAATTTTCACAATTCTTTCAGATATCAACAAAGGCAATCCTTTTACTCCCCATAGCCCTACTAATAAGTATAGTAATCCAAATCCAACTAAATACCATTTAATCAATCATTTCCATATTCATCTCTTTGAAAATCTTATGACATCATATGGTAATAAATTCATTTTTAAATTTAAATTTAGATTATGTTAATTTTTCTTTCTCAATAATACTAAAAATAAAAAATAATTTGTTTTACTGAAAATAAAAATTTACAAAAATAAATAGAAATTATTTTCTTATCTTTAAAAATAACCAAAAACAATATAATTTTTTAGTTTTAATTGTGCTTTTTTGTATTAAAATAAATAGGTACTGGCTAGATGATGTTTAAAAAATTTTTTAGAATTATAAATGGAATTTTCAAGTATAAAAAGCATCCTAGGATAAACTTGGTTTCTAAATTCCTCACTGGTGAGTATGATTTAAGTGATTTCTAACTATTTGTGAAACTTTGTATTTATTTGTATCCTGAACTTTAGACCAGCGAAGATAAAATATTGATAAGCTAATCTAAGTGCAATGAGGCATTAAATCATTTCTTGTATTAAAATTTAAATCAAAAGTAAATTGAAAATATTGAGAAATATGTAAATAAAATAAAAATAAAAGGTAAAAACAAATTTATTTGGTTTTCAAATTTTCTTACTTATAAAATATTTTTTTAATTTATAAAGGAGCTTAAAAGAATCAATTTGTTTTTGATTTGGATTAAATTTTAGAGCTAATCATGGAAAATTTCATTAATGAAGTAAAAACTATTAAAAATGAAGAATACAAAGACTTATATTATAGTTAGGACACTGATAAAAAAGATTATTTTAACTTCGAAAGTTTTAAAATAGTTTTAGAAAATATTCAGGGATAAAATTCAGTTGCTGTTTCTAACTTATTTTATAAAGAAAGTGACAAAATTTTAGATGGAGAAAATTTACTTAGTTTAAATAGATTTAGTACATTATGTAGATAAAATAAAATACTTTCACAAAATATTTAATCTAAATATTTAAGTTAACCATCAAATGATTTCATCAGTGAACTTTAAAAGATTTGGTAAGATGAACAATACAACATAAAGTTAAGACTAATTAAGGTCAAAAAATATGATATTAAAAGAAGAAAAATGCTAAATGAAATAGACATCTTTTTGAATGATAGTAATAAGTCTCGCCATTCAGCTAGGACAATTCATTTCATATTTAAATTATTGCAATAAGAGTCAAAAGAGTTGCTTGTAGAAGAGCAATTAAAATAATTAATTCCATAATAATTTTTAATTATTTCTAACAAATATCTTAACACTATAAAAACTCGCTTTAATTAAAACTAAATTGAGTGATTGATCAATAGATACTCTTTTTAATTAATTAATTATATAAAATTCTAATTATTTATCTTTTTTTTGTTGCATAACTAACATATGTATTTCTTAATAATTTAAAAATAAATTATTCTTATAGCAATTTCCATTCTACTTATTATGTATTAAAAATAAAAGAAATCTTAATATCTAATTTAAAAAAATTAAAATTAAACAAAAAATGCTTTATGATTTTTATTTTTTCATGTTTTTTTCATCTAAAAAAATTTACATTTTAGATTGCTTAAAATTAAGTGGAATTTCTACTTCAAATTAATTAATTCAAATAATATTATAAAAAATAATCTATTTAAATTCATATTTTTATTTTGTGATTAAGTTAAATTTGTGAAAAACTTTCAAAAATTAATGACAGAGACATTTTTAAAATTAAATCAATTTAGTTTTTAAAATAATTTATTTAATTTAACTATTTTTTATTTCAAAATTATAAATTTTACTTTATTTTTTTAAAATAAGATTTTAGAGTAAAAATTTAAAAAATATTCTTTTATTTTGTTATCTAATTTACTAAAAGCTTATTTATGAATTAAGATCTTGAATCTTAGCATCCACAAGAATTTCAATCATGGTATTTATAGTTAAGAAGACTTATATATTCTAGTAATTCTAAACTAAAACTTTTATGTGTTTTGAAAACAATTTACTTTTTTTTAAAAGCTTTAAATATAAATTACTTATTAAAAAAAAATTATTTATAATTACGATCTAGCACTAACATATTTATAGAATAATTTCATAAAATATAGTAAACTTTTGATACATTACTATGGGAGATTAAAAAATATAATAACGTACTTTAAAATGTTTAGCTAAAATATGTCTTTACTTTTTATTAGTGGTATGAGAAATTTGATAATTTTTAAAATTAATTGAACATTAAAAAAATTCAAATATATAATGATAACAAAAATATTTTAATAAAATTTCAATTGCAATTCTATTAAATTATTCTTTACAGATATTAAACATATAAAAGTTTGTTTGGCATTTCATTTGAAAACTCTACTCAATTAGTTTTCAAAATAACAATTATATAATACTCAATTTAGCTAGTAAGAATGAACTTATATAACAACAACAACAAAAAAGTAATATTTAAGATTAATTAGGTGATTCTCATTTGAAAATAATTAAAAAAAATTACATTAATTCTACTTTTAATTAAAATAAATAATGAGCCAATAGAAAAAAGTATCTGAAAAGATTAGTACTTTAACAGCGCGATAATTCATCAGCGATTTTAGAAAGAAAAACAGTAATTGTAGATTATCATTTGATAGCTAGGAGCTGAGAAAAACATAACCTATAAAAGTTAGTAGATTAAAATCTACTAACATCGAACAAGGGGATTAAAATAGTATTTTAAATGATTATTCAAGTATAGAAGCTATTTCTTAAAATCATATGAGGTTTAGCAAACAGACAAAAGAAAGAAAGAATTCTTAGTACTAAAGCACTTTTTTTGATTCTTCAAGTATAAAAGAGTATTTAAATCAAAACCAATTTGGAACATCTCAAAGTAGAACAATAACTAATTAGAACATTGACATTTTAAAATTTTTAAAAATAGACTCGATGAACACAACTTTACAGAATAGTGGATAACTATCGATTCAAAAATCTGAAAGTGCAAGATTCTAATAAAGTGGATAGTTTTTATTTACATAATATAATAGTAATACCTTTCGTGAAGATTCAATTTTAGACGGTGTTAAGAGAAGACAATCTTAATCGATTTAGCCAAATAATAGTAGCATTCTAAGAGATTTACATTAGAAATCCAACTCACATTCTTAATAAAATTTTTAAAAAGATGAATATTATTAAACTTACAATTCAGAAAATGCTAAGTAATCATGTCCTAACTAATCCCCTTTAAATAAAGGAAATATCATCACTTTTGCAGTAGGTAAAAATAACCAAGATGAATCAAGTAGTTAGATTCTAAAATCTAAAGACGTGGAGAAAATAATCTAATTGAGATAGTAAGGTATAAAATTAAAGAAGAAAGAGAACTTTTATATGCAGCTTATCTCTAATGATGAAATAGCTCTACCAAAGTATGAAAAAGAATTTCCTTCAATAAGAAGAGAAAAATATCTTGAAAGTTTAAAATAAGAATAAAAAAACTAATTTTCAGGTTAAAAAAACCCTTTTTTAATTTAGCTAGAAGATGGCTCTATTTTAGACATAGAAAAAGTTAAAAATATGACCGATAGCTTGCAAAAATCTCATCGATTGGTTTATCATAATTCATAAAATAGCTAATTTAAAAAACCTGATGAGAGAAAGGACACAAAGATTTTATCTGAGTGGCTTGACAATATGATAAATAAAGTTTATAATGAATAAATAACTTCTTATTATGATTTCTATGAAAAATTTGAGTTGATTTTCGATGGAATAATTAGTGAAATATCTCGCCAATTGAAATCAACATGCTCTGAAAGAGCTTAGCTGCTAACTAAAGTTTGGAGCATTTATTCAACAGTAATAAGCGAATTCTTCTAAAAAACTTAACAAACTAACATAAAAATTGAATCAGAAAATTTTAAAAGAGTAAACAATGTACATAAAATGTATCTTAATGATATAGTTGTGTAGAACTAGCAGATCAAAGAGTTATATGAAAAGTTAGAAACAAAAGAAAACTACATGAATAAGCTGAGGTCTGAAAATAGGTATGTATTATTTTAATAAATTTTTTCAATTTTAAAGTTCTTCAAATAACTTATTCCAATCAACTTTTAAGAAAATAATTAAACATCTTTTTAAGTTTTTGAATTACTTGCTTATTTTGTTAATCTCAAACACAATTTTTAAACTGTTTTCAATTATTTTAAATTTAGTTAATTTTAAAAATTAATTTATTAATTCTCATTAATAAACAATAAATTATAAAATTGTTAAAATATTAAATTAGATATTTGAGAAAGAAGTGGCAGAAGTTAGAAAAGGGAAATGAGTATTAATAGTAGCATTTAGAATAATATATGTAGATGTATGAAGATGTTGTCAAAGAAAATTAAGTAAATAAAATTTTCAATTTTTTATTCTAGTTTTTCTTTTTTTAAGGGATTAAAAATGAGAATAGAAGGGATTATGTTTACATAATAAAACGATTACCTAGATTAGTTTAGTCGAAATGATATCTAAGATAGGTTCCAAGATGAAATAGAAAAAATTAGAACAAAATTATTTGAATACTTTAGTAATCTTTACGATGAGTAAAAATCTAAATTAATGGAAGCATATCAGCTCAGATAAAATTTGAAAGAAAAGGAAATTCTTTTAGCTCAAAAAATTGAAGAGGAGGTTGATTTTTTTTAAATATGAATTTAAATTAAATAAATTGGATTTAAGATAAATAATATATTTTTATTGATTTACTTCTGTTTTGATTTATTTTAGGACGAAGAGTACTAAAAAAACTTAAAAAATAAACTTAAAATGGACTAAGAATCTGTTGATGATAATATTTTAGACAATAAATGCGTAGATACCTCAGATTTATTTAAAACTGATAGTAAATGTGTGGATACTTCATCGCTTGTAAAATATGAAAATGCAGAAATCTAAGCTACTCCTGCCCCAATTAAGCAAGTGTCCGTTTAAATATAAGTTGCACCGAAAATAGTGAGTAGAGAGATTTAGGCAGATATTAGAACATTAATTACAAATAATGAAGTAATTTAAAATCATAAAGAAATCAATTAAAATTTATTTGATTATTTTAAAATTAGAGTTTAAGTTTATAAGATCAGCAGTAGATTCAGTTAATTAATGAAAATTTTATAGGCTTCATTTAAAACTAATTTTATTTAAACTATAGCAAACTAGAAAAATAAAATGATTTAAATCTTATTTAATTAGATTTTTTAAAATTTAAAGAAGGTTGTTAATAAATTTTATCTAAGATACCACTTAAATAAGAATACAGCTAACAAGACTCTAATAATATTGCTGATTATATTGATGGCAATATTTCAAAAATTTACAAATTTATCACTTCAATTTTTGCTACAAAAAATGCTCAAACAAAAATTTCAAAAAATTTATAAATTGGTGTTAAACAAAATCATATGGAAATTTTAGTGAATGCAAATAGAGTTGTCTTATATCACATGTATTAGAAATTTATTAAATAAAATGTTTAGAATTATATATAAAATGATACCAGTTCTGAATAAAATGTAAGGTTTTCTTTGAAAATATATTAAATAAACATATTTTCCTTAATATTATTAGGATGATTTTTTCAAAAATATCTCAAAAAAAGTAAGTGTGACATCTTTTAATAATTTGGAAATGGATAAAATAATCAAATCACCTTCAAATTTATCAGATTCTTTGTCACATTAAAAGAGCTCTTTTTACAAACTTCAGAGAGCATCCAAAAATTTAATAGTTGGTTTTTAGTTTTTAAAAGAAGCTTCAATTAAAAAAGGATAAGAAAAAGAAGAAAAAATTGATAATTATCACAAATACTAACAAATAGCATAGGATTTTGAAAATAAATACTAACAAATAGCTTAAGATTTTGAAAATAAATAAGAGATATAAAAGAAAAACTCGTTAATTTATGAAAAAAAAGATGAGAAGTTAATTCAATTAAATAAAATTGAAAAATCATTTATTTAAGAAAGTAATACCTCAAACATAAAATTAAGCAGCTTTTAAAATAAAATTGTAAATACAAAGAATAAAGAAGAATTATCAGAATCAGATTAATCAGATAGCGAGAGTGAGAGTGAGAGTGAGAAATCATCAAGCGGGAGTAGTCAAAGTGATGAAAGTAATGAATCTTCTGAAATCTAAAAAAAATCTAGTCATATTATTTTGACTGAAATCAATTTAAAAAGTTAAAAAAATTTATAAATATAAAATTAAAATACGTAAAACTAGTCTTTTTTTTAGTTTATAACTAATTAAGAAGAATAAAAGGGTGAAGCGAATAATTTAAATATGAACTTTACTTAAAATTAGAAAAAAGAGTCTATTTCGCTTAGTCCAATAAAATTGGATAAGAAAAACACAGTTGATGTAATTATTATTCTATTAAATTAAAATTTGCAATTATTTTTTATAATAAAGAAAAATAACGAGTCTTCTTAGTTTGAATAGCTAAGTATTTCTAAAAATATCTCAAGAATAAAAGAAGAAGAAGAATTCTATGTAATTTTCACATTTATAGTGAGTATTTTAGTTAAATTTATTTTTTTAAGGTAAAAAGAAGGTCTAGTGTACTGTCTTAAATAATAGATAATGCTAGAGTTTCATTAACCTTAGATATTAGGAATAAAACATCTTCATTTTCACAGGAATAAACTCCAAAAAAAATACCTGAAATTTAAATTAACAACGAAGACGAGGATATTTAATTATCAAAAAGTTCTCCAAAAGCTCTAAAAATTACAAATCAAAAAAATTAAGCTAACGAAAAAATATCAACTTAGCAACTCCTTAGAGAGTTAAAACTAATTACTCCTGTTGAAAACATTTTTAAGAGACTTAGGGTCTCTATAAATTCTAATAAAATTACAAGATAATCTACTAGAATAATAGAAAAAGTCATTTAAAAAATAAATAAAAAACCAAATCAAGCCTTAGACCTGAAAGAATAAAAGATTAATAATATTCTTAAAGTATTTGGAAATATTATGGTTGAGTTAATGAAATATCTTAAAAAAAATACAAACAACACCTTCCCATTTTTTCATGCCTTCTCATTTGATTATTTCATCAATAACTATGGTAATTAACTTATACAAATCAATTTAAATTAATTTCTTTTAAAATTAATTTTATCTTTTAGATTGAGAAAAATGCATTGAAATAATTTAATAAATTGTTTTATTATTATTTCAATATTTATCAAAGAAAATCTTTTTATTCAAAGATTTATTGAAAAAATTTTATTTTGTTAAAAGATTTTTTTTAATTTATTTTAAAGAAAAAAAAATAATGAAAATATTTTTTTATTTTTTGGATAAAAATTGCTCTTGCAACAAAGTTGTTTTAATAAACATGATAAATTATTTAGGTTACAGCTAATCTACTGAGAAGAGATTCAAAGAAACAGTTTATTGTTGTTATTAGCTAAAAAATTCTCACACAAGAGTAAATATGTTTTTCAATCTGCTGGTTGGAGAGATAGATTATATTGATTATAAATTTTTATTGGAGTTAATTTAGAAGATAGATGATTCTAATTAGAATGGAGCTGGTGTTTTTTAAAATACAGGAGAAAAAATATTTATAGGATGGTCAAAAGTTTATGAATTTTTTATGTCGTGCTTTGCTTAAGTAATACCTTTAAAATAGTATTAAGCTTATGACAGGCAAATACAACAAATGAAAAATAAAACTTTTTAAACAAACAAAGTTATGATAAATGCTGACGAAGCTATTAATTTTATGATGAAAATATATACTTAGGAAGTTAAGCAAAACTTTTGTTAAAATTATTTTGATTTATATTTTATTGCAGATATTTATGATATAAATTTCATGACTTTAGATTAGTTTTTCTTTATATATTACTCTATTGAACCTTTGGAAGATTAATTAAATAAAGAGGAACTGACCTAAATATTTATGCAAGAGCATGATTTGCAATTTTCGATTGCTAATTCTAATAAATTTTATGGGATTTTTGACGAGTCAGTCGCATTTCTTTAAAAGTTTACACATCTATAATTGATAGAGTATGGAATATAAAAGGATTTTATTTATGGAATGTCTATTTTTAGATTTTGTTAAATCTGCATAGATTATGACTTTCTCTCATTAAAAAAATAGTAAAAATTTATAGGACACTCAATAGAAGCATAAGTTGGGCTATTAAAACAAGAGTTTGATGGTAGAATATAGTAGATATAAAGAAGGTTTATCGAATCTTCAAAATATAATATCCTTTATCATCTTCAGATAAAAGCTTTAAAGAAATATCTTCAATTAGATGATGAATTGTATACTCACAGTGATTTTTTGTTTGAAGATAAATTGTTAGAAAATAATAAATAGGCTATAATTAATTACAAGCTATTAGAATATGCGTCTTCTTAGCATTATACAGACTACATAATTGAAAAAGATCTTTTAATAAGCCCTTTCAAACTATTATAATAAGTTTTCTTTAAAATTAACAAAAAATTAAAAAATTAAATTAAAAATGTTAATTAAAAATGAAAATTAATTGAAGATTATTTATTTATTTCATGTTAATAGCTATAAAAGAACTCATATTTACTTAATTAAATATTTATTTAAATTAAAATAAATAAATACACTATCATTAAATTTAAAAAAATTCTAAGAAATTCAGCTTCTGTCTATTAAGTACTCTTAATAATAAAAAAATTTTTTACTTTTTACATCAAAATTAATTAAATAACGTATTATTTTTATCAAATTATATTGATTGATTCTTAAATTTCATTTAAAAGTAAAATTATGCATTTTAAAAATACATTAAAATATATTTTATTATTTATTGATTATTTTAAATAGAAACATATATATAACTTAATATATAAAAAAGAGTTTAAGATTTTATATTTTGAACTTTTAAATTATAAAATTAAAAAGAATAAAAATACTATCTATCTATCTATCTATCTATCTATCTATCTATCTATCTATTTATCTATTTATTTTATTTTTTGATTTTATAAGCTATTTTTTTAATATTTTTAATTGATTTAAAAATTTAATCATTTCTTTTTTTATATTCATATTATTAATAGGGAGATTAATTTTATTTTTTTAATTAAATTCTTGTATGAAGAATTAATAGAAATAATCATTTCAAGATAAATTATTTAATTGCTGCTTGAAAATAATGAGTTACATTTTCTAAACTAAAATATTTTTCTAAATCGATTTTTATTTTTATTAATTTTATATTTTGAATTTTATAATAAATAAGTTATTTTAAAAAATATAAAATGTATTATTTTTATTTTAAATAATAAAAGTTAATTTTGTTAAAATAATGCTAAGCATTAAAATCAAATTAAACTTTTATATATTTTTTATGTTAATTATGTTCTATAAAAACGATTAGGAGATAAACATAAAAAGTGATAAAATATTATAATTTTTTATACATTTAATATTTTAAAATATCCAAAAATTTGATACAATTAGAGAAACAACCTAAAATATAATATTTTCTCTTTTTTATTTTAGTTTATTCTCTAATAAATATTACAGTAAAATTTTATTAACGTTTTTTATTATTTAAATACATCTTTATTTATCACTTCCTATACAATAATTACTGAGTATGAAGATTTTGAAATTAATATAGATTGCTTATATTTTCTTATTTATTAATGAAACAATTAAATTTCTATGGACTATTTTAAAAGGATGTGTTAATAAATACTTACAGAGTGAGTATTCTATTATTTTAATGTAAAATAAATAAACAAATATTATGCAATTTATCATATATTGATATAAATGTTGAAGGATTATCAAAATTTATTTTAAAAATTACTTAATTTTATTACACTATATGATGAAAAATGAATATGTATGCATTTTAAGAGGTGAATGTGTGAAACTAAAACAAATGTAATTTATAGTGAAAGTTTCTTTTGCAAAAAACTAGAAGAATAAATTTTTAGTACCCATTTATCAAAAAAATATTATTTATTTATTTATTTACTTTATTTAGCAGAATTTAACAAGAAACATATATTTCTTTCTGAAATTAAAAAGAAAGCGTGTATAAATAAAATGAACAAATTAAAGGATAAAAAAATATAGGATCAAGATAGCGAGGTTGAGGAGGATGACTAAGATTTTGATGTAGGCAGGCATTTAATTTATTTTTTTTGAATGATCAGGATATCAAACTGAACCAAAATTGGTTTTAATTCATTCTCTTTTCTACTTTTCTGTTTACATAGATTTACGATTAATTGTATTGAATAAATCTCATGAATTCTGAAATTATCATTTTTATGCAAAAAGCTTTCCTAGAAGATTTAGCAAAAATAGGCAGAAATAGAAGAGCTCAGCAAAAAAATAAGGTACATGGATCTTGATTTCAAGAAGAAGGAAATAGAGGTATAATTAGTTTTTCATCTTAATGAAAATTAGGGCAATTATTTATTTGCCAAAGTTGGCTTAAAGTATGATAAAATTTACTTTTTTACCATTTAATTTTAAAGATGAATGCATAGCTGGCAAATGAGAAATAGAGAGTAGAAGAATTATAAGATATCCTGTAGAAAAAATTAGCTGACATTAAGGAAAATAAGGAGGCCGACGAATTACAAAAACGATTAACAATAGTAGAAGATGAGTTATTTGAAAAGCAGTAAATTGCTCATGAAATGCTTCGTTAGTTAACAGATATGGAATAAGAAAATGAATATTTAAAGAGTGAAGTTGAGAGACTGTCGTCTTCTTCGCCATAAAAAAATTAAAATGAAGATATAGATGTGGTAAAAAAAATAAATTTATTTGTATTACTTTATGTTGTAATGAAATTAAAGCTTTAAGCTACTTTCTTTTTCAATAATGTAAGGAAGGCTCTATCTAAATTTAATTAATTATTTTTATTAAGGATAAAATAGTCAGTACATGCATGGAGTTGCAAAAACGTAATGATGAATTGTAAACTGAGGTAGAATAGATAAAGAGAGGAGCCATCGATACTATTGTCGAAAAGGAGAAAATAATTATTGAGCTATAGGAGTAACTAGATGGACTTACATATAATATGCAAAACATGGACTAAAATATGATGAATACAAACAATGAGATTCACCAAGAAGAGATTGAGTCTATCCGCAGGGAATATGATCAAAGAATACAGTTTTTAGAAGAAAGATGCATGGATTTAGCTTAGCGCCTTGAATAGGACTAACTTCAGCATGAAGAACAATTGATGAATTTAGAACAGCAAATCACAGAGAGAGTACTTGAAAATATGCAGTAACATATAGACAGTGCTAAGAGCGTTGAAGCTGATTTAATGCAGTAATTGCAAATTGTTGAAGAAAAGTTAAGAAATTAGGAAAAATATTTAAGTGATTCTTAAAAGTTACTATAAAATACACGCGAAGAGTTTAGAAAAGAGAGAGAACAGTATGAGGTTAAGATTCGCAACTTGACTAAGCAAGCTGAGTAATTAGATGAAGTTAGTCGTTAGTTAAAATAAGTTTCAAAGGAATTTGATGACTACCGTAAATAAACTGAAAGAGATAATACTGAGAAGTTAATCTCCTTAGAAAAGCTTCAGTAAAAAAGAGACGAACTGATGAAAGTCCAGATAAATTTAGATTCTGAAAATAAAAGGCTAAAAGAAAACTTGGAGAACAGTAAGTAGACAATAAGAAATTTGGAAGAATAGAATGACTAGCTTTAAGAAAAAATTGATGAAAGCTCACGTGATATTCATTACAGAATCAAAGAGATTACTGAAAGGTACGAAAAAGAAAAAACTGTTTTAGAATAGGAGCTTAGAAACTAAGGAGATCGTATTAGAAAATACTCATCTCATTCAAACAATGGCGCTATAAAATCTACACCTTCTTAGGAGATTCTTAGATAAGTTACACCTCAGTAAATAAGAAAAGATTCATAAAATTTGGAAAAGATTGAACATTTGCATTCATCTAATTAAGTTTAGTCCTTTAATTAAGAAGCTTAAGATGCTAACAGCAAAGAATCGTCCTCAAGAAAATCTAACGCTAGCGCTCCGAGAACCTCAAATCCAAAATAAACTCAACTAGGGTTCGAATTCGAAGATGAAGACTTCAGTATTGAGGAGGAAAAGACAGATAAACTTGAAAAAGCTAATTTAAACTCAGAATAAAATGGATATTAAGAAAAAAGCCAAGAAATTTTAGACTAAGACTTATCACCTAACAACTATGAGTCTTAAAATTCGATTGGAGATCTTCCAGAGCAAAAATTATCAATTTAATCTTCTTCTAGCAATTAAAATCGCAGAAAGAAGGAGTCCTTTAATATAACTGAAGCATCTATAAATCCACTGTAGCCTTAGAGAAACAGCGCTAGAAACTAATTCAAAAAGTAATTTATGTTCCCCTAACAAAACCAAACCAACAATTCTCCTTAAAGAGATACTCTGACATACGATTAAATAGCAAGAGGCTATAACATAGAAAACATCAATATTTAAGATTTAGTAAACGAGAACATAGATTTGAAACTAAGAAACTAGAAGCTTGAATGCTCTATAAATGGACTTGAAGTAACTATTGAAAAGCTCTAGAATGAAGCTAAGCAAACTCTTAAATAGCTGCAAGAAGTTCGCAAAGAAAAAGTATTGACAAACAAAGAAGCAGATTTGATCAACGAGTTGAACTCCTTTAAAGCTCACTGCCACAGAGTTGAAACTTAGTTTGTTACTTAAAAATTGTAGCTTACAGAAGAGTTGCATTTCTATAAAGAAGAAGTGCGCGTATTGGAGAAAATAGCTAATGAAAATAGGGAGTAGATGCTTAAATTAAGTCAAGACAAAGACTACTTCCAGCAGAAATATACAAAACTCAAAAATATATTAAAATAACGCCGTACAGGAGGAAGTGTGGGAGGAAACTCTGTATTTGCAGATAATTATGAAGTCGGTGTGCAGCAATCATAAAAGAAAAAAACATTTTGGATATTTAAATGAAAGAAAAATCATAGATGAATTTAAATAATTTATCAAACAAACATCTTAAAATAAAAAAAATTTTAAATTTTAAAAATAAAATGATTATTTAAATAAATAAATAAAAATGTATAATTATCTACACTCAAATACTCATAATATAACTTACTTATCTAAAAAAATTTTGAAGTCATTCAACTAATTTTGATTAAAATTCAAAATTAACACTTAAATAATCAATAAAAAGTAGAATAAATAAATCTATTTAAAGAGAGGTCAATAAAAGTGATGAAAAACAACTAGTAAATGTGGTCTGTTTTAAAGATTAAATTAAATCTTAAAAGAATTTGGTTGCTTTAAGACTTTTACTCACTATTTATTTTAAGTAATAAAAAGTTATGATGAATTTATTTCAATCCCTTTATATAAATAAAAATGCTTTTATATATGTGTCTTAAATCATATATCTAAGTTATTTATCTATCTATCTCTAAAGGTTATTAATTTTAAACAGTGTAAAATCTAATTAAAATGTTCAATAAGTTTCCTTCCATATTTAAAACATAATTTAAAAAACAATTTCTATAAAATTTAAACATTTTTGAATTAAATTCTAAATCATTACAGAAATTAAAAAATTTGACATATATAATTCACACTCTTTTAAGGTAAAAAATTAATTGTATATAAGATTAATTATTTCATATAAAAACTACATTTTAAAAAAGTCAATCTGAATAGTTTTATATAAACTTTATTGTGTCTTCTTCAAACTAATCTAACTTCTAAGCAATGCTTTTAGGGTTTATTTTTTATTCATACTCCAAAATATTATTGTAAGTATTTTATATTATGTTGGAATATCCAGTAATAATGTTGAGCTTTTATTAAGACTCTTTGATAATGTTTATCCAATCAACATACTCTTCGGGAATGATATTCAGCAATCCTAAAGCCTAGTATTTACTTTTTATTTTATCTATTTGAATTAAGTTAGATCTTTCAAAGCTATCTGCAAGCTCCTAAAACTTTTCAACAATCTTAGTATTGATAATTCTTTTTTCAATGATGATTTTGATTGTATCTTTCTCTATATCATTTACAATTTCTTATAAATCTTGAGATAGTATACTATTGAAATTATTTTGGTTTTTAATATTCTATTATTCATATTTTTCATACAATGATTTTATTAAGCTTTCAATTTATTGTTTCCTATCTTTAAATATAACACATGCATTATATGCATCAAATAATATTTCATTTATTAAATCTTAAGCTCCAAAATCTGGATCAGTCAATCCAAAGAAATCTTCATTAAGAAAGGAAGGTTAAACTTACATCTAATTCATATTATTATAAAAATAACCTCCTTATTGATACTGCTACTAGCTGTTAAAATTCTAACTATTTTAATTGGGATATATAATTTAATTTTAATATTAATTGTACATTTCTAATTATAACTAACTATATTCTTTTTATCGCTTATAAATATAGGTTGTCTCTTTATTTGTTTTTTTAATATATTTTTTACATTAATCAAATACTTTTCTTGTATTTCAAAATTTAGTCAGGTCAATATATAATTTTTTTCTTGCAAATAAAAGATATTCTAATAACTGTTCCTGAGCAATATTCAATCAAGAAATCATTTATTTGTCTAAAAAACAAATAAAAAAATATAAAGAAAATAATCTAAATTAAATATAAAACAAAACTTATAAATAATATTAAAATTAATAAAAAATTTTTTAAATTCTTGTATTAAAATTATAAAAATATTTAATTAAAATATTAAAATACTACTTAAATAAATTTCAATCAAAAGTCATTTCTAATTTAGAATAATAACTCTAATTATATCCAAATATAACATTAAATATTTTAAAATTATTTATTTGATTTTTAGTAAATAAAAATAAACTCTCAAGCAGTCTTTTATCTTAAAAAATCTTTTATGAAATATAGGATTAAAAAATAATAAAATCAAAAAAATAAACTTAAACTAGAATGATTTTCATATGTATTTAAGCTAAAATTAAATTTATTTATTTAATTTTGAATAAATAAGTTGTTAAAAATATAATAATAATAATTTCTTCATAAAAAATTTAAATGTAAATATTTTAATTTATTGAATTTATTTAATTTCATATTAAAATTTGATTTATAACTTTTTTGTTTGAATAGTTATATTTAAAAAACATAAGTTAAAGAATACTTAAGATGAATTTATTAATTGATATTTTTAATATCACCCTAATACTTAAAAAAATAAAATTAATAAACTTAACAAAATTTAAAATCTTAATTAATAAAAGCAAATAGTAAAATATGATTTAATATATTTAAAAGAAATAGATTATTTATAAAAAATATATTTATTTAGTATTTTTAGAGATTAATTTATGAGGATTTTATTATTTTTATATAGTCTGATTGAGTACTTGATAATTAAAAATTAATAAAAATTTTAATTTTATTAAAAAAATGCTTTGTTTATTTGAATAATAATCATATTTGGTAATGAAGAGTAGAATAAATGTAAATGTTATCTATTCTCTTTTTTTATGATTGAAATAGAAGAGTTTTTTTATAAAGCATAAAGAGAGATAGAAAATATTGTAGATAGATAGATAGTTAGTTAGATAGAAGAAGTTAATTAATTTTTTATTTAAAATTCTTTAATTGATTTACAAGAATAACAAAAAAAGAAAATGAATAGGATTACTCAAAAAAAGCAAAAAAAACTTGAATCTTAATTATGAATTTTATAATTCTTATAAATTTGAAAATATCTTGTTTTGAAAAATTAAATTAAAAAGATAATTGATTAATTAATTCTAATAGGAGATTGCTATATTTTTAATTTGATTATACTTACTTCAATTATAATATTAAATGCATAAACAATTAAATTAATTATCACTGCCCAATTTTTTTTTTTAATTTCTTAAAAAAAAATAAATCAATTAAATCTAAAATCTATTTATTAAGTCATATAACACCATTTAGATTTAGCTACAAGAAAATAACTCAAAAATAAGTATATAGCTAACTTAGTACATTTTATAAATTAGTAGTCATAGTGAAGAAGCTTTAACCATAGAAAACTAGCAGAAATGGGAAATAAGTAGTAAAAATAATAGAAAATAAAGGAAATTTCTTAGCAAGCTTAAATTGTCAACTAAATGAAAGATGCTTAAAGAAGCAAAAGCGCTGACCCATATTTGAAGGTTCCATCAAGCAATAACTCTGTTTATGGAGTTAAAGTAACTCCAACAATTGATCCAATAAAATAAATGTAAAGAAGTTAAATGAATAGCTCTAATATGCTCAACTAGAGTTAATTAAATAGATCTGCAATCACTCCTCCACCCAGAATGGGTTAGTCTAAATATGGAGCAACTAACGATAATATCAGATTATAAGACCAAATAGTAGGTTAACCTCTTTAGCAATAAGGAGCAGATCCAAATAGAAGCTATGTTTTATCTGTTGCAGATAGAGCAAATATAAACAGGCAGTATAAAAGCGCTATGATTAATTAAAATAACTCTAGATTAGATATCTCAATGAGAGTAGACTAAAAGAGAAGTGTAAGTCCTAATAAATTATTTCCACCAAAAGAAGAGGTTTAAATGATGTTGTCAAATATAAGAAAGAAGGTAAAATATGCAAAATTATTTATTTAATCTTTATTTTTCATTATAAAAAAATGATAAAAACGAATAGTTTTTATTTTAATTTTAAATTTAAATGTATGAAAAAAAAAATTTTAAGCCAATTTAAATTTATTTACGAAGAAATATTTATTATCTGAAATATATAACTTTATAATATTTTATGTCTGATTAAACAGGAAATTATGCAAACAAGAGAAAAAGAATACACTCTTAAGAAGATGCACCAAGTTAAAAAGGCAATTTAGTTTGTACAGAATTATGCAAATGCAGTTAACTTTTTTGATGTAAAGATTTAAAATATTTTTTAATGAATGAATTAATTTCTAAATAATTTGTTATTTATAGGTTGAGTCTCAACTGAATTCATAAGCGAATATGCTTTTAAATCTAAACAATTATGAGACATTCATTCTTTTAAGAAATGAATCATAAAATGAATTGCAGAAAATGGCTAAAGAAGGTGAAAACAATTAAGATAAATTAAACGAAAAATAAAAATTATATGAAAGATCAGTTTAAATTATTAAAATTATGGATTAGCTTAAGAAAGACGAATTTTTTTATCAGAGCTAGATAGACTACACAGGTTTAATTAAAGAAAAAGAATAGGTAAGAAATAGAGAATAATCTTTAGAAAATATCCTCAAACAGGATATCAGTTCCTTAAGCCAAACACAGTATGGAGAACATAAAAAACAAAACTCTCACCCAAATTTATAGTTAAAAGAAATGCTTGCTGAAGTAGAGCCTATCTAAAAAGAAAGTAATAAAAGGCTCAATTCATAATAGAGTTAGCTTTCAAATAACATTATTAGCAACAATAATAACAGTACCAATAATAATTTAAATAAAATTATCTAAAATACTGACTCTGAGTATCAAAACTCTTTTAAATCTAGTACATAAAAAGACAAATAATTTGGTATTTAATCTTCTTAAAAAAATATTTAGTAAAAACATTAATCTAATTAAAACTCTGTTTCTAATTTTTAGTAATAGCCATAAGATGGCAATAAATCCTCTGTAAAGCAGTTATCTCAACAATAACAATAGTTGTAATCGCAATTAAAAAATAATTCATCAGCATAATTGCAAGATTAACTACGCTAAAAAGAATATGCTTTTTAATTAAGCTCTAATTTAATTAATAACCCTATGGCTAGCACAATTAAAATAAATTCTCAAGAAGCTAACTCATAAAATAAAAATACCTCCCTGCATAATTTAGCCAGTAACGGATCTACTTCAGTTGCCATTTAGCAAGCTTAATCTAACCTAAGCCAAAATAGTTATTATCCTTAAAGCCAATAAAATGCCAAACCTAACTCTGTAACAGAAAATATAAACTAATAAATGCAGTAATCTATTAATTAAGGTTTACCCCATTTTAGCTAACTTTAATAACCTCAGTTTGAATAGAATAGGAACAATAATTTCTAAGAATAAAATCTTCCATAATTTAGTAATCCAGTGAGCAATAATACTTCTCCTGATGTAGAAAATAGATATTAAAATTAAAATCAATTTTACACTACTTAAAATAATACAAATGCTTTTAAGTCAGAATAAATTAGACCATCTTCTGCTAATACCAACTAGTAAATGAGATTTTAATCTGCTAATAACTAATTTTAGTAGGAATAAAATTTCAATCAATAGTAACTTTATTAACAGGATTAATAAAATCCTGCTGCTGATAGCGAATACAAATCATAAAGGAAATAATGGTTCAACTCAAATGAAAATAATTAAATTAATTAAGTAAACTTAATTGAAGAAACAGGTAAATTCTAAAACAACTCAACAAGAAATTAATTTGGTTAAAATTTCACCTCTTATAATAACTAAAATATGCAAGGTATAATACCTCACAGCTAAAGCTCAGTTTAACTTTCAAATCCTTAATTTAATCAAAACTAATTTGAAAATAAAAGCAATAATTTTAATCAATATTAATAGTAATAATAAGAGGATCAAAACTACCAAGTAAATATTATCCCAGCAAATCCGAGAAGTTTAACCCCTAATAGTTAATAAGTATTCGCATCTGATTTAACAAATTAAATTAATTTATAAAATTTTTAATAGCAGCAATAATAACCCAACATTTCTTAGATAAACGTCTAACCAGCAACCACAAGAAATATCAGAAAAGAAATTGAAGTAGCTCTAGCAAATAAACAAAGAAGAGCCTCTCTCTAACATTCAGAAATCTAAACTATGAAGAATTCTATGAATACTAACCAACCTATGAAGGAATCTTACATTACGAACATGGATGGTACTCATTTATTACCTTACTAACAAAATTACTAGACTTAAAATTATGAAAATGAAGAAGATTACTAACTTTAAGTTCCACAAAATACCTCACAAGTAAACGAATCTTACCTCTCTAAGAATAATGTTAATGTTTATATTGGCAAAGAGCGTCTCTAGAAAAAGGGTAATGATATTCAGGTCTACCGTAACGTTAAATTAAATAAAGTTAAAGCTGGCTAATAAAACAATATTACATAACATAATACAAGTACTAATGCTTTAAACAGAAAAGGTTCTAAAATAATTCAAATAAATAAATAAAACAATATAACATCTATGAAAAATAGTGGCGCAAGCAATAACAACAATAATTACTTGCAACAGCATCTCAATAAAGTTGCAAGCTAAAAGTAAATTTACAAACCTCTGAATGCTTCTTCATCGCAAAATGTAGTTTAAGATTAATTCCACATGATTATGAACTAATAATAACTCCAAGAATAAAATCTTTTTAACAATATGTCTGCAATAAATTATCCCAATAACGCAAACAATTAAAATCATGAGAATAGCTTTTTAAGTAATAACAGCAATATCCTCTTAAATGATTAGTCACTTTTAGAAAATTATCATATTTCTAAAATGCACTAGTGTGATGCTAACCATGAGCATGAAAGATTCAAAACTCCTAAGAAATATTAAAATATAGAATCCCATTACAGTCCTAACAATCTGTAATTTTACCTAAACAAGGATCACAAAAGTTACTCCAACAATTAAAAATGGGTATAAGAAAAAACAATCGTAGATAAAACAAATAATGCAGGTGCTCGTACTTTCTGGGACAGAAAACCTGATTCTGAAATAAGGACACAAACAAAAAACTAATAAATAACTTAAAAACTTACTAATTAGACAAAATAATTAGAAACTGGAATGAAAGACATGTAAAAATCGATAGCCCTTTATAAATCTAACAATGAAAAAATCTATAAATCGACTATTGAAATACCAACTTTACCTACAAATCAAATTTAAGAGAGTCCAAAAAAACAATACCATCTTAAATATGATATTAAGAATAATTAAAGCGATAAAAATCAAAGCGAACAAATGAATCGCATATTTGTTTAGCACTTATAATAATAAGCCAACAATGGGTCTTTAAGCGATAGATCTCATTATACTTAAATATACCCAAGAGAATTTGATACAATTAAAAACATTTAATTGAGAGATTAGAACTTATAAAATATACACAAAGAAGTTTACGATCTCAGCAATCGTGTATAAAATGGACTTAAAAATTAAAATAACTTCAATCACATAAAGTCATCCAACAACCTTTCTGAAAACAATGATGACAATAAAAATAAAGTAGTTTATTAAACACTAGGTGTTCCTACATCTAATAACGCCTTTTATTAGCCTAATTGGGTCTAAATTAATGTAAATTATTTAAATTTATTTAAAGTTGAAATTAATTTTTATTATAACAAATAGAAAAGCATCCCTTCCAAGAGTCACAACCATAGCTAAGACGAATATCAAAATCCTGGATACAGAGAAGATGAGCAAATTATTAACCATATCTCCAAACATGAATCTCCAGAAATTCAAAAACAACAAAATACCTCTATCTCATAATTCTAAAAGTAAAGACAACAATTTTACTAGCAAAGAGAAATTTAAAATCAAAATTCTCACTCTGAAAGTTATTATCATTAAATACCATAGTCCTAACAAGGTTCAGATTAAAAGTAATATTCGATATCAGAACAAAGAATCCCAGCCTAACCATCAAGAAATTATACATAGTAACAAGCATTAAACCAATCAAATCAGATGACTATGATCCATAAATATGGACCTGATAATAGTCAATATCAATTTAATTAAGGAGAATAATCAGCTGAAGTAGATTCAATAAAAAAAGAATTGCTTGTGTGAAAATCTAAAAAGCTGAACCAATTAATAACATATTTTTATGAAAAGTAAAGTAATCAATTATATAAAATAATATATCTTTCTGTATTTATATAAAAATTAATTAATTCAATTCTTAAATTATTTATGAAAATATCAAATAAAAAAATTATTGGATTCAAATAGTTTTAACTTATTTTAATTATATTCTTTAAAATTAAAAAAAAATAAATTTTATTATTGAACCTAAATAAAATTTTGCATTTATTTTGTCATTATTTTTCGTATTTATTATTTTTGTTAAAATTAAATAAAATTTTTTATAATTGCTGAATGAATTTTCATTTAAAAAAAAAAATGAATAAATGAAAGAATGAATGATAAATACATGTGATAGAAATATCAAAATTTATAAAAATTAAACTAGATTTAACAATTTACAAGAAAGTAAATAAATAAATTAAATTAAATAATGAAATTCTATTTTTTTTAATATTTTTATTAAAAAATTGCATTAATTTATTTGATTTTAAGTAAATATGAAAAAATACATTTTTAAATATGTAAATAAATTATATTTGTAGGTTCATTATCAAAATATAAAATTTAAAAAAAATAGATTTCATTCAATAATTTATGATAACTTTAATCTCTTTAATTTTATCAAAAAATTAAATTTTTGTTTTTCTTTAATATTTTTAATAGTTTTGTTAAAAAAAATTTAAATCAATAAATTTTTTTATTAATTTTATTTTTTGATTTTAATTAAACAAAAAATAAATAGGTGAAAATATAAATCAATAATAAATAGTCAATGTTTGATAAAAATATTTAATTTTTTAAAAGTTGAAATTAATTTAATAATTTACAAGAAAGAAATCCTGAAATTAATTAAGTGATGAAATTTTATTTTTAAATTATTCTTTAATACTTTTGTTAAAAAAAAATTAAATTAATTTATTTCATTTTAAGTTTATGAAAAAAATACACAAATGAAATATTTATCAATTATAAAAAACAATTTATGGTAAAAAATATTTAATTAAATAATATCCAAGAAGAATAATTTAGAATTAATTTGAGAAATATCTATTTTGATTTTTTTTCTTCATAATTTTATAATTCAAAAAACCAAGAATATATTAACCAGATTTATTCTATTTTCTAATGTTTTTGATAAATCATTATAATATTTGTCTCATATATATATATATAATATATATACTTAGCCTTAATAATTAAAAATACAATTTTAATAGTAGTAAAATTTTTTATTTATTTTTAGTTTATTTAATTCAAAAATCTAAGTTAATTGTAAATCCATGCTATTCCTGTTTGCTTTTACTTGTAGAAATTTATCTTTTCTATCTTTTTTCTTCTTCAAACCATAATTTCATCTAATTCAAAATAATTTTTATTAATGTATCAATAAATCTAAAATTACTTTTTAATCATTTTCAGTTTGGTAGTCATCATTTTCTTCTTTTTCTTCAAGTAAAACATACCCAATAATGTCTTTATTACATAAATATAATTAATAAAATCATTTCTATGTTATAATATTATTTTATACCTCCATCTTTTAGTAAATAAGGAGCCTTTTTCAAGTTTTATTCTACATCTGACTATTTATCATCCTTTTTCTATTCGCTTTATTCTTATTTTTTACCATCTTTGTTTTTTTTATGAGATTTTTAATCTTATTTCTTTTTTGTTTCTTTAAGATTATCATATTCTTTGTTTGAAATCACTTTCCAGCAGAACTCATATGGGAAATATTTAACTATTTCAAATTAATTCATATCGGCTAATCCAAGACTAGTTCCTATTTATTGTTTGAGTTCATCAACTGTTGGCTTTTTAGAGCTTTTGTATATAAATTCTGTATTTCCTTCATATGTCTTTGCTTTACAATTTCTTTTTCTCAAAATCAAAGAAAGATCATCTTCCTCTAAATTATCTGGTTTCGAAAGTTACTGCATAATGAAATAAAATTTAATAACTCAAAATAAATTTGAAAGAGTTGAAATTACTTAAACAGCAATATTATTTGTTGAATAGTTATATCCTGATATCTTCTTGTCATTCTTTCTATAGATTTATCCAAAAAGACCATCTTTTCTCATATCTCTTACTCTTAAACATGCAGTATTCTATAAAATTATTTAGTAAATAAATAAAAATAAATTAATTCTCCTATTTTATTATAATGTACATTTTCGCCTGATTCCTTATTCAAATTCAGGAAATATGGCATGGCTAAGATAGTATTTTTGAGATCCTAAATAAGCTCATCTTTTTTAATTTTAAGGTCTCCAACATATTTTGTGTCTTCAGAGCTACCATTAATGGTATGATAAATGCTGAATTTTTCAAATTCTTTATCTATTGGCTTTTATAAAATTAAAATAAAATGTAGAGAGATTAATAAGTAAATAAATAAATAAATAGAATAGAATATACGCTTTCATTATCTCTTAAAACGAGTACTTCTTACTGTTTAAAGTTCATATTTCTGATGAGCTAGTTTTCATTTGTTATCAATTAAATAGGCTCTTCCATCCAATCAGTCTTGTAAAGCTTGTGCTATTCAGGATCCAACTTAAGAGTTGTGCAAGCTTAGCATTTTCTTTTAAAAAAATAAATACTATATTTAAATTATTAATTTAAAATACAGCTAATGAAGAGATTAATCATCTTAAATAAGAACTTCTATCATATTTTAAGTTTCTGCAACTTTATGTTTAGATGAGTTCTTTATTTTTATAGGAATATTTCCCGAAACAGGTATCTCGCCTCTTTCTAAAAGAAGTCTGGTACCTCCTTCTTAGAATCCAAGTTCTTCAAGTGATTTAGAATATTCATCCTTGAAGTAAATCTATTTATTTTCTAAATTTCTAAGTCTTCTCAAAGAAGTTTACTCAATAGAAAATTTTTCTTTAATAAAAGCAAGGAGTTTCTACAAATCTAACTACTTGTAATCAATGACTATTTATTTAAAAAAAAAAAAATCAGAATTTGAAGCTTGTTATTTAACTTTTAAAATTAAATTGAATAACTGTTTGTTTTATTTTTATTTTTTTAAAATTTATCACCTTTTTAAAATAAAAAAATAATTTATTTAATGATGAAAATATTACAAAATCTTTTAACTCCAGGTTCATCAGAGTTTTCTACTAAGATGGAGACAAGTCCTTAAAGTTAGGCTTATTGATATTCAGAGAGTTATGCAGTTTTACCTTATTGGCTAGGATTTTATTGATTTTCCTATTAATGGCTCTGTGAAAAAAAAAATTTAATATAAAAACAAAGATAAATAAAATGAAATATTAATACATGATCTATTTGCTTGATGATAATGTCGTAATCGTTTTATATTTTTAATTAATTTAGGGTCATTTCTTCTTTTTCTAAGGAATCGTTAATATGTTATAAATCTTCGTTTTAAAGGTATTATTCATTTTCAGGTATGTTAGTTAACTCTTACATTTATATTTTCAAATCAATCAATTTATCTTGGCTAAATGCTAGAATGCTAAAAGATTTTCCTGGGCATATTATATTAAGCTTCAAGGGTATTTGATCTTATCCAATATGAGGTTTCAGTCTGTCTAGAATTTCTTAATGCTTAGATTTATCGTAGTATACCCAACATGAAAAATGACTAACTTCAGCTTATTCTAGAGTTTAATCCTAAAAATTTTATATTATTAATGTTTGTGAAATTTAAAAAAATAATAATAGCAATAATTACTGAATTAGAAACATCTATCAGTCTAACAGTTTAAACGTATTTATTTGGATGCTCATAGAGTTCTAGGATAGCTAAATTTTCAAGACTAATTTAAGTTGTTTCAGAAATATTTTAGATTAACTGCTTAAAAGTGCAATCTGTTTTTATTCTTAAAAGCTAAGAGCTTTTTTCAAAGTCATATCCATTGATGTAAGTATATGAAATATCCTTTAATTAGTTCAAAAAACCTTTTAAAAAATGGATTAAATGTATTTATTTACTTAGAAAACTGCATGAGAATCAACATAGACTTCGATGTGTCTCGAAGCTTCTTCATAAATTTATCTCTCCTATTATAATTTTTAGTTTTCTTCTTAAATCAGCTTTTCTATGTATTTAGGGAGACTTGGATTTGGAATATTTTTAGCAAGAGTTTTTTTTCTGTAAATCAAAATATAAGCATTTTCACTTCCAGAACCACCATACTACTTTTACAATCTGTTTACATTGATGGACTTTACTTATGAGTCGTTAAAGTTATACCAATTTTTAGCAAGATCACTATTTGTGAACATTCTAGGGAAATCTTAATCATCAAATTCATATTCCTCTGCTACAAAATTTTTTTTCTTTTCATTTTACTTTTCTTCATTTTGCTTTTTTTTATCATTTTTAATAGGCTAACTTTTCTAATTTTACTGCTTTTTTTATTATTTTTGCTTCTTTTTAAGATCTTTCTTTTCTTAAGCACTCAAATTTGACTCATCTACATCTTATAATTCTTCATCTTAATCCTTCTTTTGTTATTCTTGCTATTCAATCTATTTTTACTGCTTAATCTGCTCTTCTTTCTATTTTTTCTCTAGCTCCTCCTATTGCTACTATTCTAACTTTTCCTTTTATTCTTACTCTCTTTTCTCTCTTTCTTAACTGTACTGCTTCATTTTTTCTTCCCAATTTCCTTCTCCTAAGAAGTCTCTGATATATGTATGGTAGTGACCTACAAAATTTTTTATTTTAAATAACAATTTGAATATATTGAATTAAAATACCTCCATGAGCACTTCCTCTGTGAATAAGAACAGTAAACAGCTCGTAATTGTATTCATCACTGCTGTCATCAATGTCAGAGTTTTCAAGAAATGGAGCTATGTTAAACTCTAGCCCAAATTCATATTTTTAATTTAACTTAACTCTTTCAAGTTTATCATAATCAAAAGTAAATCTATTCAAACTCAAAGTTAAAATATCTGGAAACTTTCTTATTTTTTAGCCTTTAAGAGTATCACACTAAGAAAATTTTTTTAAAAATGAGTTATAAATACATAAAAAATTTTATATTTTACCTTCTTGTTGCATATTTCACAAAACAATTAGTTGCTTTCATTAAGCAACTCTGGGGTGATAAAAGCCATAAAACTTTCTTCAACACAAGAAATATTTTCTACTTAAAGCATTAAGTCGTAAAAGTTTTCTTCTCTTTCTCTTGGAACTTAGCATTCAGTGCATGTTATATGATTGACAATAGTTCCTCTACATTTAATATAAAGTTTCAATAAAACTAAAAAATTTACTCTAAAAATATGTGATTTAAATAAATTACTTATAAAAAGAGGTAGGATCTATTTAAACAGCAGTTCCAAATAAGGCTCTTTCTAATACATCGAATATAACTCTAAATATTGATTATTATTTAATTTTAACTACATTTTTCTATATTGTAATTTTATTTCTACCTATTGGCTTCCTAAATATCTTATTGCTAGAAACTTTAATTTGCTTCCCATCCAAAGCTAGAAGTCAACTCCTCAGTACTATTAAATATTTTATATTAAATTATTAATTCAAAAAGCTAGCTGCTATTTTACCTGATGCTTGATATATCTAAACTTTGCATTTAACCAAATAGCTTTTAAAATCCTAACAATAATTTTTATTTGCTTTGCGAATCAACAAAACCACTTTTTTTGCTAATGTCTTCATCCTAATCAGTTAAATAAAAAAATATTTTACCATATTTTTATTTCTAAAATGATTTTACACATAAAGGTAACTAATAGATCGCATTTCTAAATTCTGGAGACATAAACAACGATTGAATTAAGCTATTTAAATAACAAGTTGCTCCTTGGTTTTTCAATCCTACAAATCCGTTTTCTTCTCTTCTAAGTTAAGGTAACTCCATAAAACTAGCGCAATTTTTAGGTCTTCTTTATTAGACATTCAAAATCTATGCATTTGAAACACCTCCGAGGATATCCTCAGGAGTATCAAACATATCGCCAAGCATTTATAATTATTTTTTTTATTTTGAATATTAGTATCTATTTAATCAAAAAATTGTAAATATACAAACAATAATTAATTGTATTTTTCTGAATTAAATTTTTGATAGAAAAGTTATTTATAAGTAAAATCAATTATTTTTTATTTTGAGTATCCTAAATAGCCATCAAGAAGATATTAATTTAATAGCTTCTTTTCATATAAAAATCATTAATAAGGAGTTATCAGAAAGTGTCTTCATCTCCTTCTGATAATAACTTTATAAACTAATTCTTTTGCTTAATAAATATAGAATATATTAATTCTTAAAACGAGATTAAAAATCTATATCATTGATGTAGCTTTCTCATTTAATAAAAACCAAAGATCTATTTTCTAAATCAGATCAAAGTTTTTTCACCTAAAAACAAACATACATAACCATTTCAAAACTAAATTAATTTTTAGTAAAATGATATTTATATTAAATTTTTATAATTCTTAATAGATCTAAATTATTTACAATAAATTTGTGCTCAAATAAATTTATTTAAATTTTAAAATATTAATAATTAATAATTTTATTTTAAATAAATAAATAAAATTTTTTGGCGAAAAGAATCTTTTTAAATAGTTATTTAAGTTAAACATATGATTTATCATAGATTATTTTTCAAAATATTTACAATTTAATTTTGGAATACAATCAAGCACTAATAATTTTGAATAAAGCTATACAATAGATGATCGATGTCATAGTAGCAACATTAATTATATTTTTATATTTTATTTTAATTTATTAAATAACTTTTTTATTTTCATTTTTTACGCTCTTAGGCTTCTTAGTTTTTTTTGGCATAATAGTTTAATCTTTCCAAAATTTTTATTTATCCTGGCAGTGTAGGCTTTGGATTTTCACTAAAATAAGGATGAGACATAGCCTTTTCAGCTGAAATTCTTTTCTATAATTTCATAAAATAAGTTAAATTATTAGTAAGGAGAAAATAATAATTTAATTGAATACTTTTGGATCCCAAGCAAGCATTTTTTAAAGAAGCTTTAGGCAATTTTCTGAGCATTTAAGTTACTTTTACAAGTTATTTGTTTTAAATCCAGAAAATTTTTCAAGCTCTTTTCTTACTTCTTTTTTAACTTGTGAATAATATTCGTTCCACTCATACCTTAATTCAAAAATCAAATAATTAATACAAATTAAGCATCTTTTATTATTTACCTTGTTGGATAGCCAATTAATTCACAAATAAGTTAAAACTACTTCATTTCTGTATCTCCAGGGAATATTGGTTATCCTTTATTTAATAACTCTGCTAATACACAGCCAACAGACCTATTAAATTTAATATAATTTCTTTAAATTTAGATATTAAATTTACCATATATCTATTGAAGTAGTGTATTATTCCATTTCTAATAATAATTCTGGTGATCTGTACCACAAAGTTACAACTTTTGGTGTGTATGGCTTGTTTGGTTTATTATATTCCCTAGCTAGACCAAAATCAGCAATTTTGACCACACCTTTGTCATTGATAAGAACATTTGATAATTTAATGTCTCTATGCATTTAATACTATTTATGCATGTGTTAAACTCCATTCAGTAGCTATAAAATGATGCATTTTATTTCAGATTCAGAGAAATATTCTCTTTCTTAGTCCATTCTAAAAATAAGATTTGCAATATCCATTTAGCAATACTCAAAAATTAAGAATATGCTATTTTAATTTTAACCTACGACTACTTCTTTAAACTATACAATATTAGGATGGTTTTGTAATTCACTTAGAAGTTTAATTTCTCTCACAGAAGTAACAGGAAAACCTTCTCGCTCATCATGGATTTTCACCTTTTAATTGTATAAAATAAATTTTAAAATCATTTCTTGATTCATGATAATTTTACGTCTTTACTTGCTTGACTGCAACTATTTCATTATTTTTTTTATCTTAGGCTTTGTACACTTTACCAAAAGTTCCTTCTCCTAATTAATGAATTTGAGTGAACTCACCTATAAATCTGCATTACCCAAACAAGCTCTGTTCTAAAAGTTTCTTTTTATCTTCTTCTTGCTCCATTTGATATAATTATGTTATTTATTTAATAATTTTTGATAAAAATTGAATTAAAAATAATTAACTTAACTATTTATGAAATAAATTGTTAGTAGATATCTCAATTTTAGACACAATATGCATTTTTTATATAATTTGAAAGTAGAATAAAAATTAATCAATTTATTTATCAATTAATTTAATTGGGGTTGGGGTTGGGGTTGGGGTTGGGGTT